AGTACCTCATAGTTGGGTTGGTCTTGCTGCTGAACTCCAAAAACGTCTCCATACAAAGGTCTTCCATACTATTGACGATAAGTAAGAAAAAGCAAGAATGTTAGACAAAGAGATTTAAAAGATTACCTCATCTAAAGATAGCTTTCAAGCTTACTAGAACACAGATAACACAGAACTTTTAAGACGCTTACCTCATCTACAGGAGGTTTGCCCCAGCCACCAGGGTGATAACCAAAACTTGCTCCAAGAGGGATGGGTGCATTTAGCCCTGGTATTTTCAAATGTGGGTAGGATGGTGGGGGACCATACCTCTGAAATGAAAAATTGTCGGTTAAAACAATACCAACAATACTGAGACGTTGGATGCAAAAATAAACTCAGGATATTAACCATACTTACCTGCATATTGATAAGCCATGGGGGTGGAGCACCCTCTGGCATACCAAGAGCTTCTTTAAGTTCGTGTGATAAAGAGCCTGGCTTCATCTCCCTCAGCTTTACCTGTATTCCAAACAAACAATATTAAATAAAAACAATGAAAAAATCTACTAAGACATGTATCATCAGACATTCATTTTTTCATTCAAGATTACCAGCCAAACAACAAAACACCATGGCAACCAGAAGGCCATTGAGTTCAAACAAGATTAAATAGCTATAGAAGACTACATACAAATATAAAAGTTTGATCTCTCATGCACTTAATCTGCAAAAATCTCAAGCCATAATAAGTCTGCTGTGAAGTCCGGTTTCTATAACCCAACAAAAGGATCAAGGTTTTATGAAACAAAATTTCCTCGTTTCACTGGTTTAAATTAAGCCAGACTATATCAATTGCTTGCATTTTGCAGTTAACAAAAACACCACCCTGTCCTCTTTAGGACCTGGCATATAATCCTATCATCTGCAAAATTTATCGTACATTGCTATCCTATAATGTCCCTATAATCTTAACAATTCCACTTACAGGCTTAAGTTGTATAATTGCATATCAATTTAAAATCAATTGACAAATGCATAGATGAAGTACAAGAGGCAGCATAATATCCATTTAGATATAGCAGAAGAGTACCTCAAATTCTTTCCCTTCATGATAGAGATCCCCGTGAGTTGTCAGCTTCGGCTTTGTCTGATATTTAAAGAATGCATCATGGAGAACCTAAAAGACAGAAGCCAGAATATCATTACCTAAAAGAGCAAGACAATATCATTTCAGGAAGGAATAACATGACTAAAAGTAACCTTCCATGACAACTAAAAATGGGTTGAAACAAAATTCAAATATCCAAAAAAAAACAAACATGAAGAAACTAAGAAACCTGATAGTCGATATCCATTTTCCCCATCTTTGGCTGCATACGTTCACGTTGCTTTTGTTTCAACTTCTTACTGTCCTCTTTTTCAATGTAAGCCTGAATGAGAAAAAGAGAACACAAGTGAATTATTGAGTTCAAATCAAGAATGTCATTATCCATTCAAAATTTATAAGTTATTTTAAAGAAAGGTATAGTTTTCGGAAAGGGCATCTTCAAAGATGATTTTCTTGACATAAATCAGAGGACACTCCACACAATTTGCTATTGTAATGAATTAGATTTACCTGTCTAATTTTCTCAATTCCTGTCGCGGCAATGAAATCAGGAAGCTGAAAAGGTTGCTTCTCAATACCACGCTTTCCCTGCAGAAAAGATCCAAAAGTTGATGAGATACCAGTAGTTAACAACGCCAAAAAATAATGATAATAAAATAATTGGGAATCTTCAGCATCCAACTCAGGGCACTATAAATAAATAAATAAATCTTAGATGGATCTAGCCCGAGCATTTAGCACAATGGAAAGGCATCTGGAAATCCAAAACAGATTAATTAGCACCTTAACAATGAAAAAATAGCCCCCCACATCTAGAACGCAAAGTTATGATATGGTACCAGAAAACCTCATAAATATCTATATCCCAACCCCAAAAACAGTCATATCTAAAGAGAAACCAATCAACAGTCCTCTTTTCAAAACACCTACAAGTCCAGGCTCCAGGGTTGTCACAGCCGTTCCCCTGCAAGAAGCACATATATACATATAAGAGAAACCTTATCGACTTGATCTTCCCTCACCCACTTCCCAAAATCACTCATCATGATTATGCCTACCAACCATGCACACATATTTGACCCATATTAATCGTTATGGTAACCAGAATTACTAACCTGCAAATATTTCCTTTTCTGACACCAATGCCTTGGCACAGGAACAGTATTTCGATATGCCTTCAAAAATACCAGCAACTTAGGGTCTGCAGCAGTTGCATCCCAGACCTGAAAAATAAACACAACTATCATGAACTATTGAATTATAAATACAGGAAAAATAGAAGTTATTTTTTCAAAGAGTTGCAGTATTCTAACAGCATTCCAGGACAAAATACATAACAAAAATGAATAAAAGAAAAGAAGTTACTAGCCACGACAAAAAAATTAAAAAAGGAAAGATTTCTTCATTTCAAAATAAAAAATTCAAAAACTCATAGCTCTCAAGAGATTTTCTAAGTCAAAATTGGGCTATAAAATTTTTTAACACTGGTTTAAAAACAAACTAGATAGGTTTGTCAAATGAACATAAGGAGAAGCAAATATCAACAGCTACAAACGCATAAAGATAAAAAAAAAAATCCAAATAAACAGTACCTCTACAACATCAGGCCTTGAGCAAATCTGCTTCAGTTCAGCAATTTTCATCCGCCTTTGAAGCTATCAATAACAACAATAAGTGTTTCACTTTTTAGTCTAAACAAAACCAACGGAATATGACCAATAACAAAGTATATTACAAAATATAAGGAGAAAAACAAAAAAACCTTCTTCTTCTTATTCGATATGCCTTTCTCTTTCTGTGGATTATCTTGTTCTTCCTCTTCTAAATCAGAATCCACCTTCTTCGAGTCTGCATCTTGAGCAGACTCGTCCTTCTTATCTGTCTCCTGTATAAGTAGAATCACTAATAAGGATATTCAAAAAATAATAATATCCATAATATCCAACCAAATTTTCATTTTACCTCAGAACCAGCAGTTTCCCAGAAGCTGAATTTTTCAAAAACCTTCCTAAATTCCTCATCAATACCATCATCTAACTCAGCTTTTTCAGGAACATATTCAACCACAACTTGATCCGTAACCTGTAGTGTCAAACGAAAAAGGAAATGCTATTTCAGCTAAAGATAATCGAAAATCCTTAAATCACTGTCAAAATTGCATATAAAACCTGTATTGCATATACAAGACAAGCAGATAATAAATGAAACCATCGATATTCACTAAAACCCTAGAAATCTAAAGAGAGAAAACGGTTTACCTTCTGGTGATCCGAGTTCTCCGTCGTTTCATCTTCGCCAGCGTCGCTGTCACCGGCTTCGGAAACACTAACGGCGTCATTTTCTATCTGAAAGGCCTTATTGTTCTTCTTCTGCTTGCGCCTGCGACGGCGTCGTTCGCTCTCACGGGACTTCTTGGAGGTCGCGGAGTGGTTAGAGTTAAAGTTTTTCTTATTCAGATCTCCGTTGGAAACAACCGCACCGTTTTGGTGCGAGAGTATGTCGGCGGTCATATCTCCTCGCTCAATCTGGTGAACTAACGGGGAAGGGATTTGAAAGAGAGTGGGAAAGGGGTAAGATGGCAGCGAGGCAAAAATGTGTGGGCGGTTACCGGATACGATTGCGCGTGAGAAAAGCTAGGCTGTGATGGAAACTGGGCTTTCAGTGGGCTTTTTTAATAGGCCTAGTTTTTATAAAGTAAATCTTCATGTGACAAAGGCCCAATTTTCTCTCGTTACAAAGCCCACTATATTTATATATAAAAGCGCCATCATCACATTCAAAGTTTTAAACATCTTTTTTATCTGCAAGATTGGAAGATTTTTTTTATTATGTGTTATTAGTTTTTATTATGTATTTTTTTGTTATGTGTTTTTTTTTTTATTTGTTAGTACTTTAGGTTATATGTTAGTAATTTTTTTTACGTATTATTTCTTTTATTATGTATTTCTCCTTTTATCTTATTTTTTTGTCTATCTTTTTTTTGGTATGTTTCTAAAATTATGTTTGATTTTTTTAACATATAATACTCTTTTTTATATTTTAAAATAATTTTTTATAATTTTTATTTTTTAAAATTAAAAATTATAAAATTTTAATTTAAAAAATTAAATTTTAATATTAAATACATTAAAACCTTTTTTACATTCTATAAAAATCAATACATAACAAATATTTTAAAAAATTTTAAGTAGGAGAAAATATTATTTTTTATTATATATTATTACATTTTTTTATTTGTTATTCGTTAGCACTTTGTGATATGTGTAATTAATTTTCTTATGTATTATTGATTTTATTTTATGTTATGAGATCAAACAGAGTAATCAAAATTATAAATTTTATTGGATTTTGAATAAAATGAATTCAAATAATTTAATTTTTAATTCAAGACACAGAAAGTTATAAAAACAAAAAATTAGGTCAAATTACACCCGGGTGCACCGAATCAAAACTCACCGACTCCATCCGTTCGCCGGTGGGGTCTACTCGATCTAATCTGACGTACTTCTACACTTCTCTTATTTGGTTAAAATCGAAGTACACATGTGCAAGTAACTGACGTGGCATCTTATGATTGGAAACAAAACATAGCGTAGACAACGGGTCCCATTCACCCTCGTAACTTCGCTTGATCGTGTCGGAACGTTAGTTTTGGGTGTTTCCTTAAATACGAAAAAAAAAAACCACATTCACATTCCATGCAATAAAATGTGCCAAATCTGCATTTTCTTTGTTTCAAAACAAAAGCAAAAATTTTTCTGTCTTCTCTCTTCCTTTTTCTTTTTTTTTTTTCTTCTAAATAAAAAAACATTACAGTTACGGAGAAGAGAGGAGGGAGAATAATTAATAAAAAAATGCAGAAAAAATATTTGTTGTAATTAATTTCTTTTTTAGATTATAATAAAATCCAGAGATAAAACTACATTTTTTATATGCATAATTATAAATTGCTGCCAAAAGTTTTATTCAATGGGAGTGCAGGAAAATGGGAACAAGAAGAAGTACGAGAGAATGGGATCAGATGCAGCAGAGGAGGAAATAGTGCTGACAAATAATCTGCAACACAAAAAGGCAAAAGAAGAGGGTGTTATTGTTGATAATATTAGTGATAATACGAGGAAATATGTTTTTGCTTGTGCCATTTTTGCCTCTCTCAATTCCGTGCTCCTTGGCTATGGTTTGTCTTTGCCATTCTCTCTCTCTCTCTCTCTCTCTCTCTCTCTCTCTTTTGCAAGATCTCTCTATTTTTAATCTGACATGTTTGTTCTTTTGGTCTGATCTGCTTAATTCGTGAAATCCCAATTTGATATTTTTGTTGGGTTTTGAGGTCGATGCAATCTATGGGAATGTGCTCTATTGTTGAATGCAGAATTTGGAGATTTGTTCATAAAATGCTTAATGGTTTTACTTTAAACGCATGCTTAATGAGATACTGGGGAAGAGTTACTGATTTTTGTAAAAATTAGTGCTAAACAAGAATGGGAAATGATGATTATTTGTTCATCTGTCATCTGAATATTATTTACTTTTTTGTGATTTGCATTCATTTGGAATTCTGATATGTTTTCAGATGTGGGTGTTATGAGTGGAGCAATCATATTCATTCAGGAGGATTTGAAGATATCAGAGATACAAGAGGAAGTTCTTGTGGGAATTTTAAGCATAGTTTCGCTTTTGGGTAGTTTGGCTGGAGGAAAAACATCAGATGCCATTGGTAGAAAATGGACAATGGCCCTCGCGGCTATTGTTTTTCAATCAGGTGCAGCTATAATGTCTCTGGCACCTTCTTTTCAAATATTGATGATAGGGAGACTCTTGTCTGGGATTGGGATAGGTTTTGGAGTCATGATTGCACCTGTATACATTGCTGAGATATCACCCTCCATTGCCAGAGGATCTCTTACTTCCTTTCCTGAGATCTTCGTGAACCTAGGAATTCTTCTTGGATACATCTCAAACTATGCGTTTTCGGGGTTGCCAGTACATATAAACTGGAGAATCATGCTTGGTGTGGGAATCTTTCCATCTGTCTTCATTGGATTTGCCTTGTTTGTAATTCCTGAATCCCCAAGGTGGCTGGCAATGCAAAACAGAATTGAAGAAGCAAGATCAGTGCTTTCAAAGACAAATGATAACGAAAAGGAAGTGGATGACAGATTAGCAGAAATACAACTAGCTGCAGGGATTGCTAATGCAGAGAAGTACAAAGCAAAAGCTGTATGGCAAGAGATATTAAATCCTACTCCCACAGTTAGGCGGATGCTGATTACCGGTTGTGGAATTCAATGTTTCCAACAGATCACAGGTATTGATGCAACTGTGTATTACAGTCCAACAATTTTTAAAGATGCTGGGATAAAGGGAAACACTGAACTTCTTGCTGCAACAGTTGCTGTTGGGTTCACCAAAACCATGTTCATCTTGATTGCAATATTTCTTATTGACAAATTAGGTAGAAAGCCTTTGCTTTATGTGAGCACAATAGGGATGACATTCAGCTTATTCTGTTTGAGCTTCACTCTAACGTTTTTCGGGGATGGACAATTCGGGATTGGATTGGCAATTCTATTTGTTTGTGCAAATGTAGCTTTCTTCTCAGTTGGAATTGGCCCGATATGTTGGGTCTTATCATCCGAAATATTCCCTCTAAGGCTCCGAGCTCAAGCATCTGGTCTTGGAGCAGTAGGTAGTAGGGTGAGTAGCGGGCTTATTTGTATGTCCTTCCTCTCTATGTCTCGTGCGATTACAGTCGGAGGAACCTTCTTTGTATTTTTCATGATTTCAGCTTTATCTGTTGCTTTCGTCCACACATGTGTCCCGGAAACAAAAGGGAAATCTTTGGAGCAAATTGAAATGCTTTTTCAGAACGAAGGAGAATGGCAAGAAGGTGAGGTTGAAATGGCAGATGCAGAGCGGCTGGTGCAGCAGAAACTATAAGTTGGAGGCATTACGTCATGCTACTTAAGCCACAATTTCGCTTGCTCGTAAATTTAAAACGAGTCCGTGCACATTACAACAAAATTCTTTTAAATGGTTTTGCTGCTGTTGATAATAGTTATACAGCAAAAACCAAGTCATGAATGTTTTACCCTATAGAGTTAGCTTTGAGGTTTTCGACATATAAACTCGAATTTATATGAAGATGTTTACAGTGGGACTTTGTTCCTGTATGATCATTTTGCCTCTGTGATGGAGATAGTTAAAGATTATATCCATTTCTCTCAGATTGGCAGTTTTATTTGTTTGTGCCAATGTTTCAAGGCCATGTTTGGCACTCATACAAAACAATCCCCCCTGTAGAGTCAATTTACTATGTAAATGGTTAATTTCACCTCATTTTTCTACGCAAATGGTAGAGGTTAAAGAGATATTAGGCATGATTCTGCATACCTTCAATCCTTCATCGGAACTAAAGGAGGATGGAACGCGCGTGAAAGCGAAAGCAAAAAGAGCCCACGTGCTTTGGAGGCAGTGACCTGACCATGAAGGCAATGGCAAACGGGAAGGAGTTTCATTTTTTTTAATGCAATTGTCAGTTTCCAATATTGTGGTCCACAAGGATTAGAACTTGAAAGCCAATCCCTATTTATCAAAATTATTCAAAAAAAAAAACTCATTTTAGGAATTGTCAAAATCATTAAAAAGAAAAAGACAAAAAACAATGCGGTCATAGAATTGAAAATTATGTTTTTTTATGTTTCCCTTCGATGACATGTTCCATCATTAACAGCTGACAGTAACCTTTTTTTTTTTTTGCAAAAAAAAAATTATGTGTTAAATTTTAAATATATTAAATATTTTTAAAAAAATAATTATATAAATTAATTAAATTAAATCTTAAATTCAATTAAGATTCATTCGGCAAAATACATGCGATAAATGAAAACATACTAATTTTGATGTGCTAAATAAATGAAAAGGATAGGTAAAGGGGGACTTTCCGGAATAAATGCTCAAAATAATTAGATTCTTTTGGCTCTTTTCTCATGCATAGGTTGCCATTTGCAATCAAAGCATCCTTTATTTTGATTATGGTATTATGTTTAAGAGATTTTATTTACACCTCATTTAACGTTATATACACTTTATTTTTATACACACTCCTAAATTTAAAATTCATTCTTTTAATTCTATTAAATACACCAAATTTTTCATTTTTTTATTTTTTATTCCCACCCTTTGTTTTTTTTATCTTTTTTTATTTTTTTGAAATCAAAATTTTCAAAAATAAAAATCTAAGAAATTTTGAAATTTCTTGAAAATAAATATCTAATAAACTTTAAGGATTTTTGAATATTAATTTTTGAAAAACCTTAAAATCTTTCAAATATTTATTTTTGATAAGAGTAAAAAATTTTCGAATATCTTTTTTTGAGAAAATTTGAGGCTTCTTGAATTTTTATATCTAAGAAGTTTGATTTTATTTTTAATTAAAAACTTAATTATGCGTTTATGAACCCATTTTCTTTGATTATTTGTGCAAATAGAACTAAAATCAATATTTATAAATTTTTTTATTGAATTTTCAAAAAATCAAGAACATCATTTTTATACCGTGCATGTTTGTGAACTTGGCCTTTTCCATTTACATTGACCAAGTAAAAATGACCATATTGATGACTCGTGCATAATAATCCAAGTTTGAACATCTTATACAATATTATAGCTAACAATGTCATCAGCAAATTGATAAATTCAATAATATCGAATCTTTAGGCCACCAATCTTTATTGTCAAATTTTATTAATTTGTTAATGATATTTTTCAATAGCTCAAAGATCAAATATCTCGATTTTCTTATTATTAAGTGTTTATAATTAAATATATATTTTTAAAAAAATTATGTATTCTCGAAAACAAATTTTCGAGAGTACATGATGACTCTTGAAAATCTATTTTTGAGAATTATATTGCTTTATCAAAAAATAAAATTTTAAAAACACAATATAATTTTTGAAAATCTATTTTTGAGAAATACAATATAAATTTTGGATGTATAAACTATTAAGGATATTTTTATCATTTATTAAAGGTTAAAATTGATATTCGGTACGTGAATATTTTTGAAAGAAAATTTGGGGATGCATAAAGAAAATTTCGTAATGTAGTTAGAACACCCCATTATAATTAACATTAATATCATTACCATAAAATTAGTTAATGATAATAACTATACGGTGATATTATTAAAAATGATGTAGAAGAATGGAAGCCTGTTTTGTGAGGGAAAGAAGCTGAGAATTCAGGCAACGAAGAAATAAACAAAGAAAGGAGAACGTGAAGAAGCCATTGATTGAGGTGAAGGGTTCTATTTTCTATAGAATACATGTGCCATTAATTCCTTCACATTCAAACAAAGATACAATCCAATATTAAATGGGGTGAGATCTGCCGCAACCGTTGACTTCAACCAATGCTATCATTTATATATGGTTTCTGGATATTATATGTTTTCAGTTCTATCAAGCCGAGAAGTGATGAAAAAAAAAAAAAAAATCAACTAAGGGGTAGAATCTTTCACAGGAAGGAAAGAGCAAGAGCATTGACAATTTTTAGTAGGAAATTGTGAAATCTGAAGATAATTATTTTGAGGACATAAGAAAATGAATCTCTACCGGCTGGGACCATTGGATGGCTTGTTTAAAGGTCAAAAAATAGATAAAGATGAAGGTTGCAATTGACAGATTCCAGGGAATATGGTGACGACAAGAGATAAATTATAAAAAAAAAAACATATATTATCTTGATGTAAGCCAGGCCAGAAATCACTTTCATGGCTAAGAAATCTCAATTGTTGCTTGTTTTCTGGTACCAAGCATGAAAGAAAATACATTGAAACAGAATGATCTAACAGCATATTCTTTTCTTTGAATTTTCAGAGATTGAAATAATTGGCAGAAACAAAGTTAACCAAAGGATTATGAAAAATGCACAATGAAAGAGTCTCCTTTTCTTTCAATTTTCTTCAACAATATAATGGTGGAATGAACAAGAGTTAGCCTATATACATATAACTGCATATAGGCATTTGATCCTTATTCTATAGTTACAAACTTGATCGCGAAGAATTGCAGAAGATGCAGATATCTGACATGATATGATGAATAATGCTCCCTTCTTGAACTCTATGTTTCCCACTCTGTCTGTTCCACAGGTGAACTGCATAGCTTTGCCTGCGGATCTGATGGTGCTTATTATGCAACCATTTTGAATGAATCTCATTTCTAGGCCCTCGAAATAGGCTTCGGATTCGGCTCCAATCAACAGGATAAAATGCCGATGGAGGCAACACAGTGAAGTTAAATCCAGGCCTACCGGTAACTCTTGCAACAACTCTTGAAACCAAGTAAGGACCATTGTGACCCCATTTATTTCCATCAAAAGTGAGAGAAAATTCTTGAATGAACTTGTATAGCAATGGATGTTGCTTATCAAAAATCAGCACAGCATTATTCAATCTGCTCCAATTCTTGGTTTCAAGATTGATGGATTGAGCACCAATTACATTTCTTAAATTATTGAAGCTCTTTAAAACTATAATATCTGTATCTATATAAATACCACCATACTTGTATAACAAAGCAAGTCTAAGCAAATTTGAAAGATTTTGACCCAAAGAAACCTCACCAGGATCAACATTTCCTTTCTTTAACCGATTAAACCACAATTCTGCATGAGTATTCTTGAATATATAATCAAAATCAGGATCAACAGCAATCAACTGAAACCCCTTATCCAAAAATGGCTTTAAAACAACACTTCCCATTTTAGAATCTAGGGAATTTGACACTATAACTAGACATGCTTTTGAGTGTGACTTGAACACACTCTCAATTGCAAGCAATTCTCTATCACCTAATGACTCTGCTGAAGAGATCCAAGTCATGAAAAACCGAGACTTACACTTGGAATTCTGAAAAAAATCCGTAACTTTGGAGGAGAACCACTTTGCTTTTGTCCCTGAACGCAGAGTCCTCAAAATGTTACGTTTTAAACGAGCCTGTTTTGGCCTAAGAGCCAAAGGCTTGTCAACAGGAACCATTGACAAGTTTGGTTTTTGCACAAGAGGCAAATGGGTCTTTAAAATAACGGGTGGATTCTCTTCTTTCACTGCATACATCACCGAGGATGCCAACTTTGCCACCGTTTTGTCCCCGGGCAGATTATCAGGCAACAAATTGGCGGGCTCCGGTGAAGCCTTGGCGGGAACAGGGAGGCTAATATAGAAGATAGAGAAGCCATTGCAAGCTAAAAGAACAAGAAGAGAAAGAGCAACAAGTGAAGTGGGTAATAAAACCACATAGCCAAAGACTAAACTTTTGATGTGTCGGAAACGGTGCCGAAGTTTGTTCATCTGAAACATTCTGTTTTGCACTTTTGGTCTTATAAGAAACTAAAGTGAATTGCTTGCAGATATTGGTAGTAGTAAAAGTACTTTCATTTGTACATAAAAAAGTTCAAGAAGAACAAATTAAGGGGAGTTGCCAAAGACAAAAAAGAATAGAAGAAGAAGGGACTTCAATGGAGGAGGCGGCAAAAGAAAGATGGCATCCAGAAAGAACAAATTTATTTTAGAGATGAGGTTTGGACATCGGGAACAAAAATATAAGCAAAAAAGGTGGGTCCCCAAGGCTGCATTTATTGTGGCAAAAGAAGGAAAACCAAGTACGATGCTTTAATATCCTCAAAAGCAAGAATTATGAGGGTGAGAAAAAAAAAATGATTCCAATTTGATTTAAATTGATTTTTTAGATTTTGTTAGGATCAAATTTAAATATTAAATATATAATAAATTTAAATTAAATTTTGAATTGAAATGTATAAAATTAAAAAAATTAAATTAAATCGAATCATAAATTTTTATTAATTTTTATATTTTTTTTAAATTGTATAAAATAAAAATAATTATTTTATATGTAAATTTATTTAAATATATAAAAATTTTAAAAAATGATAAATAAAAATTTAAAAATTAATAAATCAAACTTAAAAAATCAAATTTAATTTAAATCAAATTAATTTTTTAAAAAAATTTAATTTATATTTAAATTAAATTTTAAAATTTTATAACATTATTTATTGTTTTAAAATATTAAATCAAATTTAATACGATTCAAAACCTCACCATAACAAATCATCCAATTTTTTTTCTTTATTTTATTTTTCAATTTAAAAGTCACGTTGACTTAAGACAAAAATGATAATTAATGTCAATTTTTTTACTTTTGGCAAAACTGTCTGTCACGAATAATGTAAAAATCAAGTAAGAAAATAAAGAAAATCATATTATAATTACTCAACTAGTGGACAGTTTTTATTGCATTTAGCCAAGGAACAAAATATAAACAATAAAAAGATTCCAATTTCAACCACCATCCACAAACAACCTGCCTCTGAAAAAATAAATAAATAAAAAGATGCATAACTCGTCTATAATTATAAATAAAGAAATTATTTAATCATGTTCGAAGTTAATTGTATATTAGAAAAATATTCCAGTTCCGTTGACCAAAGGGGTTTAATAATCTGAATGTAAAAACGAATTCTTTTCGTAATATTTTTTTTCTTGTAATCTCTTCGTTTTCACAAAATATAAAAAAGTTAAGATCTTTAAAGATTTCAGTCAAATTCCAAAGATTCACTTAAATATGTCAAAATTTTCATTTTCAAGACAATATCTAAGTTACCATGTCAAGAAAAAATTGTGAAAGGGAAGATCAATGGTATTAATATTTCAGTTGCTTCTCAAACATTTGACAAGGCAAGATTTCAAAGACTGAAATGTTTCACCGTGGAGAGGTTGGCTCAGTTGGTAAGATCTTTCTCCTTGATGTGAGTGATCTTTAGTTTGAATCCAAGCAGTAAATATTGGCTCAATTGGTAACATCTTTTTCCTTGATGTAAGTAATTTTTAGTTCGAATCCAGCCGCTGGTCTATTGTTGAATATGACACCTCTTTCCTGACAAAGGGATTAAACAACCTATCCATCTCAAATTTTTCTCTGACGAAAAACAATGTTTCTAATTTTCTCCAAGCCTAAACCAACAGCCAGCTGAGCTGAGTCCATTGACAAGGCTGGGTTAGGCTATGCCTTTTTTCTGCAATGGGGCTATAACAGAAAAGGAATGTTGGTTTTGATTATTGAAGGATAATGCTATAATAGGCTTACTTCTCAATCATTTAGCAAGGTGTTTCTGCACTTTTGCCAATATCCAGTATTTTTCATAAATAATATTAGTAATTTCACCCAAAAAAAAAAAAAAAACAAAGGTAAATGGAGCACTAAATTTTGCCATAGGCTAGCTGTAAAACCATAAATCTAAACAACTGCATGTACCCACACCAAAAAAAATGCTCAACATGAAGCGATAGGGCAGTTTGATCAAATGACAGGATACAAACTTTCCTTTAAAGAACAGCTGAAATAAAATTATCATTACCTATACAGACATTGCTTAGGTGCAATATATTATCTCAAAGAAGCCCTCTTCTTCTCTTGTAGTCACTAACTGTCAAGGTAAGAGCATGTCTCCTCCCATCATTCTCAGGAACTCGGCATCCAACAGTTGCTTCTATCCTCTGTTTCCTAGCCATGAATCCTGCCACGGCTCCATGTGGACCACCAAACTTCTGAAGCGTATTCAATGAGATTGGAATCTCAAAGTCATGCAGCATGTTAGATTCTGTCCCTTCATCAACAGGTGCACTTGTGTCAACCAACTTCCCCGCACCAGCAGCCTCTTGCAAGGCTGCCGCTGTAGCTGCCCTGCCAGCCTCTGCAGCATCCCTTGCATCATTGTCATTTCTTGCACCATTTGTATCACCATTAGCCACTGCTACTGCATCTCCTCCAGGAGGCTTCGCAACATAGTAATTCCTTGATCTAGTCCACCTCCTTGAAAATGGATCATACCCAGCCTCCCCTGCTTTTAAAGCAGTATTTACGGGTTTCAATTCTGACGCATTTTTAAAATTCTCAACTCTGTTCTTTCTGTTCATCTCAGCCAACCTAACAGCCTTGACATCTTTCTCCTGTGCCTGCCGGGAAGCCTCCAGTTGCTGCAGTCTCTTCTTAATCCTCTCCACCTCTGCCTCATCATGCTTACTTTGTGCAATATCCAGGTCCCTTCTCATTCTATCCTTCTCGGCTGCAATGTTTAATGGTCTAGATGAAGTAGATTTTTTCTCCTGCAGCATCTGCTTTACAGTAGCTGCTGAGTAGACAAATGTTTTGGCCTTTTGTAATGCTTCCTCCTTTTCAAGCACATCTTGTTTGTTTGGCATCCGGCCCCCACTTCGCTCCACCTCCCTGATCAATTGTCTAAACTCTTCCTCTTGCGGTGGAGAGTCTGAAATCATAGCCATCTGCCACCTGGCAGCAGAGCTTTCATTGCCCCAAACAACATTCAAATACTTATATGTTGTCTTGTTCTCTAGTTTGTATGTCCGCTCAGAATCTGCGGCATCAACATTTTTTACCATGCAGAGCCTGTAGATAGGGCCACTCTTCGACCTTCCAATTCCAACTCTTACAAAACAACCCACAATCAACTCTTCAAAAAATGGTTCCATAAACCATTTAGCAAGTTTTGACCTTCTTATAGTAATTTCCTTAATATCATCAAATGTTGGCCCATCTGGCCCCCGTGTGTCCCTCTCATCATCACTATCAACCATTCCACCATCCCCTGTTGACCCTTCATCTTCACTGTTAGACCTACTTTCACTCTCACTCTGACTAGAGCTACTTAGACTTGATGCAGTAAAGGGTTTCCGCTTGACTGGTGATAACCCCCGACTGCCTGAACTCCCTCTAGATGCATCTCTCAACTTCCTATGTGCCTCTGGATCTTGCTGCTTTAGTCGTTTTGCTCTCAACTCATTCAGGGCATCATCCTTAGCAGCTGCCCTATCTGCAGATCTAGCTGATGACCGCACTCCACGAGAAGAGGGAAGAGGTGGAGTCTCTTTCCGTGACCGGCTAGGCCTATCATTATCCCGCTTTGATCTAATCTTTTCAGTAAATTTCTTATCACCTCTCTTATCTGCACGTTCTGAGAGAATCAATTCTCTTTCAAGTTCAGTCAACTGCGCAAGCTGTCGCCTGTCATCTTCGTTCTTGTAAAGATCATCACCAACATCAGATTCATCACTGCTGTCATGCTCACAGTCGGAACCACCATCATTGTAATCCCCTTCTTCCTGACTACCCTGGTCATCATCTCTTTCGGCAGGGTCCAGCCTCTTCTTCAATGGAACATGTGATCCAGATGGTTTTCTGCTTGCATAGCCATGATCATCATCCGAATCATCATCTCTAGAGTCACTTCCACCATCAGAATATGAACCCTCACGTCGCCTTCTAGACGGTGGTAGCGAGTGTCGGTTTCTCCCTCCTGTACCCGTTCTTCCTGCTGCCTCCAGAAGCAAATTTTCTAAGTCTGCCATGATCACCCGTGAAACAGTTTTTCTCCTGAAACCATTTAAAAACCATAGTCAACCAGTTTGAACATTCATCACCACAAAAAACACACACAAACACACACACACACACACACACACACACAGGGAATACTATAATGCATCCACAAGGAAACTATGAAGGGATGCTCATTAAAACAATGATGTGAATCTATAGCTTACTATGGGATAATAAACGGTTACTATTTTTATAGTAAAACAATACAAAAACTAAAGGGGTCTACTTTTGTAACCTTAACTTGCTCATCTACCTTCCCTCTTCAGCTTTTCTTTTACCGTTACCAATGGTGAATCTCAGAATCAATTAACAAACATTATAGTACTACAACAATAAAGCAATGACCTCCTAAAAACACTTATCATGATCAAGAAGCAGATCTAAGCCAGAAAAATTGAAAAAAAAAATCAAAATTTCAAAACAAACAAAAAAAGGGGATGATACCGGCGCCGACGAAGCGACAGAAACGGCACCGCCTTGGCCTTAGAGATATCACAAAACCCAAAGAGGTAAGGCTAACCTGGTTGCCGCGGAAAGTGTCGGTTCTCGTCACGGATTTTTCTTTTTCTTTTATCGGAGCCTGGAATCAGAGGGTGTTTGAAAGAGAAACCGAGGGTAAGGAGGGCAAGCAAATGCACTGGGTTCGTGGGGCAAATTACTTGGGTTTGATTTTTCATTTTACCGGCCCACATAATACCAGTTCTTTAAATAGTCAATGGCATTAGCCCATTTGTTGATCTATGGGCCCCAATTATAGTGTCATTGCCTGGACCGCGTTTGGATCTGTTCCATTGTCCTTTTTTTTTTATAATTTGAAACACAACAAGATAAAACGAACTCAGCTTGCAGGGATCCCCCACCGCTGTAAAACCGAAACTCAGTAAAACCCTAAAAAAAAAAAAACGAAACAATGGAGCAAATCCAGCATAACTTCATCACTGTAAGAGGTCTAAAATTTCATGTTGCTGAACTGGGGACAGGTAAGAAACGGGTTCGGGGTTCCACTTCATTGTGCTCTTTTCCATTCTTTACCGTAGACCTTCACTGATTTCTAATCTCTTTTTTTTAATCAAATCATGTTGGGTTCCATCTTCAGGTTCTACCGTGGTGCTGTTCTTACACGGATTCCCGGAGATATGGTACTCATGGCGACACCAGATGTTAGCTATGGCCAGTGCTGGGTTCCGTGCCATTGCACCCGATTACAGAGGCTACGGACTATCCGACATACCACCCGAACCCGAAAAGACCACCTTTGCTGACATCGATGCCGACCTCGTTGCTATCTTAGATCACCTTGGAGTTGATAAGGTCAATTTTTCTGACTTCTGTTTGGTTTCCATTAATCAGATTTATATTCACCAATTATTTGTTTTCCAAAATATACAGGCGTTTAATGTTGGTGGGATTGTTTGCAATTGAAATTTATTTCTAAGTGTTGAGTGTGGGTTGTGGTATTGATTCTTTACCATTGTTGCTTTCTCCATCTCTATGAGCTTAGGTTTTTCTTGTTGCGAAGGATTTTGGAGCCAGGCCTGCTTACCTGTTTGCTCTTTTCCATCCTCATAGAGTCTCTGGTGTTATAACAATGGGAGTCCCACATGTTCTCCCGGCACCTCCTAAGTACGAACAGCCCCTCCCAGAAGGCTTCTACATGTCAAGATGGAAGGTATATTTTGGATATTTTGTTGAAGCGTTTGAAGTGATTGATAAAGTGAAAATGGTCTTACTTGATTGAGTTTTATATCATCGGGATTTACTGTAGGAACCTGGTCGGGCGGAGGCTGACTTTGGACGATTTGATGCTAAAACAGTTGTGAGGAACATCTACATACTCTTCTCCAGAAGTGAAATACCAATAGCAGCAGAAAACCAGGAGGTCATGGATTTGGTGGATGCTTCTACTCCTCTTCCACCTTGGTTCACGGAGGAAGATCTTGCAACATATGGAGCTTTATACGAGAAATCTGGATTTAAGACTGCATTGAAAGTTCCATATAGGTATGGCGTTGGTTCTAACAAAATCCAGTGATATATGGAACCTCCGTTTATATGTTCTGAGGACTCCATGGTCCTTTCCTTAGTCAATTGATTTCCACAGTTGTCATTATGGATATGCCACTGTAATCTCCTCCAACATATGACATAGTAGCAGGCTGACCATACCATCAGCTTAGAGTTATGTAGACTGCTATGCTTTTAAGTTTTAGCTAGGCTATGATTGCAAGTACATCAAAGGATTTCCTCTGCTTGCTAATTATTTGAGTTTTAGTTCAATTTATGCTCATATTTGGGGTTGATCTGTGCTTTTGTAGGTCATTTGATGAAGAATTTGGCATAACAGATCCAATAGTTAAAGTTCCAGCATTACTGATTATGGGTTGCAAGGATTATGTCTTCAAGTTTCCAGGCATGGAGGAATACATAAAGCTTGGAAAGGCAAAAGAACTTGTACCTGATTTGGATATAATATATTTGCCTGAAGGAACCCACTTTGTTCAGGAGCAGTCACTTGAGCTTGTGAATGAGTTAATCCTTGACTTCCTCAAGAGCCATATTTGACAGTGTCCTTCTGTGAACTGTCTCTAATACTTGGCTGGTGTTTGTATGAGTCTTTAAATACCGTATGAATAAGAAACACAGTTGTTGTAATGTAATTCAGTGACATCCTCTTTAAGTCGAATGTATGGTTTCGAATACTGGAATTAGGGATGATAACGGTTCGATTTGAAGCGGATTTAATTTGATTTTTTTGGATATTATATAATATTATAAAATTTTAAAATTCGATCTAAATTCAAATCTAAATCTTTATTCGATCAAAATCGGTATTGTTTGGTTTATTGATTTCTAACTTTTAATTCTTAATTTTTATATATTATTTAAATATAAAATTTTAATATATTTAAATAAATTTTGATATAAGATTTATATTTTTATTTTATAAAAATTTAAAATATATATAATTTGATTCAATTTAAATTTTTGAATATGAAATTCGATTTAAATTTAATATATACATTTAATATTTAAATTTGATTTGAATCGAATAAAAAAAAAATTAATTCGAAACAAATCGAACATTACGATTTTAAATCGATTTTTATATTTCTCTTTCTTTTTCACCCCTAACCGGAATAAATCACAGCCGCACTGGCTCCGGTTACACATAGGATTTCTCTTACAGCATTACAGGACAAAATTTGGAAGCAGGCGTTGAGGAAGGGCTGTTACCCATATTCATATAAAGCTAAACATCCCTACTTATATTTGAATGATAAAATGTAAAATACACATTTATGAAACTGAATATTAATACACAAGTTAATGGAAAACTTGTTGATTACATTTTCACTTCTATATACACGAGTCTTGGCCTGCATCAAGACAATGGAATAGTGCTACAAAGAATAATATGGTCAAAAAGGAAAAGGGAAAATTGTGGGGGTAACAACAAATAGGTCAATGGAGACTATAAAAGAGGTCTGTGGTCAGTTTGATACAGTGTGCTGCCCACTTCCATCCTCGTTGGCACAGGCATTGTGTGATAACAAATAGCTAATATAAAATGGAAGATAAGGCTGCACAAAAAATTTCATTACTTCTCATGGCATCCTACATGATTCAATCACTTCACTCACAGCTTTATGAGTCTCTGGAGAAATCATGTTTAATGTAAAATGAAATGCCTGCACAAGGAGAAAAGAAGTGTGTTACAGATTATCAAATTACATAAATATGTTCCCAAGTTATCCACTAATTTCGTAATTCCAAGGCCTAAATGCAGTAAATTAATTTCTAGTCAATGGAAGGGAACATCAAACCATGAAGCTGCGATGACCATGACCAACTAATAAACCCTATAGTCAAGATCCCAGGCCTAAACTTTTGGCCAAAGTCTAATTTATTTTGCTCATGATGAATGAGTTACAATCACCTCTTAAAAAAAGTCAACCTACTGCTATATTGCTGCTAATTTCATTATTTGATGGTACTTGGATTAAAGACATACCACAAATCTCTCCAACACAGGTACCAGGATTGTCAGGCTGTGATTTGGGAGACAATCAGCTATTGCATTTCGTGTGTTCTTACTGTCAATGACAAAGTGGAAAAAACAATTTAGTAAGAAAACATGGAAAACTGAGCACTGGGGAAGATACAAAAACTACCAACCTTTCAGTAGAAAGAAATGCAAGTAGTAGAGCTGCATAGGCTTCTAAAATCATCTTCTCTGCTTCTTTCTCTTCTTGCAGCATAGCAGCTTCATCATTCTGTACAATCCAATACAATGAAGATTTAAGGCATGACAATCGTGATAAATTCTTCAACCCCACTAGCATAAAAAACATAATGCTCTGAGCCATGATAAATGAGAGGAAAGGAGGGGAAGGGGGAGGGGGAAGGAAGCAGAGGAATGAAGGGCAGATTTTGTATCATATAGAGAAGAAGTCCTCACCCAAGGCTGAACTTCTCCAGTAGAGTCGTCTTCTCCATGGTTCGCAAGAAAGATGGCACATAGCAGTGGAATTACAGCCATGCGACTCTCCTCTCTTAACCCTTTTGAATTTGGTAAAGAAACAGAAGCTGCTGCAAGCCGTGATCTGCATAGAAGCATGGCACTTAATTGCTGTGTACCTCTTTTTTTGACTATATAAGGCATAAAATGACCTCTATCCTTCTTTGTAAGCCACTGCACTGAATACAAAGAAACCAACCTGTTGTGTTCATCCTTCTCTACTAGGTTCACAAGCAGACCCAGTATTGCTACAAGGAAATCCAACTCTGGATCAGTAAGAGGTCTGTCATTCCTGTCATCGAGTTCTAAACTAAGAGAATTCTCTTCCATTTCACTAGCTCGAGGCAAATAACAGCAGAATGAAGGGAAGTGGCTGGCAATCAATGTAGACAAGGTTTCTAGTGCCCCAGAGGCAGCAATTTGTTGACAGCCGAGAGGGTTGTCATTTGTTAAATTCATCAAAACCTGCCAAGACAACACCCCATTATTGACCAAAAAATGAAACAACCACTAGTGTAAGAGAGAAAACATAAAGGATATCAAGATGTTTATACACACCAAAGCCAGTTTTATACTGTCTCAGACCCCATTCAATCCAATCAATACCATTGAAGGATTCAAGAATCAGAACAAGGAGAGCAGGTAACTTTCTCTAACCTCATTGTAATCATGCATATGATTTGGGCATCAAAGCTAAAAACAAGCACTGCAAAGGTTGGATGAAATGTAAACTACAAATGCAAGAATACCTTGACAGCAGCAAGAAGACAGTCTGAAAGAAGGCTGGAATATTCTTCTTCAGCACTTTGAGAACCAGAAGTAGCATTCGAATGATGGTATTCTTCATTGATAAATTCTGTCTGGAAAATTTCCCCATTCCTTGATTCTTGTTGGCTCATTGAAGTTTGGTATTGATGCTCATCTCGGATTTCTCTGTTTCTTAGCCCATGTTTTTTAGTTTGGGATATCTTTTTTTTCCCAGATAGTAAATCCCACTTTGAAGGAACAAAATCATCTTCATCAAATGCATAAGGATCCTGACTTTCCTCTAAGAGTTGCCATTTGTCATCCTTCATTCCATCAGGTCTCTCACACAGAGTCCCTGACCCATTGCTTGTTACAGGATTTCCATCATATGAACTTCCTAATTTCCCACTACATGAGCTGGACAAGGAAGAATGGATTCTCATGTTTAGTAAACAACTATCATTCGTGGATGTAGTTGCAGTTTGAAAACTGGCTACAGAATGACTCAACCACTGAGTGGAGGGCCCAGGATCATTCTGAGATATATTGAAGCTCTTTTCGGAGAAGGACCAGTCCGTGCTAGATGATTTTTCATATGAACTGATGGAGATAACATCATGTCTATCCACTGCACAATTAAAGAGAATCTATCAAGTCTGACAGAAGCTGCTAGAAAGATACATTTAAGGGATATCAGACTTCCCAATACCTTTACAATCTGCAGCTAGGGCAAATTCATTAGCATCGCCTATTGCTTTAGAATTACCACAAGATCTTTCAGTACTGAATGATGCAGAAGAGCTCTTAAGATAAAGCCCTGGATACAATGACATTGGTAAATCACAATGCAATAAATCTCTCAACAGATAAAAAGAGGATGAAAAAAGAAAAGACAAGATGTTTGAAAGTAGTAATTAAAGCACCAGTAACCTGACAGAATCTTGATTACACTTATAACAAGCTTTGTAAAAGATAGTCGAGATCCATGAGAGTTCAAGTGCCCTATCATTTCTAGGAGATGACTCTACAGTAAAAGAAAAAAAATATAAGAAAATAAAAACAGAATAACTCAAAATCACAACATAAGTACCTGATTGTCACTACTGAGGAATGCAGCATTTTCCATGATTTTCAAACATTTTGAAAGCAGCACCAGGCACTGCACATCCTTTTTATCCCCTGTAAAAGGAGAAGATAAACTCTGCTCCACCAAACCCTGCAGAGAAGTTAATGCATTATATGTCACCAATGAATAATTTATAACATAAATATGCATAAAAAATTGCTAATTCCCAGTTTATGGCTTCATGTAATGTAAGGGATGGAACCAGAAGACTCTCAAAATTTAAAGCAGAACTTCTTAATCTCCTTCGGTTGAAACGCAACGGAACAGAAATGAGCTATAACATAAAAGCTCACACCTCCATAACAGAATGGCTCTCAATGGCCACTTCAAAGACAGCATCAATTCCTCCAAGCTCTCTTAGTTTCTCCTTGAAATTGCCCCCAGTTTTCCTTACCGTACCATTGGTATCTGAATGAAAGAAATGAATGCAAAAAAAAAAATGACAGCAATCAGCAAGGAGAAAAAAAAGTACCCAACAGTATGAGTAAGCATTTATACGTACATATGTGGTTGAGTTCACTGTTTAAGTCTATATTGAGCTAACATTACAGCTCCAATAAGACAATTGATCTATAAAATAAACACTTAAAATCTTAGATATTTCCCTAAGATACCTTCAAGAGAAATTTTAGACAAACAAGCTTTCTCCAAAGTCAACAAAGCTATCCATTTTGGGCTTAACTCTGGCCTTCTTAAACCCCCATCATCCCCACATCTTGGCTTAATTTCCTTGCAACTAACAAGAATTTCCTCAACTTTGGAAATAATGGCAGCAGAGCTTGAATCCAAAACTTTAGTTGGATCCCGTGAGATGTCAGCATCCTTGCATAATGCCAGAAGCTTAGAGCCCACTTTCCCAGTTTTGTTTTCTTTAGCAGTGATGATGACTGGCTTCAACACTTTAATTAGGAATTGAATGCAATTAGGTGATTCAAGGAGATGCTCATCTTGACCCTGCATAATAAATTCATACAAACCTTGATGAATACTATAATTGACATGTTCAAAACATTTGATTCAACTATATGCAAATAGTGGTCTAAAAAGAATTGATGCAAACAGATCAGAAAGTATATAACCTACAACTCTTAAATTGTGATGCATGAATGATACCTGATATTCTTGGAATACCTAAAAATAATGCATTTACCTTAAATAAATATTGCTCTTCGGGCATCCAAGCATGGATTTCTTGATATCTGAATTTTAAAATTATTTTAAAATAAATAAACATGTTGACATTTTTCTCTCCCTCATAACTGAAGATAAAAGTAAGGTGATAATCAAATGCGTGGCAGGACTGATTAACATCACCTTTAATTATAACCAGTTATAGGATGGCACTAAGTGTAAGACTGCAGTAGATGACCCACATATACAAAGTCTTTGGGTGCAGAAATAATAGTGCTAATAACAATGTGATTCTTCACTTTTAACTTTCAATTTAATTCCAGATCCACATATTCTCACAAGAATCCTAATTGTGCATAAAATCCTCTACTATTAAGCAGAAATTACATATAGGTCCATAAATAGTTATTGAAGTGAAACTTCAAGTGCTGAAAAACTTACATCACTGGTCAAGACATATAAAAGGGCCACAGCAGCCAGATTGCTTGGGATATCATCAAAGTTGAGGCCCAAAATAGCATCAATTATTGTCTTTGCCATCCTGAAATGAAAAATATTTGCAAAGCCGGTGTAAGGACAACAAAGTGCATCACTGTAATTCTGCCTTCCAGAAGACATGAGGAATCATCATGCATATGCCTGGTCTAAAGAGAGAAAATAATACTCAACAGAAACCACTCAATCTTTTATCTATATCATTCTTTTGGATAGAGAGTGAAACACATATTCAACCAGTAAAAATTTTAATGCATAAATTCAGAAAATCAAATAAGCTAAAAGGTTCGATTAAAAAATATCTTCAAAAAGATTTTTTTTTTTAATAAAAATAGAAAAGAAAATATACAATTAACAAATTACAAGGATAGCTGATCCTATCATGGATAACTTCATATGCTAAAGTACCTTATGCTACTTTCTTAGAAAGATTTAGAAAACTAAAACACAAACCCAGATGCTTCGAAAGAAGTTATAGAGTGCACAGACAAGATGATGGGTATGCTGAATCTCAAAGAGATGAGAAGAGGATTAAAGGTTTCCATGGATCTTTACATGTAAGTATATAAACAAGCATATACTAAATGAACCAATAGAACAATCTAAACTTACTGAATTCGAACTCAGTTATATAGGTTTATGTAATAAATAACAAGTTTAAGAAAGCTCGAAAATATTACCGAAATTGGACGATAGTCAAAGAAGGCATTTAAAAAAAATCAATTACATTGCTTCCTCAAAAGATTAAGTAAACTGTCTTATATATTTTCTCCCCCATCACTTTTCATCCCCTTAAGATGTTATTAGAAAAAGGCTATGCCATGTTTTATGGCCATCAGATGTATTATACTACTTAGAATTGTACAAGTTTTCAGGTGCTGTCAATAACATAGAAAAAACTATATATTTAAAATTCTGACAGATTCACAGAAGGGAATTCAAATTTTCAAATATATTTAACAGTCTAGAAATCATGGGAGGGAATCTAAGTTTTCAAATTCTTTCTAAAAATTTTAATCCATTTATCCCTAAAAGCCTAAAACCACAGGTCAAAACACCCGTTTGAATCAATAAAGTAATTTCATGAACGAATCTACATTCAAATTTCAAAAATCCACGCAAAATTAACACTACCCAGATGCCCAAAACAATAGATTTCAACAAACAAGCCTCAAAACCAAAAACCCAAAAAGAATTCAACATACCCATGAGTTCTCAAAAGTCTCCTCTGCTGGGCCGTGCCGCTGATTGAAAGCAAAGACAAGAGACTCGCTCTTCTGATCCTCACTGGCTGGCCTTTCTTTAACCCATCAAGCGCGAAATTTACCTCATCAACGTGCTCCATCATTTCCCCGAATTCTTGAGCCTCCATCAGAGTCGAAGTCGGCGAAATCCAGGGCATAGAAGAATATCGTACCTCTTTCTCGCTCTGGCTTTGCTTCTGTTTCTTGGATCTCCGCATTTCGCCGTTTCTTGAATCGTCAAAATCGAAATTAATTTGGGTTGTTTTAACGGTTGTTACTTGGTTCTTGTAATCTTCGTCGTCGAATTCTTGAGAGGATGGCCAGAAGCAAGAGGATTCTTGAGTGGTAAAAGGGAAACTGTAGGTGTCCTGAGACAGCACCGTTTCTTGAGAGAGGGGAGGGGAGTCGGATACGTCGTCGTTTAGGGAGTCGGAGAATGTCCTGGTCAAACCACGACTGCGGCGACCGTAACTCCGAACGATCATGGCTCGGTGATTGGATTCCTTTCTGGTGCCGTTCTCTCGGATTTGGCATTTAAAAGAAAGAGAAGGGTATTTTGGGTCTCATACATTTTAAATTAAATTAAGAATAAAATTTAAAATATCATTTTTTTAATAAATTTTTTTATAATAATCCTGAATTTTTTTAACGAAAGCTCTCTCTTTACTTATATAATTTATTGAATATTTATTTTTGAAAAATTATATAATCTTTTGGACATAGAGATTTAAAATTTTGTGACAAGAAAAAATAAATAATTTTATTTTAAAAATTTTTGAAAAATATAACGAATTGCGAAAGGAAAAACGAGATGTCTTTAGAACCTCTTTGAAGAAATCAAGATTTTGAAATGAAATGAAAAGCTGTCTTCCTCTTTCTCTCTCTTTTTGGACAGTGAGCTGAGAGAAAATAACGTTTTAGGACAAAGCGGAGAGAGAGACTTCGGGTACTTGGGGGCTTTCGGGTTGGGATTTTGATTTGATTTGGGTCCGGTTTAATTTTATAAGTTTCAGTGCAATTTTTTACATTTTTTTATTTTTTCTGGTCGACCACCACAACAACTATAACTCAAATGTGTGAACAGAGATGATAACGGATTTGGATGAATTTTTATTTGTTTTGAATTTAATTTGATTTTATGTTTATAATATTTAAATTTAATTTAATTTGATAAATTTTTTTATTTAAATTTGATTTAATTTAATATTATATAAAATTGTATATAATTTAATTAAAATTTAATACAATATTATTTTAATATAAATATTAAATTAAATAAATATAAATATAATATTAAATAAATAATTTTATATATAATTTTATATATATATCAAATCAGATCAATGAATTTTTTTAAAATTTGATCTTAATTTTTCCTGACTATTTTCTAATTCGATCCTATCTAAAATTTATTTTTAAATAAAAGAAATCGATCGTATAACATACAGTCGAATCAAAATCCGCTAAAACGGATTGAACTACCATCTTTAAGTGTGAGGAAATGACCCCAAATAGCCAAAAAAAGTGAGGGTAGTTTGGTCATGTACCGCGACAGTTGGGATAGGGTCAGGTACTTGGACTTGGAATCTTCAATCTTGGATTGGGTTGCCGGGGATATTAATATCGGCTTTTGAAATTTAGTAACTTTTTTAAGAGATAAGGGTATTAAAATTTGAATTTTAAATATATGTAAATTATTTTTTAAATTTAATTATAAAAATTAATTGACATATATCATTAATTCAATCTATTAGTATTTTAATTACTATTTTTGTTTAAAAATTCAACTTTGTAATTTTTTTAATAATTTAATACTTCCGTATATATTTTTCTTTTGAAATTTACACTAAATCATGATTTTTCTTTTAAAAAAAATGATGATTTTCATTTTTATTAAATTTAATATTTTTATCGTAATATTATTGTTTTACTCAATCAAAAATATAATATCCTAAAAAGATAGCACAATGTATGCTTAAGCAAAAACATACATATAAAGATGACAACAATTGTATCGATATAAATTTTCACTCAACTTGATTTTTTAATATTTATATCAAATCTGATTTAATATTAAAATATTATTTTTCATACTTAATTTATATAGTCATAAATTAAAATTGATCTTACCAAAAATTAATTTAATATCATATTTATAAAATATTATTTAATATAAATTATATTTAAATTATACATAAATATAATATTTTTATTTTGTTAAATTTAAAATTAAAGTGTTAAATATTAATTTTATTAATATAATACATATAACTAATTAAATAAATAATAAAAATTATTATATATATTCGGGTGAGGTATCAACTCGACCCTCACCTGACCTAAAAAAAAAGTCAACTCAATTTGATTTTATAAAAAAATTCAATCCTATCGAATCAAAATAAATTAAAATTAATTGAATATAAATTATTTTATCATCCATATATACACGTGTTGGCATTTTCTCAATCTCAGAGGTAATAGGCCATGGCCGCCTCTGAGGTTGTTTCGTTGTTGGAAAAATTCTTTTTTTCAACAATTTGTATTTTGGTAACATTATGTTCAAATATGAAATATTATATATATATATATATTTAAATCAAATTTCGAATCGATAAATAAAAATTTTTAAAAAATCAAATTAAATTAAATTCTATAATCTTATTAATTTTGTATATTGAACTGATATAATTTGGATAAAATTATATCATATAAAAATTTAATTTAAATTTTGATTAAATTTTAAAAATTTATTATTTATATTTTATTTTTAAAAAAATCAAATCCAATCTAAATCATTATCAACTCTAATATTAAATAGTAAAGGAAGAGGCTTATTATGGGCATTTAATGATTATAAAAGCCCGTAATAAAGCATTTACAAGTGATAATAATATATAAGACCGAACTTAATCATAGGTTTTTTATTTTCAACCAAAATTATCATAATTTTTTTATTTATTTTGAGAGAAAATATATAAAAATTATTTTTCTAATTAAAAAATATATAATCAAATCAAATACTGAATATAAATTTAGCTATAGTTTTAGTTTATCGGATTTGTTATCATAATTTGACAAATTGTAAGGAGTTGGTGGTGTTTCTAAGCAGGTAAATGATGGTTAATCCAAACCAGATGGAGAAGAAGAGAAGGATTGCTAACTAATTCAAGTTTTCAATAACCAAAATTTTTTTTCATATATATAGATAAAGAATCTTCAGTGTAAAATTAATTTAAATTTTCATATATTTTTATTAATAAAATTATTGAATTTTATTCATTATTATTTAACCATTTATTTGATAATAATAAATTTCATCATTAATACATATTAAAAAATTTATTTTCAATTGAAATAATAATATATTTACAGCAAAAGTCAGTTAATTTAAAAGTTTACAGAAATTACGAAACTCTAGGCAAAGAAGAGCGGTCAAAAGACCGAATCTATAACGACAGCCATATAAGCGGCTAACCAATAGGAACCAGCCACATAAAGCATCGAGCAAGTTAACCTAACCCTAAATTTAAAAAATATCATTAAACTCCACGAAATTTATCCTAATCTTCACTTACGTCCCTCCCGGGTGGTATCTTTCGGTTTTTTCCCCACCACGTCATCGTACGATATTGAAAAGGTAAAATTAGAAATCAGCCCCTCCCCAGCACTGACGCATATAATTGTTTAATATTATGGAACAAATACGCAATAAAGTACTATTTATGACCTATCGCTTTCTGGATCTAGGGTTTTCTCGTTTCTTCATCACCAAAAGGCAAACCCTACAAAAGCCATTGATTTTTTTTTCTGGGGAAAATTAGAAAAAGAACATCGAAAATCAACAAATCAATCGAGAAAAAAAGAGGCCATCCATTATTAGGGTTTTTCAAAATTTTTTTTGAGATCAAACAGCCACAAAAAGCACAGATCTACGTAAACAAATCTGACCAAAAGGAAAGTGAAACCCTAAATTTTACCTTTGATCCTTCAAATTGATCTTTGTTTATTGTTATTGAACTTGCAATCTGCAAAAAAATCTGGTCAAATCTAAAGAGAATCGAATCGATCGAAACAACTTGTAAAAACTTTATTTTTGTGTTGTTGTTGATGACAAGAAGTTGAGGATCTGAATCTGATGATGAGTATGTACAAATCGGTTGTGTATCAAGGGGAGGAGGTGTTAGGGGAGGTGGAGATTTATCCACAACAACAACAACAGCTAAGGGAAGAAGAAGATGGGTGGAAATTTATGGTGGTGGAAGAAGAAATGAAGGAAATCAGAATAGGACATATGACGCAAGGCAGTGAGAGATGTCCGCCACTGGCAGTGCTACATACCATTGCTTGTAGTGGGATTTGCTTCAAAATGGAATCATCAAAGGACAACAACTACTCTTCTTCCTCTTCTCAGGACACGCCTCCGCTTCATGTTTTGCACTCCGAATGTATCAGAGACAACAAGGTATAGCCCCACCAATTGCCCATCAACTTGAACAAAACCCAGAAAAAAAAAAAAGATAAAATAAAACGAGGGAAATAATAAGTTGAAAAAATAATGTTAAAATGGCACAGAATCTACTAATTTACTGAACTTTTTACTGGACAGATTTATTACAGGACCCCAACTTTGAAATTTAGACGATTTTTGCAGAACCCATATCCGTGTAAAAATGCACCCTGTTAGAGAACTATGAATTTCAATGAACCAGTTGTAGCTCCTGATTTTGTGAGAACTGTCTGAACTGAAATGCATGAACTACTGGAACTATGAGAATTTTGACAATTTTGCTGAAGTTGCTGATGCCCTAATTTTGATGACTGTCTGAAACTTTTGTTTTAGTACAGAAAAGAAAATATGAACTGGTTTTTTGGGAATTATGATGTTCTTGATTATTAATTTATCCATAATTTTAGTTAATCCATGGACTGTATGTACCGTAAAATGTGAACTCATGAACTGTTAAAGAGTTTTCTCAACTTCATTTAATCTGCCATGAAAACTTGAGCTGAACCGTTTGAAGTCTTATCCCTGAATTTGTTAAGGTGGGTACCATTTAACGGGAAATCTCTGAATACACCTTTAGGTTTTTATGGATGCTTGTCTTGTAATTGTAGCTGTTAGCCTGTTATCTTTAACAAAGTTTGTGCTTTGATGATGAACTTTACCTGGATTATATCTTACTGTTTCAGAGTGAAATTTCTGATGATATTTATGCAACTTCATTTTTATCAGATAATGTTTTTCTTTTCTTACTGGAATTTTTGTGAGAATTGATGGTGATGTTATTTGGTGCTTCCAGACTGCAGTAATGCCTATGGGAGATTATGAGCTCCATTTGGTTGCAATGTATTCTAGGAACAGTGACGGACCCTGTTTCTGGGGATTCAATGTGGCAAAGGGACTCTATGATTCTTGTGTTGTCATGCTGAACCTAAGATGTCTTGGAATTGTATTTGATCTGGATGAAACTCTGATTGTTGCAAATACAATGCGCTCGTTTGAGGACAGAATAGAGGCTTTGCAGCGAAAAATAAACACCGAGGTTGATCCGCAACGCATGGCGGGTATGGTAGCAGAGGTTAAGCGTTATCAGGATGATAAGGCCATATTAAAGCAGTATGCAGAGAATGACCAGGTTGTTGAAAATGGGAAGGTGATCAAGATTCAGTCAGAGGTTGTTCCAGCCTTGTCTGATAATCACCAACCTATTATTCGACCTCTCATTCGGTTACAAGAGAAAAACATTATTCTGACACGCATCAATCCACAGGTATAGATTTCTCAATTCCGGTAAAGATATTTAGTATATTGTTCAGTTGTTCTTTTCTTGTGCATGTGATGGTTAAATGCTGCCTTATTCCATCCTGTAAATGAGGAATTGTTTGGATTTTATGCAGTTATTCATGTAGAGAATTTTTCATGTTCTCTTATGGTTATTATTGATGAACAAATAGCATTAATTTACTTTATATTTTCCCTTAGATTCGTGATACTAGTGTTCTTGTGAGATTGAGACCTGCATGGGAGGATCTTCGAAGCTACTTGACTGCAAGAGGGCGAAAACGGTTTGAGGTTTATGTTTGTACAATGGCTGAAAGGGATTATGCTTTGGAAATGTGGAGGCTTCTTGATCCCGAGTCAAATTTGATAAATTCAAAAGAATTATTGGATCGTATTGTCTGTGTCAATTCTGGTAAGCTATTTATCAGGAAAGCTGATTTATATGCCTAGCTTGCAATATGATCTGTTTTCACTCTGAAATGGTTCACTTCTTGGTTGTTTTGTACTAATTAATTTTTTGTATCAATAGGTTCCAGGAAATCATTATTTAATGTCTTTCAAGATGGAATATGCCATCCAAAAATGGCATTGGTTATTGATGATCGCTTAAAAGTTTGGGATGAGAAAGATCAACCTCGTGTGCATGTTGTTCCAGCATTTGCCCCATACTACGCTCCTCAAGCTGAAGTATGCATGATGTGAAATTGGCTTCTCTCTTTATGAGCATTTGATGATAGTATACATGAGCAATTTAAGTATTAGTTTCCAACATCATTTTGGCAGCATGCACTTATTGTAACTCTTTACATTGTAGGCAAATAATACCATTCCAGTTTTATGCGTTGCAAGAAATGTTGCTTGCAATGTTAGAGGCGGGTTTTTCAGGTAATAACACTAAAAATCCTTATAATTTTTATTTGTATACACACGGCATAACCTTGTCAGTCTTAAAATGCAAGATTGAGAGATTCAATTGGTCTTATTTTTTTATTGCTTCTAAAATTTTCATGAAATAACCCTGGAAATTGATGACAGAGAATTTGATGAAGGCCTTTTACAAAAAATACCTGAAATTTCATATGAAGATGATATCAAAGATATTCCTTCATCTCCCGATGTGGGAAACTATTTGGTCTCTGAGGTTAGTCATGACAGCTTTTTCCTTTCCTTTAATTCTCATTGGCCGTGGTTGTAATACATATGGGTTATAAATCATTCTTGCTATTGCTACTTTGCTCCTTGTTCCTCACTAAATTTGCTATATTTCTCAGGATGACCCTTCTGCTTCCAATGGAAACAAAGATCCACTTTTATTTGATGGTATGGCAGATGCTGAGGTTGAAAGAAGACTAAAGGTAATCAAGGTGTTTAGGCTTTTTTGATCCATGATACTAGGCTTATGCATTTTACCCTTTTTTTCTCCAGGGGTCTTTTAATTATTTCAGATAGTTCTGATTTTTATTTTACAAGTATTGTCACTTTTTGAGTTTGTTTTTATCTATGTTTGGGTTGAATTTAAAACTTTGTTCATTTTCATTTCCTTGTTTCATCCAGGAGGCAATTTCAGCTGCATCAACAGCTTCTTCAGCAGCCATTAACCTAGATCCAAGGCTCACCCCTTCTCTTCAGTTCACCACTCCATCTTCTAGTTCAGTTCCACTGCCAGCAGCTGCTCAACCATCAATGGTGTCGTTTCCAAACATGCAGTTTCCTCATACAGCTCACACAATTAAACCGGTGGCTCCTGTTGTGGCCCCAGAACCAAGCCTGCAAAGTTCCCCGGCTAGAGAAGAAGGTGAGGTTCCAGAATCTGAATTGGATCCTGATACGAGGAGGCGGCTTCTGATATTGCAACATGGGCAAGATACAAGAGATCACACACCTCCTGAACCTACATTTCCCCCTGTAAGACCTACAATGCAAGTTCCAGTTCCACGGGCTCAATCACGCGGAAGTTGGTTTTCTGCAGAGGAGGAGATGAGCCCTCGGCAACTGAACCGAGCAGTTCCCAAAGAATTTCCTTTAGATTCTGAGCGAATGCATATTGAGAAACATCGACATCCACCATTTTTCCCCAAGGTTGAGAGTTCTATTCCATCTGATAGACTTCTTCGTGAAAATCAAAGATTATCAAAAGAGGTAATTGGTTCTTTTTGGCGGTCTGGTGTGTAGCCGTGACTTCTTTGCTAAAGTGAAAGGTTAAAGTTACCTCTTCCTGGTGAAACTTAATTATCTTAGAACATAATTCATTTGCAGGCACTTCATAGAGATGATCGGTTGGGGTTAAACCATACACCGTCTAGTTATCATTCTATTTCAGGTGAGCTGAAGCTATTAGTTGCACATTGAAATGAATGCTGCAATTCATTTTATTTAATGGGCCCTTGTTATTGTTGGTACTGAGGTTTAATTTAGCTGCAAATTTCAGACTTTTATTGCCATTACTGATGTTATTCTTTTTATTTTACCTCAATTCTCATCTTGTTTTTTCCCATAACTTGAATTTTCTTTTCAATGGAAGTTCGTAGATTAGTACCTTCTTTTCTGATATGTAATTTTTGTAAGTTTTTGAGCACAATGAGTTATTTATAGCTTTGTTATTTTTGTCCTTTTGTTCAGTTTGAATGATTGTAGTTGCTATATCTATTTATTATTTTTAGTGTTTGATTTTGTTATATTTGGGGTGTTCTACATTTTAAGGTGAGGAGATAACCCTGAGTCGATCATCTTCTAGTCACAAGGATCTTGACTTTGAATCTGGACGAACTGTTCCAAGTGGAGAAACTCCAGCTGAAGTTTTACAGGATATTGCAATGAAATGTGGAGCCAAGGTAATTTGGAAGTAATTTGTATTATTTGGGGTAGATCATAACGTTTGTCTACAAATATCATATACCCATATGTTTCATCTTAGTATATATTCCTACTGCTTCTAAATTTTGTTTCTAAAACTTGTAGGTGGAATACAGACCAGCGTTGGTTGCTAGCCTCGACCTGCAATTCTCCATTGAGGTTTCATAAACTCTTTGACTTGTAAATTAGTTTTTACTTTTTCATGCTATGACCTTTTCACGCACAACTAATTTGGGGTTTTGTTTAAAGTTCTGATTCTTATTATTACTATTTTTGGGTTTGGTTTCTTTTGGTATTTCTAAATTTGAGATGGAGACATCCTCCTTTGCTTATCCTGTTTCTTGCCTGTGGTAGGCTTGGTTTGCTGGGGAGAAAATTGGTGAAGGAATTGGCAGAACAAGAAGAGAAGCCCAACGTCAGGCTGCTGAGGATTCTATAAAAAACTTGGCTAGTAATATGTCTTACTATTTTTGTTCCTTGTTGCATCATTCTGTTGTTATCTACATGTGTATTTTGCCCTATATCTGAATTTGACAGGTTGAGATCCTCTCTAACGCTTTTTTGACTAATAATAATAATCAATGCACCAGTGCAAAACTTAAAAGTGATATTACACATCAATCTCTGCTTTACTGAACTTTCTGATATAAACTGGATACAAAGAGGGAAGACAGTGAAAACAACTACTTCAAAGAATACCATATTTTCCAGTAGTAAGAGCAAATGCATTTAATTTTTTTTTCCTTTAAAGTTTGTATTATGCCAACCTCATAAATACTCATGGTCATAATCTACAGAAGAAAATTGCTTGATGGCTCAGGTTCACCAAACTGAATAAGAAATATCTGGCACAGAACTCATGTCACTAGATTGTGAGCTTTTCAGGCTTGTGATTAAGCCAAGTTGAACTGGTTATGTTTCTGTTTCATCTCAGAGGAATGTCTTGTTGGCATGTTTATTTTTTTCACTGTACATTGATTCATTCAGGCTCTCTTCTTGCAGTGTTTTTTTGGAGCAATTCTGACTCCCTTATAATTTGCTTACAGATACATATTTGTCACGTATTAAGCCCGATGCTGGGTCTGCACAAGGGGATGTAAGTAGGTTGCTCAACACAAACGACAACGGCTTTCTTGGTAATGTGAATTCATCTGGGAACCAGCCATCGTCTAGAGAAGAATCTATGTCGTTTTCAACTGCATCAGAACCATCTAGGCTTATTGATCCAAGGGTGGAAGGCTCCAAGAAATCTATTGGTTCAGTCATTGCGCTTAAAGAATTAGTGAGATGGGAACTCATTAGTTATTTTAGTCTTCAAAATGTTCAACTACTATCTCTGGTGTAATCTTTAGTTTGGATTAATGATATGTGGTTTGTTTACAGTGCATGATGGAAGGCCTTGCTGTAGCTTTTCAACCGCAGCCTCCTTCATCTAATCCATTGCAGAAAGATGAAGTATACGCACAGGTTTGCATTTAACAAATCCTTTTATTCTTTATGGTCAAGTGCAAGAATAGTTTTTTTAGCTAATGAGGAACAGAGAAACGACAAAGAACCATAAACGTGAACTAAGTGCTTTTAGAGCCTGAATTAAGTGATCTCTGAATTCGTTGGGGATCCCCTATTACATAAAACTCTTCAATCATTACTTGGTGTGGCAGTAAAAGAAAGGATAAGGTCATTTTTCAGATGTAGAAGCAAAATTCATCTTCTGACTTTTTAATAATATTTATTTTTCTCCCTTGATTATAACAGTTTGTCCGTTCTGGTTTTATGGTTTAGGTTGAAATAGATGGGAAGGTTCTAGGGAAAGGGATTGGGTTCACATGGGAAGAGGCTAAGATGCAGGTATATTTTTGTTATATTTGTATTCAAACTTTTATTTTGTGTGACTTGTTTTATTTCTTACTGTATAACGTCATGCTCTTTTTTCTCCTCCTCCTTAGGCTGCTGAAAAGGCCCTTGGAAGTCTAAGATCAATGCTTGGTCAATTTCCTCAGAAACGTCAGGGTTCTCCAAGGTGTGTGATCTTACTTGTACTCTTACCTGTGCGGAAAACATATTTGTTGCTCCATTTACATCACCTTATTTGGTGTATTATTGGTTATATGGACAAGGTCATTCCAAGGTATGCAAAGTAAACGGCTAAAGCCAGAGTTTCCACGAGTTATGCAGCGGATGCCCTCTTCTGGTAGATATCCCAAGAATGCTCCTCCAGTTCCTTGAAGACCTAAAGGCCTTCCAGTAGACTTCTCATTTTATAGTGTAGCACCTGTTGTGACATCTGTACAGTACACAACATAGACAATGGGTGAGGGCTGTTGAGACCTGCAACCCAAGTTGACTGTTAACTTCAGTGTTTCTTGCGTAACGTGTCTGAAGCCCCCACAGAGGAGATTTCATGGTTTAAATTCTCCAGAAAGCACGAGGGAGATGTTTTACCGGATTTGCATTCACCGTCCTATCCTTGCCTCGAGGAATTTGTTCAGTTCAGACAGATGATAAATTTGGTAATGTAATGGTTTTTCTCATCAAAATGCTTAAACAGTCCACAAGGTGGCAATTGCAAAGGGAGGCGTCCCATAGCCCTCTGCATTGTTATTTGGTTGATGCTGCTACTACCAAATTCTTGGTGGAAGTTGGTTATTTACTTGTAGAAGGATTAGCGGGACACAGGCACTAATGGAAGGCAAGGCAAGGCACAGCTTCTTCCTGTTGTTTACCACACAACAGTCAACAGTGCTTACTAACCATAGCCTGTTTTTTACCATAGAGCCTGCGACCCAACTAACTGGTTTGCTATTTCTGTCTATTCGTGAGGGAATTACACTTGGAAACCAGAGTCTGACAATGGTGAAATTTGCTTAGTTGACTGAGCTGATGTAATGCAATTTTTGGCTTTTCTCATCTTCTCAGCTGCTTCATCCAAAGATGTTGGGTTTGCCTTTTGCTTTAATTTCTCTCGAAATCTCGAATTAGAAGAGAGAAAATCCAAATGATCCACCCTCCAATGAAATTTCACTAAACAGTTAAAATTTTTGCCAATTTTTAATGATTTTCCCAGAATAAACAGCTCTTCTTTCTTTGTTTTCCTTTCCTTTGGATTGGATGGAAAATCAATTTGGAATATTCAGAGTATGACGTAGTTCCTATCATGAAAACATAAGGCCACCAAAAACGACCAGAAACGTCGTCGTTTAGCTTCTAGTAATAAAAAACTTGTTCCTGACAAAATCAAGTCCCTTCCCGTCCCCCTTAGGTATATAGAAAGTCAAAAATAAAGAAACGAAAGGAAATTGAAAGAAAGCAAACTCTCACAAAAAAAAAAAAAAAAGCTTAAAATCTCCGTTTCAGTTCCTTTCTCTACTTTCTTGGAGAAAAATGGCGTCCTTTGAGGCGTACGGTATGGAAGGAGAAGAGATTCACGCTGCTGCTAATAATCATCCTTTCGAAGTTGACGACGAGAGCAACTCCAATTTCGGCTCTTACTCCAACTTCACCGACAACCAGCAATTCCCGCCGGATGGTGATGACGTCGCGGTGGATCACGTGACTTCCTCTCCTGATATCTTTGGCTTCGGATCCTCCGATCCAACCCCCGCCTACTCGCAATCTCCTTTCGATACTACGATTCCTGTCGAGAACGGGAGTGGAACCAATGGATTTGGTGTTGGACATGACGACGTCTTCACTTCCGATGGACCGGTGCTTCCTCCTCCTACTGAGATGGAGACTGAGGAAGGCTTCGTTCTTCGCGAGTGGCGGCGGTCAGTAGTAGTAATTTCTTTCTCCATATGCTTGATTTGTTGGCTTTTCTTGTGTGGATTTGACCAGATCTGTTGATTTAGCAATTATTATCAGCTTAGATCTATGGTGCTTTTGAATCTTCTACGTAATTTTTTCCTGTTGCATTGGTTGAACTAAGTTTAACTCTAATTCAAATTTGTTAATGATCCCTTCGTGCTTTCAGATCTGCCTTGGTTTTAACTATTGCGGCAATTAGCTTGTTGTTTTGCTAGATTTTTTTTTTATCGTTTCATTTATGTTATTTATGAAGTTCAGATTTGTTGATCTCTCTTGTTAAGGAATTTATTGAAGTTCATTAATGTTACTGACATTATATAATGACACTACAAAGTCACTCCTTTGTTGATCTGATCCTTGAAATTTCTCAAATACTTGATATCATATTCTTTTGTTTCAGAATCTGTTTGGCATTATAGTTTTATGACATTACCGAACTCTTCCTTGCTTTTAGTTTTTTATTGAGTTTTGTCTTCAAAGTCTATGAACTTATAAGTACTTTATCCTATGCCAAGCTAATTTTGATATTGTTAAGATTTTGTTGGTTTATATGAAATAAGTCCCCTATAATATTCCCTCTACTTATGCTGATTTTCATAGAGGAGGTTACTTTGTGTATCTATACTAGGTGTATAAGCGAAGCCTTTCTTTTCTTTGCTCTTTCTATATGGATGTATTTGGTACACAAGATTATGATAACATAAGATAAGACGATATTACAAGTAAGATTAGATTAAATAATGTCATCTTAACTTGTGTTTGATGCGTGCAAAAATTAAGATAATTTATTTATGGGTCAAAATTATCTTTGCTCAAAAAATTTATTTATGGGTCAAAATTATCTTTGCTCAAAAAATTATCTTTTCTCAAAGTTTATGTAATTTAAATTATTGATGTAATTTTTAAGGGTATAATAGGATATGTAAGTTTAATTTCATGGATTAAAAATAATACTTTTCACTTTGGGAGAATTGAATCATCTTATACCAAGAGGATGATTAATCTTCTTGTAATCCTATCTCTGACTTTAGATACAAACCAAACATAATATATAATGATTATTATTCTATCTTATTCATCATCCTATGCACTAAACATGACTTGTATGTATTGTGTTACCTTTTAGTTGTTGATATTGGTTTTGTTGCTGCAGTCAAAATGCCATTCTACTTGAGGAGAAGGAGAAGAAGGAGAAAGAGTTGAGGAACCAGATTATTGAAGAAGCTGAGGAGTATAAGCGAGCATTCTATGAGAAAAGGGAAAAAACCATCGAGACCAATAAAACTAATAACAGAGAAAGAGAAAAGGTACTATTTCCAACAAAATGTCATATTCATGCATATATTTGCGCTGCTATATCTTAACGATGGTATTTTGGGCTTGGGGCAGTTGTACTTGGCTAACCAAGAGAAGTTCCATAAGACTGCGGATAAACAGTATTGGACTGCGATAGCAGAACTCATTCCTCGTGAGGTTCCAAATATTGAGAAGAAAAGAGGCAAGAAGGAACAAGAGAAGAAACCATCAATAACTGTCATCCAGGGACCGAAGCCTGGAAAACCGACTGACCTTTCACGAATGCGGCATATTCTTGTGAAGCTGAAGCATGCACCCCCACCTCACATGATTCCTCCCCCACCTGCTCCAGCAAAGGATGCTAAAGATGGAAAAGATGCCAAAACCGGAAAAGATGCTGCTTCAAATGGAACTACATCTGCAGAAAAAGGGGCACCTGCTTCATCCACAAAAGATGCCACCATAAATGGTTCCGCACCTGAACAAGATGCTACTGCTGCTGAGGACCAACCTCCTACCGAACCAGGGGCAACATCAACAGCCTAATCCCTTACAATACATTTACCATGGTTCTTTTTAGCCCCATTCATTTTATTTACCTCAAGATTTTGATTTTTTATTGCATCCCATATTACCATGGTATTTTCCTCATAAGTATTTAGTACCATTACTAGACCCTATTCTTAATTGGGTTTTGAAACATTTCATGAGATTGGATTCCAAATGTCATCATTTTATTTTGCTTACTGAATTAACATTGTGGACTTGCGTTGCTGACTACCAAAAATGTGCTATTAATTGTTATAAATTACCAAAAACTGTTGGCTTTGTGGCTTTTCTGTATAACCAAAAGCCCATGCTTACGAATTTCTTGGAAAATGGATTTTGCTGCTGTTGCAAATATCAACGCAATCAGTCTAGTTGGAACGCACAACAGCCAAACAACCATTAAGTGTCGACACCGACTTTTCGGTTCGCATTTGCCATTTCGTCAAACAATATTTTCACTCTTCCGTGGCATTAGTATTAGGAATATTTTTTTCAAACAAACGGCGTTTATTATTCAAACAACAATCGTCCATTTATGTCGAGACACCTCGTTGAAAAGTCATTGGAGACCGTTATTGGAGACTTGGCATTGATTTTGAGATTTTCAATCAGAATTGGATCGTGGGGGCAGATAATCTATCTGAGAGCCTTTTTAGCTGATGGCTGTTTGAAAGTACGAAGATATCCTTCTTGATTATAGCAAGTGCGAGGGTAGTATGGTAATCCAATTTGAAAACATAAGAACCTACCAAATTGTTAAAATTTTCTTATTTTCATTATGATTTGATTTGAATTTTAAGAAAGCAAATCACACTTGCCCGGTGAGTGACAAACTGACAGACACATACACTACTTTCACTAAAATCTTCCTTTTTTTTTTAATTTTATTTTATGAATTTTAAAATAATAATAATCATAATCATAAACAAAAAAAAAATTGCAAATTACATCATTTTTTTATGTAAAAAAAATGCAACATTATGCCCTCTTTGTCATCGACACTTTACAGCCAAAAAGAGGAAAAAAACACTTGAATCTTCACCTGGGGGTCACATGAGTGATTGTGACGGGTACAGAACTTATCTGATAGCTGGTGGATTCAGCAGATGATTGGATCGACTTCTTACTTGAAGACGCCTCCCCGTCTTGAAAGAATCCTGGAGCCGTGAGTACTTTCTCGTTCAGCCGAATGTTTCTTGCTAGCATTTCAATAACCTGGCTCATTAGAGGCCTTCGGTTGGCTGCTGCTTGGGTGCAGAAAAATGCTACTTTAATATACCTAAGAACTGCTTCCTCTGGGAATTCTCCAAGCTCAGGATCCACCAGCTCCAGGAATTTACCTTCTTCATAAAGTTGCCATGCCTATTGAAGCAAACCAAATGAGATATTGAGCTGAACATGTTGAAGAATGATACAGCAGTGTAAATCAGATAAACAAACATAATCGCGTACCCATGCCAGGAGGAACTTGTCCATTCCTCCCAAGTTTGCCTTCGAGCTGTTTCTGCCACTAATTATTTCGAGTACAAGGACACCATAACTATAAACATCAGCCTTCATGGTTAACTGACCACCCAAAGCATATTCTGGGGCCAAATAACCACTGCATAGAATAAAGCAATCATGAGTCATTACCATTTCCTTTTTACTCATTATACACAATTGATTTTAGAACATCGGTTTCATCCAAAAACAAACACCTTTAAAAAAAAATCCTATTACTTGTGCAGTGTTCTTTCATGCTTTCAGTTCCTATTACAGTAACTTGGCCTGAACTCTAAGGGGAATAGGATACTTGATGATTTTATATCCAAAGAAGGGTTTAATGAAGCTCCACAGTAGCTCATCTTTTCCTAGTCCAGTAATAGTTTATCTTCTTTGACAACAACTATGAATTCAGCTATATGCCTACAACATGCTTATTAAGAAACCATACAAATCAAATGCACATCCTATTTTCTTTTCAAATATAAACTTTTCTTCTGCTCTATCATATTTACAGTATTTATTGTTTCTCTCAAAGGATTTCTTCACATGTATCCAATGCTTATTATACGGACTGAATGTCTGTTTCAAGCTGCTGAAGGCATGCACCTTATACATCAACTATGAAAGCATCTTCAATTGCAAAGACAATCACTAAGTTGATTGGGATCTTTATTTGCTACCTAGTGTATAATTTCTCTAAGGAGTCTATATTCTACAACAGGACAGAAAGCCCCAAACGAAAAAAAAAAAAAAAGCCGAAAAAAGTCTCTAACGTCGAACAAGAGCAAAGAAGGAAGCAGTGACATACGTTGTTCCCGCTATTCTGGTGCTAATGTGAGTGATATCATCCGGAAATAGTTTAGCCAACCCAAAATCTCCAATTTTTGGGTTAAAGTCTTTGTCAAGAAGTATGTTACTAGATTTGATGTCTCTATGAACTATACGCGGGACAAGTTCTTCATGAAGAAATGCAAGACCCTTAGCAATACCCATACAAATAGCAGATCTTTTGCTCCAGTCCAATTTGATATTTGTAATCCTTTGATCTGCAAAAGAAAAGGAAATAAAAATGATAGTTCAGCCTTCCCTTCACAGTGACACAAACACAAAAAGAATGTATTGAAGGAAGGGGGTAGCTACCAATTATTAAGTTAAGACCTGGTCACAATTCAAACAAAAACTTCAGAACAATCTTACCTAACAAAATTTTATCAAGACTCTTATTTTCTACGTACTCGTAGACCAATATCCGACTTGTTCCTTGAACACAGCACCCGATCAGCTCAACAAGGTTTGGATGCTTGACATTTGATATAGTATTGATCTCTGTCAAAAATTCACGCACTCCCTGCTTTGATTGGGCAGCAAGTGTCTTCACAGCAACTTCAGTTCCATCTTTCAGAACTCCCTAACAGCATTGCAATATAGCTAATTGTTATTACATTAAAAAAAGAGAGTTATTATCAGAATGCAAAACATTAATGAATTCACAAGTGAATGCTAGAATGTTAGAATCCCCTATTTTATTGCTTGAATGAAAATCATCAGTGTCTGATCTTAATTGATTGTATGGGACATGGTTGACTCTAAGAACCAAGAAAAATCAAAGAACCAAATCTCCAGCATCAGCTAAATCAAAAGCACCTTGTAAACAGTTCCAAACCCTCCACGTCCTATTTTATTGCTTGAATGAAAATCATCTGTGGCTGTTCTTAACTGATTGTATGAGAAGTGGTTGACTCTCCGAAGCAATTGCTCTGCCAAACAAAACAAAACAAGACAATGTTTCAGAACAAACTATATTACAATACTTCAAACAAGTAATAAATCCAAATTCAACGACTTCAAGGTCATGTTTGGCACTCAAGATTATGATAGGATAGAATAAGATGATATTATGAATAGGATTAGATTAAATAATGTCATACTATTTTGTGTTTGATATATGTAAAGGTTAGGATAGGATAATTTATTCATTTGTCAAAATTATCTTTCTTCAAAATTTATTCAATTTAAATTATTGATATAATTTTTAAGAGTATAATTGGGTAAGTAAATTTATTCTAATGAATTAAAAATAATCTTCTCTACTCGGGGATGATTGAATAATCCTATGCCAAGAGGATATTAATCCTCCTTACAATCCCTATCCCTCTCCGTAAATACAAATCAAACATGATATAAGATGATTATTATCATATCCTATCAATAATACTATGTATCAAAAATGACCTAAAGTTCTAAAATTTACATAATATTGTAAAAGAAAATTAAAAAAAAAAAGAGGGTTTAAGAGAATCCTCACCGTCTATACCGCCGGTGGCCTGAGCAGTGGTCCGTCTCCGGTGAACAATTGATCCACCAAAACAACCGCAACTCATATCTTTCTCTGCAATATCTCACTCCTACCTCTCACAGATCACATCATTTACGCCTTTGCAAGTATCAAAGCTATCGTTTGCAAGTATATTCAGATCAAATCAACAAAAAAGTAATAAAAAAAAAGCAATTTTAACTTAAAACAAGTTTGAAAACTTACAAAAATAAAGTTAAATCTAAAGAAAATTGCCAATCATCACCATCTCACTAAAATCAAACGATTCAGAAACAGAAAATGCAATTAATTACCTCGAGTAAAGAGATCGTATGAGATTGGAAGAGAGAAAATGAAATTTCTTGGATTTGGTTTAAGGAGGTGAGAAACCAGAATCGGTCAGGAGTTAGAATTTTTGGTTATGTATTTTTAGTTTACTGAGCAAAAATCAACACAGAAAGCGACCGTTTTTTTTTTTTTTTTCAATTTTAGCGCCTATTTTTGTATGCTTTTTTTATTACTATAATTATTTACAATTATTGGTTCAGGAAATCATAATTAGGATTTAGGACAGATTATTTTATTTGTTAAACACTGGTTATTAGACGTTAAAGGGTTGGTAACTCATTTAAATTTTAAGGATGGATTAAGCGTTGAGAGGATTTATATAAAATATTAAAATTTGTTAAACAAATTTTGACATAAAATTTATATTTATTTAAATTTAAAAAAAAAGTCTTAAATAAAAAAATTACAGTTTAAAGTTGATTCGGTCTATTCGAATAAAATATTATATTTATATAAATACATATGTTAATTTTAATTTTTTAATTTTTTAATTTTTTTATATAAATTAAATTTAATTAATGAATTTAATATTTATTTTTTAAATTTTAATCTAATATAAAAAATTTTTGAAACCTTAATTATTGAATCGAATCAATTTTAAATAAATATATAAATTATTAATATTAAATATAAATTCGATTCTAATACAATTGATTCAACTCATAAACATTTTTATTAATTACATATGCAACATTTTTATGCATTTTTTTATTATATTTTAAGAAATTTTTATATTTTTACTTAAAATTATGTTAATTTTATAATAGTTTTAATTGATTAACGGTTTTTTCTTGAAATCAAAAGAAGGTTTATCTTAAAATGGATTTAAAAAGCTTATAAATTTAATCTTGTAAAATTTTTTCGACTATATCAGAAAATTAATTTTATTAGTGGTAGAAAAGAATTTATGATATTTTAAATTTCAAACCTATGCTGTTAAGGAACGGATCCTCGTGATCATATAACATACTTTTGGTCTATAATACTTGTCATATTTCCCACAACAAACCAAACGTCACAAAACTAATTCCACGCTTTATTTCCACCACCCACTTCTCTAATTTCTGGTAGAAATTAAAAGTCGTGGGTCCAATAATTCCAAAAAAGCTTAGGCAAATTGAAGGCAAAATTTTCAACTAATGAAGTAACGGCCAATATCAGTTGTCTGTCATGGCCATTCCTATATTTACGAAGTATAAATATTAAAATTTATATTTTTATATTGTATTTTATACCAATATTAATATGAAAATATAAATTATACATTTTAATTTTATTAAATTTATACATAATTATTATTAAAATTTTATTTTATATCATATTTATAATTTTTTAATATCATATTTATATCGTATTATCGTATTATATTTTAAATTATTATATTTACGTGTGATGCTTTCAAATCCAACAGTTTTCACGAGCACATGTACTTCAATAATGTATTAATTTAAGTAAGATAACTAGTAAACTTAATTGATGAATTAAATAAATAGGAATTGAGAATTAAAAGTAGATTAAAAAATAAAAATTAAAAATTAAAACACTTTATTAGTTAAAAAAACACAAATTTTTTATTGACGGTCAACTTTTAACCCATTATTAATAGTAATATTAATAAGCTTGTAAAACTACTAGAGTTGACCATTATAAAACATGAATTAGAATAAGAAAAATATATTAGTTTTACGAGCTTATTATTATTATTTTATAACCCAATGGTTCTTGCTCCATTTGGTTAAAGAATAATGCTTCGACAGTTTGAAGTTTTTCGATGATATGAGTAGGATGTAAATGAGCAATTTTTTTATAAGTTGTTCGGATATGTTTTGGTAAATTGTTCATTAATTTTAGATTTTTTTTAATATTATACACATCTTATATAAATATATAAAAAATAAAATCTCTAATAAAAATGAAATAATTGGATGTAGATAATGTATGTTTTCGACATATGAACAATTAAAAAAAATGACTTGTTATTTAATAAATGTAATTTAATAATTAAATAGCTTTATTTTTATTTATCTTAAATCATTCTTAATTAAATTTTAATTACCATCATTAATATATATAATTATTTTACAAAGACTTTTTTCAATTATAAATATTCAACTTTGAATTATATTTGTATAAAAAATATTTAATTTTCAATATTTAATTTTATTTTTTAATATATGAATAGAGTTTTATTGTCAATCCACCGACATTCCACCTAATCTTATGTCTTATATAAACATATAAAAGTCAAAGTTTTTGATAAAAATAGAAAAAATCTTATATGGACAGTTTAAAATATTGATATGTGAATAGTATTAAAAATCGTTATATGACATCTAGTAAATATATTTTATTTTATTTTATATATTTTTAATTTAAAAATAATTTAAAAAACTAAATTGATTATATTTATGTTTTTATTATTAATTTTAAATCACTCTCAATTCAATTTATATTAAAAGTACTAAAATTTTAAAATTTTCATAAATTGACAAATTAAATTAATCAATATATAATTAATAAATTAATAAATACTATAATTATAATTATAAAATAGTTTATTCTTTAATCAATTATTTGATACATTTATATTTGATTAAATATAGTATTAAGCAATTAATGTGTTTTATGTGTAAATATATAAAGCAAATATAATTCAAAAAACTAAATTGATTATATTTATGTTTTTATTATTCATTTTAAATCACTCTAAATTCAATTCATATTAAAAGTATTAAAATTTTAAAAATATATTAATTTAACAAATTAAATCAATCAATATATAATTAATAAATTAATAAATACTAAAATCACAATTATTAAATAGTTGATTCTCTAATTAATTATTTGATACATTTATATTTGATTAAATATAGTATTCATTTGAGTAATTAATGTATTTCGTGATATATTTCATATGTAAATATATAAAGTAAATATATTAAATTAATTCTCTATAATTAAATTAATGGAATAAAATATTTTATTAATTTATATTTTATTGACACATTTTATTTCATTAAATATGATTTCATTTGATTTTTTATATAAATATATAAAAGCAAAGGTTTTGGCAAAGATGAAAAAAATCCTATGTGGATAGCTTAAAATGTTGACATATGAATAGTCTTAAAAATTATCACGTGAAATTTAATAAATACATTTTATTTTATTTAATGCATTATTAATTTAAAAATAAATAAATATTTTAATTCATTATATTTATGTTTTTATTATTAATCTCAAACCACTCTCAATTAAATTCATATTAAAAGTATTAAAATTTTATAAACTTTTTTTATTTGACAAATTAAATCAATCAATATATAATTAATAAATTAATAAATACTACAATTACAATTATAAAAATAGTTGATTTTATAATCAATTATTTAATACATTTATATTTGATTAAATATAGTATCAAATAATTAGTGTATTTCATGTGTAGATATATAAAGCAAATATCATTAAAAAAACTAAATTAGTTATATTTATATTTTTATTATTGATTTTAAATCACTCTCAATTCAATTTATATTAAAAGTATTAAAAATTTTAAAATTTATTAATTTCACCAATTAAATCAATCAATATATAATTAATAAATTAATAAATACTACAATTACAATTATAGAATAGTTGATTCTCTAATTAATTATTTGATACATTTAAAATTGATTAAATATAATATCAATTTGAGTAATTAATATATTTCATAAATAAATATATAAAGCAAATATATCAAATTAATTATTCGTTATTAAATTAATGGAATAAAATATTTTATTAATTTATATTTGATTAATACATTTATATTTCATTAAATATGATTTTCATTTGATTTTCTTATATAAATATATAAAAACCAAAGCATTTGGTAAAAATGAAAAAAATCGACGGCTTAAAATGTTGATATGTAGATGATCTTAAAAATCATCACGTAACATCTAATAAATGCATTTTATTTTATTTTATACATTTTTAATTTAAAAATAATTCAAAAAACTAATTTGATTATATTTATGTTTTTATTATTAATCTTAAATCACTCTCAATTCAATTCATATTAAAAGTAATAAAATTTTAATAATTTATTAATTTAAAATTTTAAATTAATCAATATATAATTAATAAATTAATAAATACTACAATTACAATTATAAAATTGTTAATTATCTAATCAATTATTTAATACATTTATATTTGATTAAATATAGCATTCAGTAATTGACGTATTTTATGTGTAAATATATAAAAGCAATTATAATTAAAAAAAATTAAATTGATTATATTTATATTTTTATTATTGATTTTAAATCACTCTCAATTCAATTTATATTAAAAGTATTAAAATTTTAAAAATTGCTTAATTTGACAAAATCAATCAATCAATATATAATAAATAAATAAATACTATAATTTAAGTTATAAAATAATTAATTATCTAATTAATTATTTGATACATTTATATTTGATTAAATATAGTATCTATTTGAGTAATTTATGTATTTCATGATATACGTAAATATATAAAGAAAATATCTCAAATTAATTCTCCATAATTAAGTTAATGAAATAAAATATCTTATGAATTTATATTTGATTGATACATGTATATTTCATTAAATATGATTTCACTTGATAAAATATTAATCCATATTTATTTCATTTGTTTTCATTTGTAACATTTTATAATTTTATTACTTAATATTAATGCACATTGATTTAATTAAAATTTAATTTGTTTTATTGCCATTATTAATTATGATAAATTTAATTTGTTTTATTATTCTAAATTAAAAAATCTCTAAATGTTAATAGCATAATAAAATATTTAAATATTAATCAACACCAAGTTGTTAGACCATTATTCATTCAAAATTTTTATTATTTAATATTAACTTTCATAATTTAAAATTATCTTATTAATTTACTAGATTTATGTTTTTTATTATTGACTTTAAACCACTCTTAATTCAATTTATATTAAAAGTATTAAAATTTTAAAAATTTCTTAAATTAACATAATATGGAATATAATTCATAAAGCACTTTATATATTTACTGGTTTAAAATATTTTAATAAATTTAATAGGTTTTATTACCATTAAATATAATAAATTTAATTTGTTATATTTTTCAAATTAATGGATCTTTGAATATTAATGGCAGAATAAAATATTTCAATATCAATCAATTATAATTAAATCAACATAAGTTATAATTTATTTATTTTCAATATTATAATTACAATTATAAAATAGTTGATTCTCTAATCGATCATTTGATATATTTATATTTGATTAAATATAATATTTAGTAATTGATGTATTTCATATGTAAATATATAAAGCAAATATAATTCAAAAAACTAAATTGATTATATTTATGTTTTTATTATTTATTTTAAATCACTCTCAATTTAATTCATATTAAAAGTATTAAAATTTTAAAAATTTCTTATGAATTATATATTGATTGATTTAATTTGTTAAATTAAAATTTTTTAAAAATTTGAGTACTTTTAATATGAATGAAATTGAAAGTGATTTAAAGTTAATAATAAAAATATAAATATAAATAATTTAATTTTTTGAATTATTTTTAAATTAAAAATATATTAAATAAAATAAAATACATTTATTATATGTCATGGGGGAATTTTTAAAATTGTCCATATTTCAACATTTTAAGCTTTCCACATAAATTTTTTTTCATTTTTGCCAATAGCTTTGGCTTTTATATATTTGTTATTATATAAAAAAATCAAACGAAATCAAATTCAACGAAAGAAAAATATATTAATCAAATATAAATTAATAAAATATTTTATTATATTAATTTAATTATAGATAATTAATTTGATATATTTGCTTTAATATTACACATAAAATACATTAATTATTTAAATCGATATTATATTTAATCAAATATAAATCAATCAAATAATTAATTAGAAATTAATTATTTTATAATTATAATTGTTGTGTTTATTAAATTATTAATTATATATTGATTGATTTAATTTGTTAAATTAAATTTTTTTTTCATTTTTGCCAAAAACTTTGATTTTTATATATGTATATAAAATTTATTAATATATAAATATATTTTTGTGCATCAAATGAATTTAAAACTAATATATAAGTAAAATATTATATGTGCAATAAGATGGAGGAAGATTATTTGGAGTATTAATTACGTGTTATTTAATATAAACAAAATAACTATTTAAAAAAATTAAAAAGTATTAAATATTTATTTTTGAAAAAATTAACTACTAAATTTATGGTGTGAAAATGATTTGGTATATTAGCTAAGGTCAACAACCGCTGAAGATAAAACACCGACGATTTCCAATACTCATGAATTTCTGATTTCATGGAAGGAGGGATATTTATTTGATTAATTCAATTAATTTTAAATTGAATTATATTATATTATTTTTATTAATTGAATTAAAATTATTAATTTTAAAAATTAATTGATCAAATTATTTCAATTAATTTAATTAAAAATTTTTATTAATTGAATAATAAATATATTTAAATTAAATTAAAATTAAAATTTTAAATAAATTAAATAAAAGTATTCAATAAAATAATAAATATCAATAAATTATATTAAAAATTATATTAACTTATGAAATGAAATAATTAATTTTATGTATTTTTTATTTTTTGTTTTGATTTTATTATATTTTAATTAAAATTAAAATTAAAATTAATTTAATTTTTGAATCGTATTAATTGAAAATTAAAATTTTTTAAAAATAATTTTCGTTAATATGTTAAAATTAATTTATTAATTAAATTAAATAGAATCTATAAATTAATTCGATTAAAACGGAATTATGAATTTCCTGCACCGAAGCTCTTTCCATTGCTTCCTTTCTTTCCCTCCGTCTTTAACACTCTCAATCCTCACTTTAGCAAAGAAGAAAATTAATAATAATAATAAAGGCCAAAATTCTGAAATCGTTAAGCCATGAGCACGACGCAACAAGGAACGCACTCCCTGGCGTTCAGGGTGATGCGGCTTTGCAAGCCATCGTTCCACGTCGAACCTCCCTTCCGCATCGACCCCACCGACCTCTTCGTCGGCGAGGACATCTTCGACGATCCACTTGCTGCTTCCAACCTCCCTCCTCTCTTATCTAGCCACGTCAGTAAGTCCACGGACTCCTCCGATCTGACCTACGGCGACAGATTCCTCCTCCACCACCCCTCCGATGCCATGGGCTTCTCTGGCCTCCTTGTCCTCCCTCAATCCTTCGGGTCTCACTAAATCCCTCTCTCTCTCTCTCTCATTTATTATTCGTTTAATTTCTTTTCATCTGATTATCTTTTTATTTCTGTTCAAATTATTATAGGGCGATTTATCTGGGAGAGACATTCTGCAGCTATATTAGCATCAATAACAGCTCTAATTTTGAAGTTAGGGACGTTATTATTAAGGTCAGTATGTTTACTTTGTTGCTTTTTGATGAATTTGCCGCAATTTTTATTTGATAGCAACTGTTTACCTGTTGCATTGTTAATGTGTTTGGAACGAAAGAAAATTTGAACATTTGTTGACGTTTTTTGCTGTAGTTTTGTAGGAATTGTTCTTTTTCCTTTTTAATTGAATTTGATTAAGCTTTTGTGCTACTAGCATTGAAAATTGAGCAGTGGCAGATCATTTGCTTCTTTTTAAGCTTGTTATAGGCAGAAATTCAAACGGAGAGGCAGAGGATCCTCCTCTTGGATACATCAAAATCACCTGTTGAATCAATACGTGCAGGCGGGCGATACGATTTCATTGTGGAACATGATGTCAAGGAGCTTGGAGCTCATACGTATGTACTTGCTGACTGATTTACTGTCTCTTGTAATTTCTTTCATTAATTTTTTTCCCCTAACTCGACCATTATTTGTTGCATGACAAAATTTAGGCTGGTTTGCACTGCATTGTACTATGATGGTGATGGTGATCGAAAATATCTTCCACAGTTTTTCAAGTTCGTTGTTGCTAACCCACTATCAGTTAGGACAAAGGTACTCTATCCCATGCCTTAAGAAAAAAATAAAATAAATCTAATGTACATGCGACCCTTTGCTAGTACCTGAGGCATTTATTGCCTCCATTTTGTTCTTTTAATCTCTATCTTACTAGGCTTTTATTTTAGTTTTCCGTTCCAAATTGTAATGTTTCTTGTCTCTGTTGTGCAGGTCCGCACTGTCAAGGTAGGTTGAGATTGACTTGAATTCTCTAATGTAAGTTTATAAAGCCTAGATATTCATGCTGCTGTAATTATATTCATTTTATAAAATGAGAAGTGTAGAAATAAGGGGGTTAAAATAGCTAGGCTTAGTGGGTTTATAAATGAAGTTGATATCAAATCAATTGCTAAAGTTATAAGTTATGATTTACAGCCTCAGTATTCAATTCTGCTTTCACTGAGCATTGTAAGAGGGCAAGGGATATACCCTTGTTATTTAGTCCAGCCTATGAGTTTTCTTCTGTTTTTTCTTCCTTTTTGGTATTTCTCATTGGAAGCATTAAAAGCAAGGCAGGTGTGCAGATAAGTTTGTTTCTTTCTGTTGCAAGTGAGTTTCTGTGATATGTAAAGCTGCCATCTCATGATTGGAGTGCCTCTTTTGGTTTTATAATTGTTGACCTAGGACAAGTGCAGCCAATACTGGCACTATTGTCATAAAATCTGCTTAAGTCTGCATCATTAATTGTAAAAGTTGTGAGTCAACTTGGGCTTTCATCATTCTGTAATAGCTGATTTTTCCTATATCAGGAAACTACCTATTTAGAGGCTTGCATAGAGAATCATACAAAATCAAACCTTTATATGGACCAAGTTGAGTTCGATCCAGCTCCTCATTGGAGTGCTATAGTACTAAAAGTTGACTCTGCAGATGATTCAACTGGGTAAGTAGTGGATATATCATATGGATGTATGATTTTGATTATTTTATTGTTAGCAGCTTGTCTTTGCAATGTTTTGAAGTCCTAATTATTTTTCTCTTTGATTTTTTTTTAACTAAAACTGATATAATCTTCTCATCTTTATGAATAATCATTTAGTGGCAGAGAGATATTTAAGCCACCTATTCTTATCAGATCTGGCGGGGGAATTTACAATTACCTTTATCAATTGAAATTTTCTTCACCTGGTTCTGCACAAGTGAAGGTAGAGGGGACTAATATTCTTGGCAAACTTCAGATAACATGGCGTACAAATTTGGGAGAACCGGGCCGCTTGCAAACACAGCAAATCCTTGGCACTGTAAGTTAGGCATTCTTACAATTTTAAAAGACCCAGTTTCATATTCTCTATTGTGAAATATATACTATTCTGAAACAAATAATTCCTTTTTTATTATTTTTCATAAAAGAAAAAGAAAAAAAACTGTTGAATTCTCTATGTTCTATTTATTTTGAGAGTTTGAGATCTGCATAAATTTCAATAATAATATATATAAAAAAAGAATTATCAGACTCATTCTGATATGTTTTTACTCTTTTTCAGCCCATCACTCGTAAAGAGATAGAGTTGCAAATTCTGGAGATTCCATCTCGAATAAATTTGGATAGGCCCTTTTTGGTATATTTTACAATGAGATGCATTTCTTTTTGCATTCTGGCAAACCTTTTTTTAAGTAACTCTCTTTCATTCTGATGGCAAAACTTAAGATTGCTGCTATCAATTCCTGCCTACCTAGAGTTTCTCCCTTTGCTTTTTAGTCTTCAGCTGCATCTTGAAGTATTTTTTGAATTAGTTAATTGAATTTTAAATGAGTTAGTCACCGCTTTGCAGGTACATCTGAATCTTACAAACCATACAGATAGAAAGCTGGGCCCATTTGAGGTCTGCTTATCTCAAAATAGTGCACATGAGGAGAAGACTGTTATGATTAATGGGCTTCAGACTATGGTAATTGATTTAATTGATTTCCATCTTGATGAAGAGATATTTGTGGTAGGTGGTGGCTAAAGTGATATTCAGACCACATAACATGTATACATGAATGTTGTGGTATGAATTGTTTTGAACTTTGTATTCTTAGAGCTTCTTGATGAAGAGGGAGATCTGGTTGTTGGCATCTAAAGTAATCTAGTCAGTGTGCATGAGATGTATGTATTAAAGATGCAGTGGAAATTCCAGGCCATGTAATTAGGTCATGACAATCGAGGATCACTTAAACGTGGCCCATCAACCACTAAAATAATGGGATAGTGGTTCTTTTCTTAGATATTACGCTTGTAAGTTATTTTTTTGTGTCTTTTTCCTTTGTTGCCATGAGGTACTTTATACAGTTATGAGGTAGTTGCATGCATGCCTTGTGCAATATTGAAACTTGAAACTCAAGCATGACTCAGATGAATTGCTTTGGTTTGTCTTCGAATAAGATTATTAGTACCTCAATAACATAAATAAACTTTTGTAATAAAGCCTTTTCTTTTTCCATTTCACATAACATATAAAAATTATGATTTACTGCAGTACTTATATACATATTTGACACTTATGTACAGGCATTATCTCAGGTGGAGGCATTTGGTTCCACTGATTTCCATCTGGTATGAAGAATTTTTTTATTCCATTTCATTTTCAATCTGGTTGTTTTAGCTATGCTTCAGCCTGGACTTGATTGTGGAATAGTTTAGTATCAAATAGAAGATAGCTCATTATTTGATATTGATTATTCAACTTCTCCCATATAGAAATAGCTGAAGACACAGTTGGATTACCTTTCACCAATTGTGCTGCTACTTCATCTGCAACTACTTGTACATAAGCGTGTTTCTATTTATGTTTTTGCTCCATTTGTAATTTATGGGTTCTACTTTGCATGTGCAGAACCTGATTGCAACTAAACTTGGAGTCCAGAGAATTAGCCGAATTACAGTGTCCGACAAAAGAGAGAAGAAATCTTATGACCCATTGCCAGATGTGGAGGTTGGTATCATATTTGCTGGTTTTAACATTCAATATATGTTTTCTTGCCATCTCAAATTGGTAAATATCAGTTCTCATATGTATATTAACGGTTAACTTATGATAAATAATGATTGCATATTGCAGATCTTTGTGGAGTCAGATTGATTTATCAAGTGATTCTAATTGTTTAGGCTTGCTGAAGGTTGATTTATGATACCTACAACAGAGCAAAAGATGCTTTGAAGTGTAAGGGTCACGGGCATAATTAGAATGATCAATTGCAAAGGGTGTCTTTCTGCCATCTTTTTTTACTTGCATTGCCTGCATGAAAAGGGAGTTGCCTGTTTCAACCTCTTCCGCTGATCAATGCTAAGCTGCGCCATTAGTTAGATGATAGACTCCTCTATGTTTGTTCGTTGTCATCATCAAAAAGCCTTATGTTCGGGTGATTCTTTCAACTAATTTTCTAACAATATGCTTGTTTTGGAATCATAACCCCCCAGTTATCTGCTGCTATGTGAAGGACTAATTTCCATTTTATTTATCCAACATCATTTTTAGAGCCGCGAAATCAGTTCGATTGACGTTGGAAAATTTGTAACCAAGGACGGAAGAATAAAGCCAAGAAAAAACACGTTCATTAAAAATAACACAAAGGACTAATTAGTGGGTCGTATCATCTCAGTCTTGTCATTCAAGCTTTCGAGCCTCCCAGCGCCCAATTGGCTTCGCTGCCAACTCGTGGCATGTTGCTTATTCGTGACCGAACATCCGCCCTGAAGTTGGCACCACACATCACCCCCTCGCTATCAATTCTTGGCATTGCCTTCATTTTGCTCCTTGGATGCTCAAAACTCATTAATCCTTGCTCGCTGTGAAACAAACATCCTGCACATAACCAAAAATTAAGGTTATATAACATTATATCCGAAAATTTTTTTATATAGTCTTAGACAAAAAAAAAAAAAACACATACCAGCTGGAAATGGTGCAAATGATTTAGCACAGCTTTCTTTTATAACCTTCAAGTTGTCTGAAACAACAACAGATCCATCAGCTGCAACACCCCAGAAGAGTTTAACCCCATCATCTGCACCCTACACATCAGTATATAAAGATTTAGATCATCCCAAATATTTGAAGTTTTTATGAACATTGCTTTTTTTTTTTAATGATCTTTGAGAGGATCTTACCAATGCTGCAAATACACTTCCAGCTTTTCCATCATAGACCACAAATCCATAGCTGCCTTCAATATCCCTGAGGACCTGATGTGCCGGATATGGGCCACGGTCCCGGAGGGTCCGGTATGCCTCAATGATAAACATTGCTTCATTGGTGCCTTTTGATAGGCCATACTGCCTGAGAAGGCTGCACAGATTGTTCAGACTCCCCAAGAAAATGCAGTATATTTCATCAACTCCACAAAACAACCTGCAATTTCATCAAACCCCAGAAACTTTAAATCAGAAACATTAAACAAAAAAAAGGGTTTGCTTTTGGTGTAATGTTGAATATGAAGAGAGGATAAAAGAGTTAAACCTTTGATAAGTGGTACAAGGTCTCTGGGGCGGAACATAAGCCAAGGAAGCTGCAGCTCCAAACCCAATTGAGAAAGCATTGGTGGGATTTGAAGAGAGAAAATCGTTGAGGATTTCAACGGGGAGCTTAGAATTGCTAGATGAACTGAGTGAAGCCGGACTGTGCAGCTCTTCCGGTGGATTCACTAACCCTTTGTTGAATATAGCTAACATCTCTTCTCTTTCTTAGAACTAGAAATTGAATCTTCCAAAAGGAGATTGATTCAAACCAAAAAAAAAAACAATAAAAGTTTGAGACTTCAGAGAGTAAAACAAAGAAGACCAAATGAAATTTAATTGAGAAAAACCACTAATCCGTGGGGGTTATATATAATTGAGGAGTGACAGCGATGATAACGTGGCAACGTTATCCAAACTCGACAATCGATGCTTACAACATGATAAGCACTCGTATTCTAATGTTGTTTTCGGATAGTGACGGTGGGCAGATCAAGGAATCCTCTCACCGGCTTATCCATATCCACAAAATGAAAAAACACGTGTGATCAGAGTGGAAGTGACGGTGAGCCTAGTCAGCACACTATTTCCGCCGCTGACTTTTAGGACTGTCTGGTCAGGTTTGAGAGCCCAGCATCCGACATTCAACACATACAAATCGGAAGGTCAAGTCAACCAAAGACACCGAACTCAAATTTTGATCCATTTATCCAAATAAACTAAGCCCATTTCGAAAGGTTATGTCTGCCATTTCAACACTCGGCAAAACTCTGAAAAAATGCTCAACAGGCCTATACGACAAGGCCCAAGGATTCATGGATTACTATTAAAAGCATCCAATGCCACATTTCCAATCCATTGTCGTTGGATTTCAAGTACGCTTGGCTTTCCTTCCAAAATGGGTCGAACAGTTCTTTGTGTAATGTGTTCCCTTAGTTTCGTTTGATTACTCTGTTGCTGTTGTGCTGTTGTTCCTAGTGCTTTTAGTTTGTCTAGCAACAATACCATTTAAACTACTATTAGGACTTTGGGTTGAAACATATTGTTGTAACTTAAAAGGAATTACTATTAATAAAACAATTTTCATTTAATCTTATGAAAATCTGAAAGTTGCATTAATCCATTCCACGATTGATTGTTGTTAACTTGTCTTTTTTTTTTTTTTAATTTTATTTAATAAAAAATATTGAACATTTAAAAATTTTTTGATGGCGATGAGAGTAGTTGTATTAGCTATTTCCTTCACAATTCAATTATTATCCTTAAAAAGACAGGGACAATAGCGTTAGCGATTTTTAGATTGACAAATGTGGAAATGCATACGTGGCACATTCTCATAATGTAAATACGGATCGAGTAGCGGGTAGTACGGATCCTTTGAAAACACCTCTTAAAGGCGGAAGTGATATGTGATTATTACCGACACGTGTCCTTTTTGACAGGTAGCATGGGCACTCGGTGCACCGCACCATTCCTTTTTGCTATCGTCCAATGTGGGATTTTCAGGGAGAGAGGGACCATCTTCGTTTGAATTCAGTAAACGTCAGCGCTGACGCATAACCGGATCGGATCGGTCCCTTGCAACCCTTTTTCCCTCGTGATGGCATCAAATTCAAGGACATCAACGTTATTCTTGTTTATCATGATTTTTATGAAATTAAAAAAAAAAAGACTTGATTTTAATATATTAAATACTAAATTTTAAAATTTTTTATAAAATTAAAATTTTATGATTTTTAATATTAAAATTAAATAAAAAACATAAAAAATAAGTTTAAAATATAAAAAAAAAGATATAATTTTAAGATATCTAAAAAAAAAACAAAAAACAAAGAGAATGAGAAAAGTGGAAATTTTGGCTTACCACATGAAAAATCCAATTTATAATAAAATCAGAAAAATAAAAAATCCTAAATATGATTATATCTTAAACTTGAAAATCACAAAATTCAAAATTTTAATATAAATTTAATTAAAATTCTTCAAATTCGAAACAGTTGCTTGACTTAGATACATTAATGCATGTACCATATTCTTTCAATATTTGATTTTGATTGTAAAACAATGCAAGTGTACGTATTTTATGAATCAACATATAATTAATTTTAAATATAAAATTTAATTCAATTAATTTATATAATTATTTTTAAAATATAATATTTAATAAAATTTAAATTTAAATATCAATCCATACAATACTATAATCTATTCTCTTACCGTCAGATGAACTCTCTTATAAAAAAATATATATATCTAAGTTGCTTCAAATCTCCATTTTAATTTTCATCTCTAAAACGATTTATTATAAAATTGAGAAAAAACAAAATTAATACATCACGATTCTTTAAAATATGGATTGGTTTTATTCATAGATATATTAAGAAAACCCTTACTTTTCTTCTTGCAACATTTTCCCCTCCAAGATCTAGATGAAATTTGGTAAAAGAAAGTGTGCCGGAAGATGAGATGGTTAAATGCAATGAAGACGTCCAATCTAGTAGTAAAGATTGGTGAATGTCACATCTTGTTGGAAAATCTTCGAATCCGGCCTTGGCTCCAGTGGCAAACCTTGACGAGCCACGACACTCAAAATTACATTAGAAAATTTTTTTTGCCTATACTCAAAATTAGGTCATTTTCACGAAATAAAATGTTTAGTCTTTTTCAATATTCATGTAAATTAATTTTTTTGGACCGATGTGAATGAATGCGCTAGCTTGCACCTTTAAAAAAAAATTTAATTATCTATCGACCTAAGGTTTATGCATATATACATATATATATATATATATATATATGGTAAAGACCATATGTTGCTCGCTTGGTGACGAATTGAGTGATTAAGTCTCGAGAAACTGACTAGGATGGGTTGTTTTCTTCCTATCCTTTCTTTCTGATGGCATTTTTTTTTCCCGATTGAATTCCATTATTCCATGTAAATCATATCCGAAGATTTAGCCAAAAGTAAATTTGAAAATACTTTTGCATGCATGTCAAGATAAATGTTGAGAAATGACCTGTAGGTTTTTCTGTTTTTTTCCCTGTTTTTTTTCTCTTCGATTGGGAGGAATATGGAAGCAGCAGCCTCCCCAGGTTGAATCTAAGATTTGTGGAGGAAAAAAACTCTCGTATTTTACCAACATTTAACTAATCCGACTTTATGTCAAGTGTTTCAACGGTGTAAATAGAATGGATCAACCTGATTATTTTATAAGATATCGAGATAAAATATAACGATAAAATGTAATCACATTAAATACTTAAAAAAAAAAAAGCAGGTATGATAACAAGAACAGCATCATGAAAGAAATGAAATAACTGCCGGACAATATATAAAGTGGATACATATCTATCAATCTATGTATATATTTAATAAAGTTGGCAATGAATCAAATTAAGAAAAATTTTTATTCGTTCTGAACTCGATCTAATTTTATAATTTTAAAATTTAATCCGATTCAAAATATTTTTATTATTTTGTACATTCAAACTCGATTCGATCAAACATTATATAAATCGTATATTATTCAATTCGACTAAAAATTAATAAAATATTATTTTTAAAATATAAAATATATAATTATATATAAATAAAAAATTAAAAAATAATTTTTAATATAATATCGAATTTATTTAAAATTCGAATCCGATCTGATCTTAATTTTTTGTTAATAATATTCAATTTGATCTAATTCAAAATTTAAATTTAAAAAAAAAAAATTTTATGAGATTGAATCGTATCAAAAATCCCGTCTTAACTCGGATTGCCATCCCTAACATTTAGAGTAGTAACTTTGTTTTTTTAATTGTTTTTTCTGCAAAGTTGCCAGATTGGATTTGGTGCGACAAAACAAAGAGTCAATGGCCAATAGTAGGCCAGGAAGGCCTGCCTAAAAGTCTCAGTGGTGGGCTTGTCGGTTGTGGCTGCGGCTAACTTCACGAAGCTTTTAAACATTGATTGATGATGACGGGTCTTTTCAGCAGTCAGCAAAACGGAAAGATCTTCCTCGGATATGCAACGAGATCTCATTAATGCAGTATAATTGACAAATGAGCTCGACACGCAGGTTTTGATTTAAAAGAAGTATTAACCAAAAAATAATAATAATAACTTTAACACTAGATCATAAAAGAAAATTGTTGACAATGTCTATAGATGTTTAGTTAAAAAAAAAAAAAAGTTACGTTGAAAATAGAAGGCGAAGTCGTTTAAATTTATAGCCAAAAAAATATGGTTTGGAAGCGTCGAAATTAAATTTTTTAAAAAATTCAAACATTCAAATTAATAAAATATTTAAAATTAAAAAAAGTTAAATATTTTTAAAAAATTACAACAAAAAAAACTTAAGTCTTACATTTTGAATTATTTTTTTATCTTATATATGAAATAAAAGTCGATAATTTAAAATAATTAATTGTTGATAATAAATTTATGTAAAATTTGAGAGTTTGTGAGTAATGATAAATTTCATTAAATAATTTCAGATTGCATTATATTTAATAATTTTAAATAAATTAACGAAAAAATATTTAATTTTGAAATAATTTAATGTATCGAATAAATCCTTTATTAACGAGTAATGAACTAATTTTATAATATGACGACGTAAGAGCTGAATGTGCAAGTGTTTTAGAATAAATAATTTTATAATGTATCGAATAAATCCTTTATTAACGAGTAATGAATTAATTTTGTTCTGTGGCTTCAAGTGTTTTAGAAAAGCAAATGAATCTGTGCCAGAAAAGTTTCACGTCAGTAGAACCGATCTTTAGCTTGAAAATATCTCCTGCAAAGAAACGGACAGTCTATATGAAAGGTAACAACTCTATTATGAATCTTGTTCACGTATCTTACTATGGTACGATTCTGTGTTGTTGAAATATCCAACGTTGTATTATTTCTAGACGTTGATAGCGTACAACCGGTCACACGCTGGCTACCTGCTCTTGGCTGCGCAAGTTAGGCTTAAACTTAATTTACTTCGGAATTGTTATAGAATTTTGAAAACAAACTTATGTTTGGAGTCGATTATCTTTGAATCCCCTCGTTATTTTTTTTAAATGGCGTTTATTTAAAACGTTTTTTAACAAAAAAATATTAAATAATATCTAATACTTTTTAAAAGAGATTGTTTAAGTTATTTTTATCAAAAATATTTTAAATAATTTTAAATATTTTTTTAAATAAAATTATTTAAAGTATTAGAATAGTTCAATTAGTTAGAGCATATGATTATTAATTATAAGATTATAATTTCAATCTCACTTTCTATTACTTATTTTTTAGAATTATTTATAAGAAAAATTTTGAATTATTTAAGATATTTTTTTAATAAAATATATTTTAAATTATCTGATCAAATTTTTAAGAGATTAGTTAATATTTTTTTACCAAAAAATATGTTAAATAATTAAAAAAATTGAACAAATTTATTTAAGATATTTTTCATACCAAATGCCATTAATTACAATATAAACAAATTTTTTTAGCAGTAAAAATATATAATTAACTTGTAATCACTTTCAGACATATTTTTTAAAATAATAATTATTATTTCATAATTTTTTATTCAGATCAAATTTAAAAATAATTAATTTTTTTCATTGAAATCGTAGAATACCATAAAGAGAAAAAAAATTTTGATTATAAGATTTTGAATATTGTTAAAAATTTATAATTTTTTTCTAAAATCAAATTATCTTAAACTACACGTTAAAATCAAATACATACTAATAAGATTAAAGAAAAAAAACTTAAATTTATCGAACCAAATGCCTCTAAGAATAATTTAAGATTAGAGTGAAAATTTATATAATAAGATAAAATTATTTCTTTGGGATGTAACTCGTAACCGACTCCAATTTTAAAAACAAGAAAACTTATATAGGAAGAAATCACTTGGCCTAATTCTTTTAATAAACAAAATTATAATTTGAGAATAGATTAAAAAATTATAAATATTAAAATTTAATTGAATTGGTTTAGATTATTTTTAAAAATAATTATATAAATTAATTGATCTAATCTCTAAAATTTTTAATTCGCCTAACTTAAACCTCAAAGAAAATTACTTTATTAAATTGGTAAGTAAAAAATTACAAAAAAATTAAAACAACTAACCAAACCAAAACCAAGTTACCAACTTACCATAGATTATTAAATAACAAAAAAAAAAAAAATCATTCACTCCTCTAAACACTATAAATCATAGCAGTTTATATTTCGTGCCCACCCGCATTCCAACCCATGCCCGTTTCAAAAATTACTGCCAGACTGACCGGGTATTCCCGGTTAAACTTCCTATAAGTATCGTACAATTCCACCGGAAATTTCTCCAGCTTAGTTTTGTTGAAAAAATCAACATATTCTCTAGAAAGAAAAAAAAAAAAAAAAGCTCCCTCATTTCTGATATATCTCCGCTTGTGGATGGCAGTAAGTTTATTGGCGCGTGAGGTATCCGACCTATGCCTTGGGAAGCCTGCGCTGAGGTCCCTCTCTATCTCCGCCACGGTTGGCGACGCGTTGTCGGCTTTGAAGAGGGTTGGGGAAAACTATGTTAGTGTTTGGAACTGTGATCATCATCGTCATTTGTCGGTAGCCGACATGATCGACGCCCGTTCTGATGAGTGTCGTTGTGTAGGCAAAGTTTGCATGGTGGATATCATTTGTTTCTTATGCAAGGATGAAAACCTGTCGAATCCTGGTACTGCTCTTCAGGCTCCAGTTTCTATCCTATTTACTAGGGCTCCAGGCCTTGTTAGACACTTAGAACCTAATGCAAGGTTGGTTTTTCTTCTTCTTAATGACGGTTTCCATTATATAGGGTTTTTTTTTTTTTCAGTTTCTTTAAATATGGTAAAAGCATGTTATCTGTTATATTTGTTTACAAAGAAATTTTTTTTTTCTATGAATCTGATTCGATTCTTTTGTGGTTTTTCAGCTTGATGGAGACTATAGATCTTATCCTGGAAGGAGCGCAAAATTTGGTGATACCATTAGAAATGGGCATCAGGAATTCAAGAAAAAAGCTTCTCCAAAAAACCCTGTCTAATTCAACCCTTCATGACAACCGGCAGTATTGTTGGCTGACTCAAGGGGATATAATTCGTTACCTTCTCAATTCCATTGGCCTTTTCTGCCCCACTCCTATTAATCCAATCAACTCCCTTAACATCATTGATTCCCATAACATCTTGGCTGTCCATTACGATGACCCGGCTTCTTTGGCCTTACCCTTCATCGCTCGGTCCCTTGAGATGCAAACGTCTGTTGCGATTGTCGACACTGAGGGGAAGTTGATTGGCGAAATTTCACCTTTCACTTTGAATTCTTGTGATGAGGACGGAGCAGCTGCTATTGCTACCCTTTCAGCTGGTGAATTGATGGCTTATATAGACTGCGGTGGACCGCCAGAGGATTTGATACAGTTGGTGAAAGAGAGGTTGCAAGAGAGGAATCTAGAGCAAGCTTTGGAATTGATGGAAGAAGATTCAGGGATTTCATCAGGAGCTTCATTTTCATCATCTTATTCCTCTTCTTCTGATGAGGAGTTTAGGGTGGGGAGGAGTGGGAGGTCAGCAGGGTATTCAGCTAGGGTGGTGAGGAGATCAGAGGCAATTGTTTGTTATCCATGGAGCTCGTTGGTAGCAGTGATGATTCAGGCACTTGCACACCGTGTAAGTTATGTGTGGGTTGTCCAAGTGGATGGAACTTTAGCTGGGATTGTTACCTTCTCTGGAATGATGAAAGTTTTCCGAGAACGTTTGAGGACTGTGGCTTAGGGTAGTATTGAAGGATCCAGAACATAAACCAAAAATACCAAGAAAGCCACAACTGAACCTATCTTTGGTGAGTATGATCTAATGTATTAATTCAGGGAGATGCAGAATCTTAAATGACAATTAACCAGAAAGCAATTGACAGATGTTTATGAGTTAAGAAAAGTTTCTAGGCCAGTTATAATTGGAACATGGATGGCAACCTGTCTTTCAGACCTTTCAACAATTCAGTTTTGCCAAAAATCAAACAGATCCAGTTTTTGAATTCTAGAAATTGAAGTTGTTTTTTTCATCAATTAGACCTTGTCTCTCTGGTGCAATGGACCCTAAGGGAATGTCAAATTCAATTATTTTATTCATAAATTTTTTAAAATTTACTAACAGACTTAAAATTTTACTTAAACCCTAAACTATTTACCAATATGATTTAGTTTTCAATAATTATTTTTTATTCAAGAAAAAAAAAAGATTTGAATTTTACTCCAATGAATAATGTTCAAAAAGCAGATCATACATCAAATATTAAATCAAATGTTTTTTAATTAACATTAATTTTTAAAAATGTTAACCATTCCCAATAACACTGATAATATTTAAAGAAAGAAAAATATAATTAATATATAGTATCTTCTTAAACATTCCTTTAAAAAATATTTTAATTATCCTTAAACAGTGCCGAGAAGCACCCATTATGCAAAATAATTATTTTTAATGATGACCTTAAAAAATTATTCACTAATTAATTATGATGGTTGTTGGATTTTACTGATTGCATCTATATGCCTAACTTACCAACTCATCCTTTTAGCTAAACCAGATGTTTATTCTCTTAACCATCAATTAGGTGTGATAATATTTGGATTAAGGATTAAATTTGAAGGCATGCATGATTAGAATTTGCTATAATCAAGAAAAGTCAAATACTGTGTATTGACTAAGTAGATGCTATTTTTTTTTTTTTTAATTTGATTTGATTAATAATGAATACTATAAAGTGTATAAGTTTATGTTTCAGAGTTGATGTCCAGCAAAAAGGATAACCACTATTACCACTTTGAAAATCTTGGCAAGTATTATATTATAAAAGGATAAAACTTAAATTAGAAACGAAGGGGCGACTAATTTGTCTTTAAGTCTAAAAGCATTTGTAATTAATTATTAATGGGGTATATAGATTTAATAATTTAAAATATGAAATGATGATATGATGTAAATATGATATAAAAATTAATACGAAAGTAATATAGTTTAAAATTTTAATAATAAATATATATGAATTTAATAAAAAATTTTATATTTTCGTATCAGTATAAATTTAACATAAAATTTTAATATAAAATATGATATAAATATATAAATTTTAATTTTTTATATGATATAAACATATAATCATCCGTGTACCTTTTTTCTTTCTTAGGAAATTGTGATGGCAAAAGTTGGTTATGAAAACTCACAAAAAAAAAAAAGAAAAAGGTCCATGAAAAATCGAACATTGAGTAGCTATACCTTTCAAGACCATACTCTCACTAAATATTTATAAACTTTAGAAAGCATTGGGCTTTGTTTGATTTAAGAAAATATTTTTTAATTTTATTTTTTTGAAAATAATTTTTAAATTTTAATTTTTAAAAAAATTATATTTGATAAACAAAAATAAAAATTATTTTTTAAAAATGTAAAAATAAGGAAATAAATAAAATATTCAATAATATTATTATTAATGGCATCTAATTATAAATATAATATATATTTATTAATTAATGATATTAAAAAGTGTTTAAATATGATAACTTGCAAAATACAAAAAAAATAAAATTTTTGTTTTCATAATTGAAAACATATTTTTTTTTCGTTTTCATATTTTAACTCATTTTTTTATTTTTTAAAATTTTATTTTTATTTTTAATTATCAAATATGTTTTCATTTATTTTTTTTATTTTTCAAAAAATAAAAAATAAAAAATAATTCTATTTTCTAAAATCGAATGCTACCTTAATTTCTAATTACGAGAAGGGCTAGCTAATCACATTGCTAATGGTTTAAGTATCAAATTTTAGTAGTACTATATAATCTAATACATTACATCTTAATAAGGGATTACTTTCCCTTGTTTTTTTTCTAATTAATTTCACCTAAATTACTATATAAAATATAAAAAATTGATACTTTTAACAATTTCTTTAAATATACGGTCCAACATTTAACTCAATAATTATCATATAATTTGTTATTTTTTAAACATAATTCAAAATTTATTTATTTTTAAATAAAAAATTATATTATGATAGGAGCAAACTAGTGGCTAGAGGATACTTCTTTAGATGATCAATCAATACTATTATAATAATTATTTAAAATCATAGTTGCTTGATTAATCTTTCATGATATTGACATTTGACATACATAGTGTCAATTTCTATTCGTCTTTACCTAACAATGAGCAGCATTAATATGTATTATCCTCGCATAATTTTAACATTATTTTTAGCTGAAAGTGGTTTCTTTGGGCCAAACTAAGAAAAACATTATTATCATTCCATAAAAAAAAAAAACTTATGCATATAATTTGGTAAATTTTCATAATTACGACACTGATTTTTGATATTTTTAAATTTTAATTGAAACAATTGTGATAATTAATTATAAATATTTTTTCCAATACGATTTTGTATGAATTTAATTTTTTTTTTCAAATAATTTAAAGAACGTGTTATTTTATATCAATTTGATACATTTAATTTTTTTTTCAAACAAACGGATAAGTATATTTACTTATTAAAATTAAAAAATTAATACCCAGAAAAAAGAAAAAGACAATTTTAGAAATGAAAAATACAAAAATGGCAATAAATAAGTAAATAAATGTCAATGTTGGGCGAGTGCGTAGAACAACAGCTACCGAAAGCAAAGCTGAGATGAGGCAGATCAATCGGTAAATAAAAAGAAATATAAAATATGGATATAGATAATATATAAATTTAGATTTGGACACTCCACGACAGAGGATAGTCCACGTGTCTACTTTTAGCACTCTTGCCCTCACTTTCAAGATGAGAATAGAAGGTACTGTTACTGCCACCTACAACCACCCATCAAAAGCGATAGAGATAGGGAGGGAGAGAGAGAGAGAGAGAAGCAGCGAGATAAGAAAACCCAGAGATCCTGTGTAAAACTAGCTTGGAGAAGGAAATTAGGGTTTCTTTTGGGTTGATTTTGAGGGAAGGATTGATCGGAAATTGGGTTTTGTTTTGGTAGTGGGTGGGGGGAAATGTACATAGGTTCTATGCGAAAGTCGTTCAAGGACTCTCTTAAAGTGCTTGAAGCTGATATCCAACATGCTAATACTCTGTAAGTCCTTTTTTTGCGGTTTGGGTTCTTTTTTAGTGATGTTTTTGATTGTCTTTGCTTTATTTTATGTTTGGACTTTGGATGAATGCTACAGTTCATCAAGCTTAAAACTTTTCTTTTGTTTTCCAAAAAAACAGAGCAACCTTTTGTTTTTTGATAAATTTAAAACATTGGTTTGCAGATCATGGTTGTGAATTCTATTTTCATTGTTCAGCATAATGTTAGCGTAGGTTACCTGTAAGAATTGTTTCTTTCATTATGACTTTTAAGAATAATAAAAAAAAAAGAAAGACTTGCCCAAAGTGCCCAAAGTTCTTTCTCTTTTACTGATCTTAGCTAAGACATTTGATTTTCACCCCTCTATATTTGATTATTTGCCCTTTTTCTAAGGAAAAAAAATAAATTTTGGTTGTTGACAGAGCAGCACAAGAGTGCAAGGTTTCTTTTCAGAGATTGCAAAGATTTAGATTTTTTCCATCTAACTTCACTTGGCCAATGGGTTCCACTTGATTGTACCGTTTTCCATCTAACATTGTGCTTTTTGGGTTGTTATTTGTTAAACTGATCCATAGAGTTGATGTAAATTGCTTGTAAATTGAATAATTTAGTAAGTACTATTTTTAAGACTATGGTTGGTTAAGTTCCTGGGCTTTCTTTTTTTCTTGATGTTGAAGGCCAGAAGAAATGAATACCTTACATCTTGGATGAGCTATGCTTTCTTTGTGGTTACTGAAACAGGGGTCCTAAAAGTAGCTAATACAGTTCTTTTGAACTGGAGCCCTTGGATAGGAGTGAACTGTTAGAAGAAACCATAGTTGTTAACCGTCCTGCATAGTTCTTCTCTGCGGCAGTGCGTGTTCAACAATATATTATGACCCATATTTCTTAATATTTTAATTATGTTCTTCTCATTCTGCTTCAATGCCCATCATGCAATGCAAAGTGCAGGGCTTCAGATTTTCCAAGGGAGTATGATGGTGAATGCCTTCAAATGAGAATGTCATTCAGTCCAGCTGCACACTTCTTCTTATTTTTGGTGCAGTGGACTGACTGTCAACTTGCAGGAGCCCTTGGGCTGTTAAGAATACTAATTTACAAGGTTATATTTTGTTACTTCGTGTTTGGCTCATGCTTTAATCATGAAAATTAGCTGTTTTCATCATGGTATGCCATTCTGCAGGTTTATGTGGATGGAACTACCACCATGTCTACACATGAAAGGAAAGCAAGCATGAGAGAGTTCTATGGTATCTATCACAATCTGAGTGTTTTGGTGCACATGTAGAATGTAGATCTTACTCCGAGTTATCCTAATGCTTCCGAATTCCTACTGTGTCCAGCTGTTATCTATCCCTCTTTACTGCAACTTCATAGGGGTGTCACTGATACTGAAGATAAAAAACAGAAAGCAGTGTGCATGGAAAGGTACCGGAGAAGAGAAGATGAAGAGTATAGGCAGCTTACTGATGTTGATGTTGAAAGAGAAGAAGAATGTGGAATATGCATGGAGATGAACAGCAAAATTGTGCTGCCAAACTGCAACCATGCCATGTGCGTGAAATGTTACCGTCAATGGTATTCTTTCTCTCCCTGCCTTTATCCCCTCATCCCTCTCTTTTTTGCTTCTCATATTTTATATCTTTCCACTGCTTAAAGCAGTTACTTGATTTTTTTTTTACATCAATATTAGCCATGCATCATCATGTAGATGGAGAATATAATTTTACTTGCTTCTTTGTAAGAGGGAACCATACATGTCATCCAGTAGTCCCAGTTGCTTTTGAATGTTTTTGGGTCTTCTATCTAGTGTCTTGACTTGAACATCATACTGGTTTTCAAACTCTATATCTAAATTTGTGAATTGGGTTTTTTAAAACTGTTGATGCCATCACTCAGTAGGTGTCTGGGGTTAAGCAAATTGCTTTACCACTTAAGTAAAACTTGTACCTCACACTTTTTGTGGTTCAACTAGACAGGATTACTGACTGGTCTGGGATATCTAAAGATGATTTTTTCATTCCCTTTAAATGTAAAGGAGCACCGTTGAATCTAACTTGGATAGTGTTCTGCAGCAATAACCCAGTAAATTTTCTAGGTAGACTCACGGTATGCTTAATATAGTTTCCTAGTATCTACTGTACTTGTCAGGCATCGCCTCTTCTGGTATGATCAAAGATCTGAACAACTGAAAGTTGAGCTGAAAAGTATTGGTGCTTGTAATATGGTATCCAGTAATCTGTAATAACTTTGTAATGCTGTCTCTTGTTTTTCTTTTAGAATCCGTGAACTGTTTTCAATTTATTTGGTTTTAGGAAATAGTCAATGAATGGGCTACCTGCAGGTTGCCTTAAAATCTTGGCTAGTCGTATAATTATGATGCGTCTAATCTAAGTGCTAGTTTCCCACTCACTGATTCTTGGGTTTCTTATTTTTCTTATGAAATAATAGATTTTTTTTTTGGACAATAATAAGGATCTGTTGCAATGAATTGCAGGCGATCAAGATCACAGTCATGCCCCTTCTGTCGAGATAGTCTCAAGAGAGTAAACTCTGGGGATCTCTGGGTATATACAGACAGCAGGGATATAATTGACATGGCCACACTGACGAGGGAGAATCTTAGAAGGCTTTTCATGTATATAGATAAGTTGCCACTGATTGTCCCTGATACCATTTTTGATACTTATGATTCCCACCTAAGGTGATAAGTACATTCTAAAATATCTTCTCTGTGGCTTGAGTATTTCCTGCTCGATTTCTCTTGATTACATAAAAAGTCCAAATTGCTGGATTTGGCAAATTTAGATCAGCTAGTATTGCAGTGCTTTCGTCACACTTCTCACCAGAAGGGAAAACCATGCCCGAGTTATTGTGGGCTGGTGCTGAAGTTGAGGCAGTTCATCTAGGAGCCCTTAAATTGTATTTGCTACATATGTACATGCTTGTATAGCCTAAAGCTTGATGATTAAAATCTTTGCTAAATCATTTTCTCTCATATCTGCATTTTACTCTTTTTTTTCGGTGCTTGCTGTCTTTTGAGGTTTGTAGTCCTGAAAAAGAATTGATAGAACACAGTAATACGGGAAACGATTCATGGAATGTGTTCAACAACTTGAATACATAGGGATCCGGCTGAACGATGATTGCATGTTGCATGGGGATGGTAGTGTCTGTTACTGAGGTTTGAACATAAACCAGGTCATGGTTTGACATCATATGCCAAAGTCCATCTGCTATATTCATTTTCTAATTGGTCATTCTTTTTGTAGCTTTTCTTTACAGCCTGGCTTGTAGCAGTATTTTACTATTTGTAGTCGAATTTGCTGTTAAATCAGTAAATGGTTTTTGTTTTCTTGTGTATCTAACGCCATTGCAAAGTGGGCCTTATATTTATTTGCTGGAAACACGATAAAAGATAAACTCTACAGTTGGCAAAAGAGAAAAAAAACCAAATAAAAAGAGAGTCAATCCAAACTGTATTTTCAAGTTATAAAGCGGTAAAACTCCATGATCACCGTCATTTTAACGCTCCTTAATTTCTTTTGAGAAAACGCTCCTAAAATTTTAGTGATTGAGAAATTTGCAAAAACAAGAAAACCCCTTTTTTTAGGCATTAAATTTATGACTGTTGTATAAGAAAGGAAAAACATTCTAAACAGGCAGCAAACAAAAATTCTTTATCTGAAGAAGAAGAGAAAAGGAAGGAAAGATAAACAAAGGGTTTGTAAAGAGAGGGAAATGGGGAGAGGGGAAGAGAGAGAGGAAGAGAAAGAAGGATTAGTAATGGCAAATGACTTTTTCTGGTCATATACAGATGAGCCTCATGCTTCAAGGAGACGTCAGATCCTCTCTCAGTACCCTCAAATCAGAGAGCTCTTTGGCCCTGATCCCTTGGCTTTCCTCAAGGTATCCGATAAAGTTTACATCTTTTTCTTGTCGTTCCTTTCATTTTTATATTTGTTTGTTTTAAGCTTTTAGATCCGGAGTAATGCCACTGGGTAAAATCATTGATTTTGATTTATTTTTTTCTCTGTTTTGTTATTATCCTCAATGTGAATCTGGGTCTTTCTTTTTTTCTTTTTCCCTTTTTGGGATTAACTAAAGAAGTCATCTTTCGAGTCACATTGATAGGAATCAGCCTCTTTAAGATATTTAATTTCGTGGGTTTTTATTGTTTTTTATATCCTTTATGCTTCATTCTTTTTTTTAATCTTTTTGTGTGTGGTTGACATGAATCTGTCTCTTTTATGGACTTCAAGTTGGGTGGTGGAATGCATCTGTTCTTTTGTTTTTTTCCCTCTTTTTCTTCCCCAATTGCTGGCCTTGTCTGCTTGAGAACTGTCAAATGATAGATCCATTTGAAGTGAATGGTGTCAATGAATATAAAGAAATATGTGCATACTCATGTCCTTGAAACCGCGGCATTGCAGATTAGTGTGGTTGTTTTTCTTCAGCTGTGGACCGCAACTACCCTGCATGATGCTGGCTGGCTGAAGATATTGGCAATTGCCTACTTCTTTGGCTCTTTCCTCAACCACAACCTATTCTTAGCCATCCATGAGCTCAGCCACAATCTGGCCTTCTCCACTCCTGTCTACAATCGTTGGCTTGGGATTTTTGCTAACCTCCCTATTGGTGTGCCCATGTCTGTCACTTTCCAGAAGTATCACCTTGAGCATCATCGTTTCCAAGGGGTAGATGGCATAGATATGGATGTCCCAAGTTATACTGAAGCCCATCTTGTGACTAATATTGTCTCAAAAGCCATATGGGTCATCTTCCAGCTCTTCTTCTACGCGCTCCGCCCTCTATTTCTCAAACCAAAGCCCCCTGGTTATTGGGAGTTCATCAACTTGTTTATTCAGATTGCTCTTGATGCCACCGTAGTTTATTTTTGGAGCTCGAAATCTTTTGCTTATTTGATCCTTTCTACATTTGTTGGGGGTGGAATGCACCCAATGGCCGGCCATTTCATATCTGAGCATTATGTATTCAAGCCTGACCAAGAGACATATTCTTACTATGGTCCCCTCAATCTTTTGACATGGAGCGTTGGCTATCATAATGAGCACCATGATTTCCCAAGGATTCCTGGAAACAAGCTTTACAAGGTGAAGGAGATTGCACCAGAATATTATGAGGGCTTAGAGTCATATAAATCTTGGAGCCAGGTTATTTACATGTATGTCATGGATCAAACCGTTGGGCCTTTCAGTCGAATGAAGAGGAAGCTCTCAAGAAAATCCGAATAGGTGCTTCCCCATTAGCTCTCGTTTCCTTGTCCGCCATTATTATGGGGTTACTACATTTCTTATCTCAATTTTGTTATCGTAACATTAAAGAGGAATCAAGTTTCTATTTAAGTAGTTTTACCTTAAAATTCATCAAGAATAGCGTAATGGGTATTCATCAACTTCCTGAAGTTTTGGTTTTGAAATTAAGGTGAAACTTGAAAGGCATGATAAAGAAAACTGAAAAACGAAAAAGAAATGAAGTTGTTTTTGCTGTATAAATCTTCAAATAATTGAGAAAGAAAGAGTTGGAAGATCAATGTGAAAATTGCTCCATGCCCTGGTAGAATTAGATCAAACATAAAATTTGCTTATTGAATCGATGGATTATACCTGTTTGTGCTCGTCATTAGAGATTTTTTTAGCATTTTTTGGGTATACAATATCAGTAAGTTCACAGGAATCACAATTTATTTTAAAAACACGTTATCTCAGGCTATGAAGAGATTATATAATTATCCCATGGCCAGTTAAATCATGTTCTAAGCGTAAATAATAAAAACGAAGCATATAGATGCATGCAAAACATTGAGTAATCAATCCTATTATCTTTTAGAATGCAGCTTTAACCACTCCAATTCATTGCTGAAACTCATGTGCTTGGATGGGGGTCAAGACTGCTCCTAGCTTCGTTGCATTTTCATGGCGTGTTCTGCTTTCATTTGCTTCTCTCTTCTCATATCTTCTTGTGAATGATACAGAAAATTGCTGCTACTCTTTTCACTTATTGGCCTGTTTATGATCAATCAATAATAGCATCAAACAACACTAACAGGAGTAAACAAAGAGTCGTTTAGGAAACAGAAGTATGAAAGAATTTTTACAATATTCCAAGCTTCATTCTTGTTGGGAAAGGGAGAATCTCCAATGGCATAAACAGGTTGTTGAGCATGGTTATTTATGAGGGGAAGCCTGGCTGGAAGGAATTCTTCATCGCTATCATAGTTGGAGCATTGGTTGGGGCCAAGGGCTCTGAGGGCCATGGCCGATAGTACTGAAAGTCCCTGCAGAGGGAGGGTAGGGAAAAATAACCAGCTGAAAATAAACTAGTTTGGAACTTAACTTTCTTTTAGATCATGATGATTTCTCCAAAGATCTAAATTCATAAATATTCTTCTTATTTTCTGTTCTGAAGTAGTAAAGGCTAATCAGGTCTTCAAAGTTAACAAAAGAGTAAAGCAATGTAGTTAAGATAACTTATGAAATTAATGTTTTATAAGATCTGGCAACAACAGATAGCACTAAGTTACCTGTCCTAAGATTATAATCAGGCCAATCGATTTGAAGATGTCAATGTTAGACTGCACAAATTCTTTGAAATCATGAAACCTCCCGGTTGGATCTTCAGGTAAATCCTGATCAGTGACAGCAAACCAAACTACATGCTTAAAACGCAAGAGAGATTAAATGAAGCAAATAGGGAAAGTCACAAAGGAAACATACCTTCTCCCAATCAGAATTTAAGAGTATATCAGCTGCAATTCCTGTTTCTACCAGGAGAAGCACTGAGATGATCACCATGTACTGCTTCCATTTAAGGATCACAACACAAATATAGTAAAAGTTCTCGAAAATGGGAAACAGGCATTAGTAAAGAAGTTCTGGAACTCAACGAGGCATTAGACTGAAAATTCATTGAAAAAGGATACCCAAAAAAGGCAAAAACCATTCGCGCTATCAGCAGCAATATGGCCTAGGCATGTTAGGAGGCATAAGCAGATGCCTGTGACCAGAAAAGTGTATATAAACCTGCACTTTTTTTGTAATCAATGCAAGTAAGAATTGTAACTTTCTCCCAAACTAAACTAGGCTGAAAGAGCGGATGAAAGTAGCAGAAACATGAGCAAGAACAAACTTGTTAAAACTCGTAAAAGAGCCTAATTACCATGGAGAAGTAGAATTGAAGTCATCAAATGATGACCCTCCCATGTCTCTCTGCCAAACTCTTACCATCCAAACACCATACAAAATCATTGAAATACCGACCATTGCCATTATCGAATTAACACCTTTCAGGATTGATTGCATGCAAGATTTTATAATTCTTGCCATTATGAGAAGAAGTACCCTAGCTGATTTCTGATCACACCAGGATAATCTCAACATTAACAAGCAGCTTCTTGGGATCTTAGACATTATAGACTTTGGAATATAGGACAAGGAGAAATTGGTGTGGCAGTGGTTCATTTGTCAATCAAAGAAACAGTGACATTTTATTTTATTTTTTCTTTTTGGTCCGTTTTGCCTGTGAAATTTTTGCATAATCTAACTTCATTTTGCATTTAAAATCAGAATCTCTATTAATTCACCGAAGCATAATCAAAGTTCATAAAAAAAAAAAAAAAAACACATAAGTTACAGTTTTATTTTTTGAAATCCAAATGTGTGGGATTTTATGTTCCTAATTAATAGGGGAACGGTACATTAATTTTCCACAGGAACCGGTGAAAAACAATGAATGCCATTGTCAAACAAAGTGATGATGGAATGATTGAGAGAAAGAGGAAACTTCTAGGAAGCTATCTGTATGTTTTCTTGTTGCTTGGCTTTACATCTTTCTTCACTAGCAAACAATTAGCAAACTTTGATTCCAAATTCCTTCAAGAATGAAAATAAAATTTTCCAAGCTTAAGCATCCAAAGTTGCTGTGGTGTAGTGGTTATCACGTTAGTCTTACACACTAAAGGTCCCCAGTTCGATCCTGGGCAGCAACAAATATGAATAATTATTTTAGAGTTGACAATTCTGATTTATGGAAATTTCATTGTCAATTTCGAATCGAGTCTGTCACCACCAAAGCGGTTATCTTTTGGAACTCAAGCTCCAATGCCTGATTATTGCCCCAAAACCTTATCAATAAGGTTGAGATAGGGCTATAGCCAATAGGCCTTCTAATTATGTTACTTCTACTCTGGCAAACGAAAGATTTCATAGTAACTACCACTGACTTGATAGGAATATCAACATGCTGCACAAAGAACTTTCTTTTGTGCAATCAGAGGGACTCATCTCCTGCAATCTGTTGTGCACCCAAATTTTCATTCACAAAGATCAGCCACAATCAAATGCAACCAACACGATGACTTGTATCGTGTCCAATCAAATCTACAGAGCAAAATATTCTAAAGTTTCGTTCAGAAAATGTAATTCCGAACATCATCAAATATCTACAAGCTCCCATGTGTCATCATAAATTGGAAGGATACATCGTATATTTGCATTTACATCTTAGTTAGTAGAGATCCAGGAAATTAGAAGTTGATTTGAAGGTTAACTATGGCGACAAGGGGACAAAATACAGAAGCAACAAAAAATGCTTCTTCACCAAAACAGCCCCAAGACTATATCAATCAATAGTAGTAGGTCAGCAACACTATGAATCTCCTTGCAGCCAATTCAGCTAATAAGATTATTGAGGTATAATTTAATCATAATTCATATTTCATCTATTGCTATGCTGATGTACTTGGTAAATCTTCAGCTGGTTCATTGGGTTTAGTGGCAGGTGGGTTTGGTGGCTTCTCCACTGGAGGAGGCTTGGGTGGCAACGGTCTGTTAGGTCTGACTTGATCGACTTTCTGTCTACAACTTTCGAACTGCAGTATATAAAGAAACATCAAATTTCCGATACAACATAGGTGAAGAGAGCGAATGACTAATCTTCCAAATTCAGGAGAACAAACCAACCTTATAACCGCAGCCAGCCACACAAGCATAGAAGCATTCCTGTACGCAGAAAAGGAAGAACAATGAAATTAATAGTATAATTAAGCAAAAATAGTGCTTTCTTTCACTATTCTGTATTAGGCATTCTCATCATTCTTTTTCTTTTTTGTGGTAAAGATTCCTGTCATTTACGCAACTGTGCTGTATATACATCCTTGTGCTTTGCATTATGAGATGCTTGAATAACAAACTCCAAACCAAATGTACATGCCCCAAATAAGTATTGCTGTTATTTAAATCAAAGAACTTTCTACCTTTACTTCAGTGCCTCATTACCATGCACACCATTCATGTCACGAACTTAATTCTTTGGAAGTGGCTTATTAGGCAAAGCATAATCAGGATAAATGGATTAGAAGCCTCCATGTGACTATGGTGCTCATCTTCCTACAATAACCCTTGCAAACAGCAAAAGCATACCATTTTTTATGAAGTCTAGACGCAAGACAAAAATTGAAACTGCCATTACTAAGCATAAAAACAGTAGCTAGGGGTGCTACTGGGAAATGTTTTATGTCATTGTCAGAGAATTTCCTTTTTTGCACACTAAAGTATATATCCCACATTTTGTTTGAATTTATTGCAATTCCCAAACATTCCAAACAAAATCAAGCAGCATCACTAGTTATCAACTCCAGTGTGCCTAAAAAGCATCCAAGGGAGAATATTACTCTTGATACACATAAAGACTCAGTTCCTAGTGCCTCAACCTATCTACACTAACAATCAATAGCAATCCAGTGTAAATAATCCTCTATGAATAACAGAATGTGGAGAACACCAAACTCAGAAACTGCCACAAACTTTTCCTAGGATTATGCACTTTAGATTGCTAAAGAGGAAATAAATCGACTAAATTTGGAGAACAGTGCATGCTCAGAAGTTCATAATAACTCCCATTCTTTCAAACAAGTCAGCTCATAAAAAGGAGACACAAAAACCTACACATCACAATCCAATGACTTCAGTAAACAACAGTTCAACCATGTTAGACATGAAAAACTGGAAGTAAATGGAAAAATCTAGTATCTAGACTGTAATAAAATGGGGCAAAGAATGGCTAAAAGATTAAATACCTCAGAGTAATTGGCAGCTCCAGGAGAACGATCAATGTAAGCACTCCATTGCTGGTCCTTTAATACAGGATCCTTATAGCATATCTCATTGCACTCTGACAAACCTGAGAATCCCATAATCTTAGCAATTTAAGATATAATCAGCTGCAAAAGGCATGCTGCTTTTCTACTGTATCTTGGCATAACACTATATCCATTAGGGTTGATTAAAGAACTCTTCCAATTGATGAAATCTTTCTAAAGAGAACAAAAGTAGAGAAATGAATGCTTGATACATTAATCAATAATGAACCATCATTCTCAAGAACCCACTTTAAGAATGTGTGGTCCATTGTCACCATTGCTTCAATGAACTGTTTTATCTTTATTATAAGTTGCCTCATTTTTCCTATAAAAAAAATGAAGCTCAAACTGTAACCAGAACTCATGTCTTAGTCAGATCTTCAGTGAGCCTAATTCCTTGCAAGTATGAAATACGCAAAGGAAGGCTGAACAAGGAGCTTCAAAACACCGACGTTTAGCTATTTGATTAAATTAAATAAGATCCAATGTAACATACAACTTTTACATGGAAATGGTTTATAAATTATAAGCAGTAATAGAAACAAAATCACTCACATTCTTCCCATGTCTCTCCATCCGCATCACACCCTTTTTTGCAAAACACTCTCCCTACAAGAACTCACCATAGTTAGCAGAGTCAACGGCCAGTTGACAAACAATCAGTCCCAAGTAAATTTCTCAGATGAATCAATCATCATTAAAGCAAACCTCAAACATCTCATTACACAAATGCACAAAGCTTAAGAAATTAATATCCAATGTATAGCACTATCATTGCTCACATTATTATTAATAAACAACCAAATTCAGAAACAAACATACAGTAATTACCCAAAATCATTTCAAGAAACCCCCACAATAAAACACCAAGAAACACAAAAAGAGAATGAATTAAAAGCAATCAATTCAAGCTAAGTTCATTAAAAAAAAATGCAAATTCACGGATCTATTACGCAAGTTTAGCAGGCAGACAAAGGAGGAAGATAATAAATTGAAGGAAACGTAAAAAAGGAAAGTTTACAAGGAATTTGCATGAGAGTAGCGTATTTGTGAGTGCACTGATTTCCACATGGGGAAGCCCATTGCTGAGGTATCATTTTTCTCTTCGTTTACTTTTTGCTTGCTTTGTCTCTCTCCAAACGCTTCGTCTCCGACAAAAGAAATTGGAATCTTGTTTGAGCTTTTGTTGGGGGAGGGGTGTCGGTCTGTCTGGTCTTGTTATATAAGGGTAATTTGGTAATTCAAGTTTGGAACTCCTACCCCTTTCTCTTCCTCCTTTTGCGAAAATGAATTTTAAAAATCCATAAGATATATAGCAATTCATTAATGAATTTTTAAAGAATTATAAAATTTATCGAATATTAATATTCCAAAACTGTGAAGAAATAATTAAATAATTTTATTATTAAAAAAAAAAAAAAAACTAAAAGGTGTAAGAAAAAAATTGTAATGTATTTAGAAGCACCTTACAGTGGCCTAAGATAAAAAGCATAAAAAAGAATCTAAAAGAGTGGAATTTTTAATTTTGTTGGTCTTTACGCCGTCAGCTTCCTTTTCTCAATCTCTCTTTGAAGCAGAGAAGAATTCATTGAGTGACATAACAATGTGAGGAGGTGGAGGTGGTTCAGTGAAAGATGTGAAGTCGAAGGGTGAGCTTGATAGCCTGTGACAGAGTAACGCACGGCTCGTTCTTCACTTCTGGGCTTCCTGGTGTGACGCTTCCAAGCACATGGACCAAGTCTTCTCCCATCTCTCCGCCGATTTCCCCAACTCCCATTTCCTTAGGGTTCCTCATCTCTTCCCCTCAATTATGTTCTTTTGTTTTTGTTTCAAATAAAATTTTAGATTTTCTTTTTGTTGGTTTCTATTTTTCTTTTTTAAAATCTTTTGATTGGTGGGTTATGAATATTTTGCAGGTAGAAGCAGAAGAACAACCTCAGTATCTGAGGAATACTCTGTTTCTGCTGTCCCTTTCTTTGTCTTCTTCAAGGTAAATCTCTTGGTGGGATTAACTTTGTTTCAAACAACTTTAATAAGGTGTCAAATATAACTATTCTTTTGAATTTTATTGAGTCTATACAGATTGGAATGAGTACCCCTAGAGTTTTTGCTATGGTGTGGATTTATAATGATTGAATATTGTTGCTCTCTTTTATAGCTGTTCCAAGGCAATAGGTGGTAAAAGGTGATTTCTCAAGGCTGCCTATCTATACTGGTGTGATCCCTGACTTGATAGATGCGTGTTTTTGTATGCGTGCATGCTAGTACAAAGTGATTTAATTCATGAATATGCCCTGAGCCAGTGTTTGGAGAAAAGAGGAAAAAAATTGTGAAATGTTGCAAGTTGATACTTATTTTCTCAATAAATAGGGTGGGAAATTATCATTAGCTGCTTGTTCTTACAACGTAGATTTAGGCTAGGAGTCTTGCATTTGGTAAAGAAGAAGATTTTGTATGGGAGATAGATAATTCAGTGCTAGTGACCATGGAAAGAAAATTTATGACTATTTCTACCCTGTAGCTTTTCATAAACGGAAATGTGGAAGGTTGGATGTGAAATTGTGATGGATTGACTCGAGGGATGCCTTCGAGGGATGTGTCATGCACTCCAAGCTTATCTTGCCAGTACTGAAGGGTGGACCAATTGGCTCGATAGGCATTTAACTAAAATTTCCTTTGACCTCTCTCTTCCATTTTCAATAAAAGCAAATAATATTTCCAGTTACAATTGTTTGAGGCTGGCATAACCAATCATACACCTTTTTTCAAACAGCCTGTAAACTAGTTGTTATGTTACTTCTCTTTCTCGTGCTTTTGATGTTATTTCTGAAGTAAAAAAGGAATTCGTTTCTTTTTTCTGAAATTGAAATTGTTTCCATACTGAATCCATATGTATTCCGTTGTTTCTGTCAGTTTGGTAAGGTGGTTGATAAATTGGAGGGTGTGGTTCCATCCAGTCTGGCCAACAAAGTTGTCAAGGTTGCTGGGTCAATTAACCACGTAGAAGCTGCAGCTCTACTGGACCCACTGTCCTTGAGACAATCCAAGATTTGGTAAAGGAAAATGGTTCATCCCAGATGGGAAATCAAGTGCAACCTTGCCTCAGCGACACACTTAATAAACGACTGCAGCGGCTGATTGACTCTCATCCGTTACTGCTATTCATGAAAGGGAGCCCTGAGGAACCCAAGTGTGGTTTTAGCAGAAAGTTGTTGATATTTTGAAGGAGGAAAGGGTCAAATTTGGGACATTTGATATTCTATCAGACAACGAAGTTCGTGAGGGTTTAAAGTAAGTTCTCTAACTGGCCAACATTTCCTCAACTCTGTTGCAAAGGAGAACTTCTTGGTGGGTGTGACATAGCAATTGCCGTGCATGAGAGTGGTGAATTGAAAGAAGTTTTCTCAGATCATGGAGTTGATATTATTGGGACTAAACAGGGAGTTGGTGGCATCTCAGAACCCACTGGATTGAGTATAAACCTAGATTCTCGGCTGCGACGCTTGATTAATTCTAGTCCGGTTATGCTGTTTATGAAGGGAAAGCCCGATGAGCCCAAGTGTGGGTTCAGCCACAAGGTAGTTGAAATCCTCAAACAAGAGAAGGTTGATTTGGAGGGTTTTGACATCTTATTAGATGACAAAGTTCGACAATGGCTGAAAGTTATTAAAATCGGTCTAGGTACCCCAAGCTAAGATTCAAATAGCAGTTTAATAACAGAATAACGATCATAAAATTATGATAGTGTCACCACCCGTCACCATTTTTGAAAAAAATACGATTGATAAATTTATTCACAATTAAAATGGTGTGTAATGATTGTAAAATAATGACATAATGGGAAATAGTAGCAATAATGAACTGTTATTGCTGTTATTCTCGTTTTTCTACTCATGGATCAACAATTCAAGAAAAAAACAAAATTTCAACACCATCGTAATAAAGCAATAAGCTTGCAAAAGTAAAAGTAAAAGTAAAAAATAAAATTCAGAATCTTAGGTCTTTAGTATCAAAATCAATTTAAAAACAAGTTAGAAAATAGATAAATTATTTATTAACCATTCAGTCGGCACTTTGGCAACAATCCTAGCTCAATCTGTAAATTATTTAAATTTAAATCAGTTTTAAATTTTCAATCAATATTTAAGATCAAAGAAGGTAAGAAGAGAAAGTTAAATTTTTTTTTTTTTGTAAAATTTTTGTAAAATAATGTGTTTTTGTGAGAGTTTAAAAGAGACGAATAAGGTATTTTATAGGCACTAGGCAAGTGATAGGCATTAGGTAAGTGATAATGATGAAGGGATGCAAGAGAAATTGAGAGATGAAAAAAAAAAGAAAGAAAAAGAAGATTCTCAAAGGCCAAGCTTTAAAAGCGTGAAAAAGAGGAACAGAAAAAAGTGAGTTGGGTACCTGGGTTTGGTTTGTTGGGATTAGACAAAATTAGGGGATATTGGGGCATGTGGGTGGATGGGAGATTGGATGGGGATGCATGAAATGGGGGGTGGGGCTGTTGGGGGGTTGAGGGGATGAATCTTTTATTTAATTTTATAATTAATTTTTAAAATTTTTTAGATAATTTAATTAGAGATTTTAAAAATTTATAATTAAAAAATAAATAATTAATAATTTAATATAATATATATAGAGATTTTAGATTAAAAATTTTGATAAATTTTTTTGTATAAGTTAGATGAAAAATAATTAAAATTAAATATTATATTTTAATTTTGTTATATATTAATTTATGATTTTGTATTTAAAATTTAATAATTTTTTTTGTTGTTTTGGTATTTATATTGTTGTCAATTTTTTTGATATTAGATTAATTTTTATTATTTTTGTGTAATTATTGAAGATTCTATTTATTATATAATTATTGATAATAATTTGTAATAAAAAATTTATATCAATTAGTATATTAAAAGGATTAAGTTACTTAATAAATTTAGCGTTTTACGATTTATTAATCTTATTAAGATTAAAAACTAAAAGATAAAAAATATAAGTTTGAAAAGTTTTAATTTTTGAAAAATTTTTAGATAAAATCTAATTAGAGGGATTGAATATGTATAATTAAAAAAAATTAAGGGATTAATAATTTAATATGATATATATAGAGATTTTAGATGAAAATTTTTAATAAATTTTTTTGTATAAGTTAGATAAAAATTAATTAAAATTAAATATTATATTTTGATTGTGTTATTTATTGATTTATAATTTTGTATATGAAATTTAATAAATTTTTTTGTTGTTTTGATATTTATATTGTCATCAATTTTTTGGATATTAGATTAATTCTTGTTATTTTTTTTGTAATTATTGAAGATTCTATTTATTAGATAATTATTGAAAGTTATTTGTGATAAAAAAATTATATCAATTAATGTATCAAAAGATTAAATTATTTAATAATATTCTTGAGATTAAAAACTAAAAATTAAAAAATTTAGCCTAAATTCAATTTTTAATGATGTAATAAATAATATTAATATTTCTAAATATAAATTTATTTTATTTTTATACAAAATAGCAAGTATGCTACAACGTGAACAGTTCTTGAGTAAAAGAGTAGTAGGCGCGCCAAATGATGATATAGGTTGACATTTTAAAACACCTGTGTCAAATATAAAAGAAAATATTTTATGTAAACTTTGTGATAAAGTTGTAAAAGGAGGAATAACATGTTTCAAGGAACATATTGCTCATAAAATTGATAATATTGCATCATGCCCCAACGTTACTAGTATGTTATGTTTTTATAATTCTTTTGAAAATATTATTGTTAATTTCTTAATAAAAATTATAAAATTACATAAGCATGTGCAATTAATTTTTTCTTTTTTTAACTATATTATTAATAGATATAGTAAGAGAAAGTATGATGAAATTTTTTCAAGAAAGCAAATAAAAAAAACTAACAACAAAAGGAAAAAAATTTTTTTATCACAGTTAAGAGGAGAAGATGATTATGAAGGATTTATTGATGAAAACATCGCTACTAGACAAGCCATGTGAGATAGTATCCAATCACAACATGAGTGATACAAAAGATAAGAATTCAAACAAAGAACTAGTGGTTGGAGTAACATATATGAAAAGGGACAAAGCTCTTATGGCTCAATTGTTGAATATTTTGAAGAAAAAAATACCAACTCCAAATGAATCTGAATTTTCATTAAGATGAGCTATACCTGAATTGGTTAGAAGTAAGAGTTCAAGACAACTAAAAGTAAGTGATTCATTTTTAAAAACATTAAGAAGAAATATGGGTGAATTAGTATCAAAATTTTTTTATATATGATCGACTTCCTTTTTAGTTAGCAATTTCTTCATGGTTGCATAATTTGATTTCTGTGACAGCAGAAGTTGATCAACATGTAAAACTTTCAACACTTTATGAGGTCTCGATGTACATTTAGAATCTGAGTATTAACAAGTTCATGAATGGGTTAATGGATTAAAAGCTCATTGGAATGAATTGGGTGTCACTTTAATGTGTGATGGTTGGACCAATAGTTTGAATTAAATGCATATAATTAATTTCCTGTTTACTGTAATAAATGGATAATTTTTTGGAAATATGTAGATATCTTAAGTATTCATAGTAAAGATGTAAATTTTTACTATAGATAATTGAATGAAGTTATGGAAGAAATTGAGAAAAAATATATTGTTCAAATAGTCACTGATAATGAGACAGCACTTAAGGCCGCAAGAAAAAGGCTAATGGAGAAAAGAAAACATTTATATTGAACAGCATGTTCAACTCATTGTTTGGACTTGTGCCTTGAAGATATTAGCAAGAAAAAAACGTGCTAAAAGTTTTAAGTGATGCAAATAAAGTGACTTGTTTTATATATAATCATATTGGACTGTTAATTTGATGAAAAAATATACATAAGGGAAGCAAATACTTCATTTTGCTTTTACTCGATTTATCATTCATTTCAAACAGTTAGAAGAAATAATGAGACAAAAGCAAGATTTGAAAGAGAGATGTTCAATTTAATGGTTAGTACTTAGTAATTAGTATCACTATTTAAACCTAACATCTTTTTATGATATCATTGTTTAAAATATTAATTTAAAATATATTACTGTAAAAATTTATTAATGAATATATAAAAATTTAAAAAATAAAAATAGAGACAACAAAAATTAAGACCTACTTATGAAGCCAAAACAATTATTTTGGGAAAAGATTTTTAGAAAAAAACAAGCGATATAATAAAAGTTTATGAGTCTTTGGTAAAAGTGTTGTGCCTTGTGGATGGTGATGAAAAATCAACAATGAGCTTTATTTACGAGATTGTGGATAGAGCTAAATAAGCAATTCAACAAAATTATCGTTATTCTGCTAAATATGAAAAGATTATTGACAATAGATGGAGTTTCATGCACTCTGACTTACATTCAATTGGTAAGTAAACCAAGAATATAGATGATATTTAAAAAATATGTTTATTTTTTATACTTAAATTACTTATATATTTATTTTTTTATTACTTTAATATAATATTGTTATGAATTATGTTTAGGTTATTATCTAAATCCATAATTTTAATTTGGAGTAAACATTCTGCAAATGTATTTAAAGAAATATTAGAAGGTATAAAAGTCATTATTAAAAGATTAGAACCTTGGATAGATACTCAAATCAGAATTATTAATCAAGTTAGTATTTAATACTATTCTATAACTTTAACATTTATTTTATGTATTAAAAATTGAATTATTTTTTATTCATTCATTTATTATTGTATTTTCAATCGATGTAGCTGTTTTTATTTTGAGACAAGCATGAAACATTTGGTACTTCACAGGCATAAAGAGCTTGAAAGCAAATGAATCCAAGTAAATAGTAAATTAAATAATTATAATTTTTTTACATTATTTAATTGTATAGCATATTCAAATTTAATTTAAATAATTTTATACAATTGACTGGTGGATAATATATGATACTTATGTTCTTAAATTACAAAAATTAGCAATCAAAGTGCTTAGTCAAATAACATTTGCATCAAATTGTGAACGTAATTGAAGCATATTTAGCTATATTCACACCAAAGCAAGAAACAGATTGAAGTTTGAAAGACTTCATAAACTTGTATATACTTATTACAACATGAGGTTGAGGATAAAACATAAAAAAAAATAAGCATTGATGAGATAAACAATAGCTTTAATCCTATTAGCCTTGATTATATTTTTGAAAATAATGATCCACTAACAGAATGGTTGCAAGAGAAAAAAAATCCTCTGTTAGATGGTCAAAACTCTGATTGGTTGCTCGCAGATAATTCTGATAATGAAATGAATGTTAAACAATCATGCCAATCTTAAGAAAGAAATGTGTCTCATTCAAGTTCAAATCCAACACCAAGTCAGAGTGATGATGGTAGGGGGTTTAAGTCTAGATGGTGATGGTGATAGTAATGGTGCGAATTTTGGTGATAATATGGATGCAAATCGACCTTACAGCCCACTTGAATGAGAATTTGGGTTTGCTGCTATTGGTGGACTTTTCATTAATATGACAGAGTATAGAGTAAATCCATTGCTAAATCTAGTGAGGGTCAAAGTGCACGTATAGCTCAATCAAAAGAAAAAGCCAAGAAACACTACTATGATATTTTTAAAGGTTCTTCATCTTCAGGTGAGAGATCAAATTCTAATAACTTTGAGTATAGTGAATCATCTGCTAGTACTCAAGGACGTTACTATCCACCGGAACAACTTAATTTTCGACCTCCTCATAGTTATCCACCTCCATATGGTTATTATCCACCTTAAATGTATCATTCACCTCCTCAAATGTATCTTCCACCTTAAATGTATCATTTACTACAAATGTATCTCCCACCACAAATGTATCATCCTCAAATATATCATTTACCTCAAATATATCAAAAACAAAAATCACAGGGATGGAGATGGAGTTAACTTAGCTCTCAAAGTGAAGATAAAGAATTTGATCCTCGTTGTCATTCTATTATGTAGTAAAATTTGAAATATATATCAATAATTGTAGTTGATGGAATTTGAAATTATTATATTTTTAAGTTTATAATTTTATTAAATATAGATGCTTAGTATTTAACATATTATGTTTTGTTAATATTTGATTTGTTTAGAATTAATATTGAATATGAACTTGATCAAGAAAAATTTTGTGGATAGATCAAATATGAATATTTTATTATAATTTAAATAAAATTATGAATAATTTTTTTGAAAAATAAAAAATATAGAGTGTCATAAATTATTTTTAAAATCATTGAATAAGAGTTTGTATAATTATAATTATTATATTTTATAATAAATTATACAAAAAAAATTTACGATCGTGATGACTATAATAATTTTAATGATTTTTATTATATCTAAAAATACGATAAATACAATACTATCAAAATCATTAATGCGACTGCTATTTAAATACTTACGCCACTGTATATTAAAGGTAATCCTGTTGGTGGGTCAGACATTGTGTTAAAAATTCAGAAAAGTGGGGAACTTATAAAAGGTTTTAGCTGAGAAAGGCATCATTAAGAAAGAGACTCTAGATGACCGTATGAGAAGTTTGATTTCGTCTTCACTGGTGATACTCTTCATGAAGGGTACCCCCGATTCTCCGAGATGTGGGTTCAGCTCTAAAGTAGTTAGTGCCCCAAGGAAGGAAGGTGTGAGTTTTGGATCGTTTGATATTTTAACTGATGACGAAGTGAGACAGAGATTGAAAGTCTTCTCAAACTGGCCTACCTTTCCCCAACTTTATTACAAAGGGGAGCTTATAGGAGGTTATGATATTGTACTGGAGCTGCGGCACAATGGTGAGCTGAAAGCTAAACTGTCTGCCTAGGGTGGGTTTAATTTGTTTAAAATAATACTTTGGGACAAACCTTGGCTTCAATTTCAGACTTTCTAGTCATCCAAGTTGAATGTTTGTCGATTGACATTACTTCAAAACGTTATCTTGCCTTCATACTTCTACTAATGTTCTTATGATTAAGTAGTTTTGCTGTAATATCAGAATTTGCATCTTTGAGCCTTGGTAAAATGATAAAAGTTCGAAAGTCCGTTATCGGTACTGAAGCCCTAAAGCTTAAACCTCGTCCATGCCTTGTATTTTGGGATATTTTCATAGATAAAAATGACTAAATTTCCTGAACATTATCGATTATTTTTTCGGGAAAAAGCCTGCAAAAGCAGAGTTAAACAAAAACATTTTTCTTTTTTGTTCTTTTTCTCAAGCAGAGGAAGAAGAGAAACCAGATCCAACTAACTAGCTAGCACAACCTCCTCTCTTTGTGATTAGTATTTCCCATGTGTTGAGCAAGGCAATCCAACAACTTGATTTCTAGAGCTTTGAATTGGGCTATTTGCGTCTGCAATTCCACCTTTTCTCTCCTTAGATTCTCGTTCTCTTCCATCAGTGTTTGACGATTACTATTTTCCTCGACACTGGTATTTATCTGATCTTCATGAGAAGCCTTCAAGAAAGCAGGAAACGCACTTGCCTCGGTTTTCTTCCTTGTTATCTCCACTAGCATATGCTTACAACCTCTCCGGAACTTCTCATTCTCGAATTCCCATCTTTTGGATGATGTTTTCTTAAACCCCTGCTACAAAATTATACTACTGACATGAAACCTGCAAATGATATATAGGCTAAACCTATGGAATCCATGCTTTAGTCTTATCATTGAGCATTCAGAGAATAAGAGGTTATACTTGAGGCAACAGAAATATTTTTTTTTTGTTCATTTTCCATGACGTATCAGAAGAGGAGAGTAAAAAGAAAAGAAGACTGAAACCTAATCAATCAAATAACTTTGCTTTGCTTCATCAGATAAAATCTATGAAAAACCATGGGGAGGAACCAAAAGCACTTGTTTCTTGTTAATTTTTCATCATGGGATATAAAATATTATGTTATGCATGTTTAAAGGGTTCTTTTTTTAATGAAAAATTGTTAATGGAATAAAAACTGTTATAGCAAATAGCTAGATAGCCACTCACATATGTATTAAGTTGGCGAATGAAGCTAGAAAGATTGTTGTGCTTGAAGTATCTAGGCAAAGTTAGCTCTGAGAACTCGGCAGGCGACCACACCACGAACCTGGTTCCTTCAGCATTCCATGAAACGATTTTCTTGCTATTATCTGCTGTTTCTGCACCTTCTTCTTCGTATTCACATTCCTCTAACAAAGCATAAGTCTTGGATAAGAATGGAGCAGGGCCTTTTGTCCTCGGAGACAAGCATGAATTAGTAGTACTCTTGCTCATGCCTTGATTAGGATCTCCCAAAGACATTTCCTTCCCTATTGTTTTGTCTTTTAATCAGGGTATTACCCAAAAAACCTACAGCTTCCGTGTATATTTATGCCACCCTCTTGGAAACCATTAGCGCCGTGGAAGGTTGGTTTGATTCTTTCTCTTTCTCTTTCTTTCACTGTCTTTCACTTTAGTGATCTTTTTTGGATTTTTTTATTCCTCTTTTGGATTTAGAATCAGACAGTGCAACTTTCTCATGGATCATGGTTGACAAAAAAATCAAACTTAGTCGGCAACTTTCAAGACAAATGCAAACATTTCATAAAATAGAGATGCAGAATTAGGTATGGCTTTACAGATGCACTGCAATTCAGCAGCTTTCACATCAATTGAAAATCAAAGCATGGCCGCGATGTCTGACTAATTTTGGAAGGGTCTGACAAACTCAACCTTTTTCTGCTGTATTCTAAAGAAAATCTAAGTTTTGTCACGTGAGAATAGAAGGGTCGTTGGCAAACTTGATTTGACTGCTAAATACCTGGTTAGGTGTTTACCACTTCTATTCTTTCTCTAATTTGCTTCCTCTTTTTTAACTTTTTTTTTATATTTCTTTTTTAATTTCTTTTTTTCTAATGGATTAGAGCCGTAAAGGACTACACTGTTTTCAAGGTTTTCTAATTCTACATGTTGCTCTTTCAATGATAAAACACCAGCTATCATCACTCCCTAATTTTTTTTTTTTTTGGTTTTTAAAGGGAGGCAGAACCTTGTAACAGGCGAGAGGAGGGAGATTAGAGTCAATCTTCAACCTTAGTGTCTTCTTAAAGCATTTTTAGTTACTAAATCAAGAAGCTGAAAATTATTCCTTAAAATTGAATACTATACTTTCATAACTTGAAGTTAATTCGGATGTCGAAAGAAATTTTAATTTACTATCATACTATAATTTAAGAGATTAAGTAACCAAAATTTAGTATAAATTTTACAAGTGAAATATTTAATTTTTATCGATTTAATCAAATTTTGTTGACAATACAATATAATTAATTTCCTTTTAAATTATCCCAGAAAAGATTTTCCTTCTCAATACTATTTTTCATCTAATGAATTGTTGTACTTTAATTTGATAATATATTTGTTTTCTACTTTCAAATTTTCATAGTTATTTGAAAAAGAGAAAAAAAAGAGAAAGATATAAAGCCTACTAATTAAAATTGTATACATAAAAATATTATAAGTGTATGCATATAGATTTTAATAATTTGGATTAATTACAAGAAAGATCTCTCTCGTTCATTAACATCATGCTTTACTTTATTCTTAATCAATAATCATTACTTCCTTAGATTGGTGTTAAGGTAAAATGCAGCCAAGCCATTAATGCAGTTGCTGTGGTGTAGTGGTCATCACGTCAGTCTTACACACTGAAGGTCCCCAGTTCGATCCTGGGCAGCAACAGGTTTTCATTTAAAGAAAAATTTTAAATTAAGTTTGGATCAATGGTTCCTGGAATGCAGGAAGGTTGAGAGAAACTGTCAAAATATATAATATGATCAGTTGCATGAAAATTTCGCACTTTTCCTGGTTTTCTTGGTAATCTAAGCTAGAGGGTCTAAAAATACTCCTATTAATTTGGGGAACACCAGTTAATAAAGCAGCTTGGTTGTGATTGATTGCTTCTGCTATAGTTTTTTCCCTTGTGGATGTAATTCGCATTTGCCTTATTATGATGAATTTATCATGGGAATGACTGAAAATCTTAGTTCTGAACCTGATCTTGAAAGTCCATGGTCTTGAACAGGTGGATGATGGTTTTCATAACATTCCAAAACAATTTAAAGATTTTCAGGTTTATGTTGCTCTGCTCAACTGCTATGCCCATGGAAATTCAGTGGAGAAACAGAGGTTCTTATGCCGCTGAGGAGAGAAATAGGTTTTTCCAATGTACCATCATGATTTGTTACAATATTTTATTGGGTCTCTATTACCGTTTTTGCTTGAAATGGAGAAGAATAAATACACTTTCAGCATCCGCCTTAGCCTTAGAGAAGGCAAAAATACCCGAGATCGATGGGTTTTGATCCAACCCGATTTATTAGGATCATTACTTTTTTTTTAAATCTGATATCTGATCGGATAGAGTCAGGTGTCATAAAAAATTTTGGGTTCGGGTCGGGGTCGGGTTTTAAGCAAACCTGACCCTACTCGACCCAATATATATAAAAAATAATTTTTTAATTTTATATAATTTTATATATATATTTAATTTTATATTTATATTAAAAATTATATTTTATTAATTTCGGATCGAGGTCAGATCGGATTGATTTTATACAATGTCGGATCGGATCGGATTCGGGTATTAAAAAAATAAAAAATTATCTGATCGGGTCGGGTACGAGTTTTATATGTTTAAAGTCGGGTAGGGTTTGAGACGAGCAAAAACTTATCCCGACCTGACTAGTTGCCATCACTAATCCACCTCCTGCATATGCAGCTGCTGATAATATTGAGGGAAAAGATGGAAACCAATCTCCAAACAGCTCTAGAATGGCAAACTTATGTTGTTGCGAAAAGTGTAAATGATATATTAATATTAATATTGGTAAGTTATTTAGATTTAATTCAAATAAAATTTAAAATTTGTTCAATTATTATCGAATCAAATTTAAGTATGAGTAGCTCAATTTATCAATTAAATAGGGTTGCAGTATTCTTACATCTGATTAGAATAATTTATTGAATTTAATCGAGTTTTTATATTTAAATTAATAAAATATCTTAAACTTGAATTTGAGTATAAATAATTAAGTTTTTATTAAATATAAGAATCAAATTTATTTTTATATGTTAATAGAATCTAATTAAATGAATTCAAATAATTTGATTTTTATCTTAAATTGAATTCAAAATAAAAAAAATAAAATTCAATTGAATTTCAAGTTTTGAATTTGAAATCGAATTTGAGTTTAATAAAATTTAATCTAATTTAAATCAAATTTAAAATTTTAAATTAAATTTAAAATTAAAATTAAATTTAATATTATATCAACTTGAATTCGATTTCGAAAATAAACGCTGAAATTGGTGAAAAAGATGAGAAGTACCGCATGTGGAATCTTTACAAGGAAATGGGCATAAACTATAACAAGGAGTGGGGTATGTGACTATGATAAGTGCACTTTTGAAGCTTGATCAAGTTGAAGGTGCTGAGAAGATTGACGGTTCATCATGTCGTGTAATGGCTAATTGGGTTTTTCCCAAGCTAAAGCCATGGCAAATCAACAATGGAGGTTCAACCCATTATTTCTATCTGCATTAGAAAATACTCCAGCATTGGGCTATTCTCATGATAATTGGGTTTGCTCATGCTAAGACCAATCCAACTCAACTTTTATGTTGCTAAACTCAAGCCCATATATTTGTCTTATTACAAAGAAAATATCTAAGAATGGAACCAATTTTTTTTTCTTTTGTTCTTCATTTATGAAAAAGGATTGATTTGTAAATCTAACCAATTTTCCTCTTTCCCTGCATCCTTTTTCCTCTATCAAATGAGAGGAAATAATTACTTCTCTTTATTTTTTTTTTTCCTAACAAACCCACCATACATAAAGTTTATTGTTTTAGTCATGATAGAAACATGAAAAATGTTTACTATGGAACAAGAACATGCTTGTCTTATGTAAGAAGAAAATGATGAATTTCATTCATATAAATACGAAGTTAATAAATTATTTGAATCCAATGGTCCCAACAAAATGATGGAAGCCATCTAACATTCAAAACCTTTGAAATTTAAACTCTAACACTTCATTTTTTTTTTTTTTGTGATCTCATGTGCATAAAAAAAAAAAAGAAAAAGGGGAAGCAGCCTTTGATGCTTCTGCCCCCATTTGCCCTTTTCTAATCCAACATATGAAGAAATGCAATGTCTGCCAAACCTATGAAAGCAACCACCACAAAATGAATACCAGTATTAATAATTTTTCCACAGTGGGCCCAGCACCTTTTTTGTCTTATCTTTAAATTTTCCTTCCATTTTCTTTTTCCTCATTTAATTATTGTGTTTTTTTTTCTTTCTAGTGGAACCTGAGAAGTGAAAATTATGAATGGGAGAGAAAAAAATATATATATATATTTATTTATATTAAAAAACAAAAGTGGGACAGCAATCATACTTCACCAAGCACTTGAAAAAGAAACTTCGGGTGGTACTTTTAATTTTCCTTTTGTGGAACTTATTATTTTTTATTTTCGAAAAAAATTTAAGAGCAAAGGAGTTACCCTATCTTTAAAATCAGGATAAGTTTTCGAATCACAAAAAAATTTTTATGAATTTTAAAAAATTTTTCGAAGTTACAAATGACCTGAATCGTAAGAGTTTGAACACATTTTCCAATTGACAACAACAATTTCAAGTGAAGTTGATTTTGATAAGGGTATTCTTAAAAGTTGATTTATAAGGCACCCAATATGCTTTTTCAAAGACTAAACTTTGAACTTAGAACAAGTAAAACAGAAGAACCTATGATGATGATGATGATCACAATCTCATATTCAAAATTTCAACTGATAATAAGAATAAGAATTAAAGATATATATGTAATTGCTCACTTTTCTCGACAAGCTACGTAAAGTATTCAAATTTAAACGTAATCTTTTTACTTTAAATTTTGAAAAATCAACAAAAGAGTCTCATACTTTTGATTCGATCAAATATTTCTTTAAATTATTTTAAGAGATAATATTATCATGTTTTTTTTCACATTTTACTATCAAATTTTGAAAAAAGATGAAAGCCTTTCATTTACAATTATAAATTGAAATAACAATTAATTAGTAAACTTCAATCAAAGTTCCTTTGAATATACAATTATTATTTGTCCAAGAAAGATGGAAAAAAGTTTAAATTAAGGTTTAATTCGGTTATTTATACAATAAAAATATGTTTAATGATTTTTTAAAAAATTTTAATATCTGTAACCTTTTTTTTTATATTTAAGCTATCGTTTTTTTTTAAGTTTCTAATTTATTTTTAAATTCTTTTTATCTAAACTAAATGTAATTATTTGATTGAAAAAAATATTATGTGTCTAAATTTTTTCGAATTTGTAAATTATAAATGATAATTCTATTAACAAACTAATTGATGCAAAAGATAGTCGATGCCAATGTCGTTAACCTAAACACATGGCAATTACCCATAGTTCAGTCGGTTTGAAATGTGCCTACCACAAACGAAAGAGTGGAGATAAAAGAAAGAAACAAAGTCAAACAAGTGTTTGATTGAAGAATTTGATTGTGAATTTCTGTTAGCCAAACCAATTATACAATTAAAGTCACGAATTATATATGGTTCAGAAAAAAATAATAAGTAGAAGACAATGACAAATGAAAACCATATATGGTTCATAAAATGCATTTTGCCAAAAATAACAAATGAAATTAAACAAAATAAATTCATATCATATTATCAAAACAGTGCAACATTTGACTTGTGATTTCATTTTTTTAAAGAAAGCCATCAATTTGAAAATAAAAAAATTATAAGCATTAAAATTTAAATTTAATAAATATTATTTTTAAAAAAATAATTATATAAACTAAGCAAATTAACTCATGAATTCATACCTTGTGATTATACTTTAATTGAATAAAACTTTGTTTGAATTTAAATTTTTTTAAACAATATTATCGTGATACTCCAATTCTATATCTGAAAATTTATTATAACATATAAATAAAAATTTAAATTTATAAAATATATTTTTATGAGATAAAATCACGTAACTTTTAAATCAAAATAAATTATAAATTATAAATTAGATATAAATTTCCACAATCAGATATCATTTTTCACGTCAACTTAACGTGCTTAGAATTTTATTTTTGAACTCATAAATGTGGAAAATTCTCAGCTATGGTTGAACAAAAGGAACTAATTAACAACTTGCCAAGCAAAAAATTAAATATGTGGTCACTGCCCACGTGGGAGAGAAAAAAAAATTAGAAGAAGCTGGCGGGGTAGAGGGATTTGGCTACAACCAATATTTAAGACTTACACGTGGGTTGTATAGGCTGCGACGCTTGATGATTGGTCCTTAATCCACAAATATTTAGTCTTCTATTATTCAAGTTATTGTCCTACTTGGTGAAGCTGGTGGGGTTTTTTTTTTTATACCATTTTATACTGTTGTGTAATCAATCAAGGATATAAATGAGATATTGATACTCATAAATTATTTAAATTAGATTTAAATAAAATTTGAAATTGATTTAATTATTTTTAAATTGAATTCGAACTTAAGTAGCTTAATTTATTGATTAAGTCGAATTCAAGCATTTTTATATTCGATTTGAGTAATTCATGAGTCTAATTGAGTTTTTATATTTTAATATATTTTAATTATTTTAATTAATAAAATATTTCGAATTCAAATTTGAGTTTGAGCATAAATAATTGAGTTTTTATCAAATATAAAAATTAAATTTATTTTTATATGTTAATCGAATTTAATCAAATGAGTTTGAATAGTTCGATTTCTATTTTAAATCGAGCTCAAATTAAAATAAAAACTCAATCGAATTTGAACATATTTTAAATCAAGCTTGAGTTCAAACTTAATATAATATAAACTCGAATTCAATAAATTACATCCTTATAATTAATCTTTTTAATCAACAATATCTGCTCATCTGATGCCTTACCAATCTTTTTCAAGAAATTTTTATGACCTTAATTTTAGGGTTAGTTAAAGCTTTGAAACATTACAAACTATTTATTAAAAAAAATCAAAATTTTGAGGATAAAAAGATTTACCAATTTTCAAAATCAAATTTTAATATTCATAATTTTATAAATTAATTAAATTAAAATTCGAATATAATGTTATTAGCATTCGTCGAAAGAAAATATTCACTTTTGATGAATTAATCACATAACACTCTTCTCGACATAAAATAATTAAAGATTCCCTAGAAATTGCTGATATATTTCTTAATTAAACACTTTCCCCTTTTAATATTCATGTCTCATATAAATATATATTTTTGTAGGCTTACATAGGCAATAACCAGTAATATAGTTAGGGTTCCGTTGAATATTTATCATAATGCACTAGGAAATGTTGAATCAAGTGGTACCCCATACCTGAGTATAAGTCAAAAGAAAATAGTTAAAAGGTAATGTTCACAATTCAATCATTACTGTCACTGACTAAAGCACACGTTGGTGGGGAATTTGCCTTCATCTTAATTCGTGGAATAAAAAAAAAAAAAACTCTTGCAATGATTAATGAGAGGGTAAGGATTGTTGAGAAAGTTGAATTCAGAATTTAAATTAATTTATTTTTGTAGCTCTTTTTTGGAGCTTCCGATACTAATGGATGAAAATGGCATATCAAATTTCATATAAAATATAATATGATCTTATCAATGCTATATGGCTATACCGTATATAAGTTTACATCGTGATTCTTTACAAAATATACAAAAAAAAAAAAAAGGGTAAAAGAGAAGCTCAAAATACGATGAGGCACAAAAGAAAACAACAGAAGAGGAAAATTGAAATTCTATTGAGTGACCTGTCAGCCTGCATCTCATGCCTTCTCAACCTGGGGCTACCATTTCGCGTTAGCTGATATGAGTTTGGGTAAGTGTACAAGCTTTCTGAGTTTCCAAACACCCTTGCGTATATCATGTCTCCAAACATCCCTATTACCGGATGATGTAATCCGGTCATAGTGGTGCCTCCGAGGTTCAGCAATGGTGAGGAGGAATTCCCTTCATAGTAAGCATGGGGGTTGTTGTTTTGATTCTGATAAGGACTTCGATAAGGAAGCTGCTCACCATTCGGGGATGTAGTTGATAACAGAGCTCGGGTACCCCAAGCAGGTGGTCTAGGGGGTATCACCATACCCCTATAAAGTGCCTTGCCTGGAAGCTCAGGTTCAGATTGGCCCCGACCATAAAGGGGAACCATGGTAGTGTGGGATATATCAGCTTTGCAAACTGGGCATTGTGGGTGCTCATCTGAAGCGAGGGAGTCACTCTGGACATGAAGCCACTTATAGATGCAGGGCCAACAGTAGAGGTGGCCGCAAAGAGTGACAATCGGCTCATGTGCAAAGTCTAAGCAGATATTGCAGTCAAAGCTACCATTCAAATTCTCAGATGTTGAAGCACTGGGGATGGTCTTCCATTCTTGAGCATAATATTGCTCAAAGGCCATGGAACTGTTCTAAAAACTTCAGATTTAACCACTGAGACAAGAAAATTGAAACAGGATCAGCACCCCGAAATCCCAGATATCTGATCAATGAGAAACAATCTAGCTAGCAACTAGACAACTTAGAAAAGGAGGAAACAAGTCTAAAAAACGAAAATTTGACTATAATCATGGTTGCACTAGGTATAAAAGACTTGCAAGCAACTTGCAGAACGCAAAAGACATATGATAGGCCAAAAGGAAAAGCACCAAACAGATAAGGCCCCACTGCATAGCTTGATTGACATTTTCTCATCAACAGGGCCAAATGCCTTCCCATCTACCGAACGGATAACAAACAGCAAACTTTGAGGGACCCACAATTTATCTTCATGTAGTTTTTAATTACAGTACAGTTATCTACAGTGGTATGTGATAAATTCAGGAAAATTTCTTTCTCAGGTTCTATTTGAACTTCTTCAATTTCCATTTCTATAGCTGAGAAGCATAATTCCTTCCTACTAGCTATTTCTCGTTCTGGCCTGATAAAAACACCTGTACGATGCAATAGCTAGCTTGACATGTTCCCAGTCATATTAATGGCGACAACAACAATCCAAAATTACCCTTTTGACCCCACTGCCACAGGTGACAAAAATTTACCATTTGTGACGACATCGGTTAGTTCAGGTGAAGTACAAAACAAACTGCATCGTACATGTTATCCTTTGTTAAGTTAAAATCAGGTGAAACATCAAACTTTGAAACCTATCAAATCATTAACTTGTTCAACTCTTCAAACAAACTACGACGCTTCCAAGCAGCCACCACCGACAAACCCCACCGTCGTCGACCCAAAGTAGATCCTTATTAACTCTAAAAACAAGTATAGCAACCAGTTTGAAGAACAAATTTTCTCGTTACTAAATTGAACAGAACATTGGGTTTCTAATTATTTCTGCCAGTTTAGGCTCCTCTAATTTCTTCAATGTCTCAAATCAAAAGACCAAAAAAGAAAGGGTAAATTTAGGCTATTTTTCCAGGGGATTTTAGCTGCCGATTCTTGTTTCTCTTCGAAAAAGAAATTCAGAGCTTTACTCAATCAAACGATACAAACACAGAGATCATAAGATGAACGAAAATGATACAATAAATTAAACAATAAAAGCCAAGCTAGACAAACCAAAAGAAAACAACAACGTACCTGAACAAAAAGCCGAAAATCCGACAAACCCCTTGAGTTTGCTTTGATCCTTGTCTTAAAAGAAAAAGAGAAGATAGATAGAAAGAGTCCACGAAGCTTCAATTCATTCGCTGTTTTATGAAAAAGAAAAACAGAAAGAATAATGGTGATAAGGATGAAGCTGAAGCAGAAACGAGATCTGACAAGGGGACGGGAGAGCACGTCTATCGATAAGAGGCCTTTTTATAGAGGAATCAGACTCCATTATAGAGTTTTTTTTATTATAATTTATTAAAATTATTCAACCATAATAAAAAATTAATTTACACATTATTTTTAATCATAGTTAATTAATTATTCTGACAACTCGATGAAGTGAAGCCATCCTATGTCGATTTGCCACGTGGAAAACTTTTGCAAGCTGTTGACAATGTGGACTAGATAACAAGTTTTGTTTTTAGTTTAGACTTTAGACTTGCTGATTTTGAACCGATGTAAGATTTATGAGACATAAAATAGGAATTAATTTTCCATTCTGTAATCAAATTATTTTTCTATTTTTTCAAGGGATGCAATGAAACTCAAAAGAATTCAAAGAGATAATTTTTTATTAATTGAATAAAATTAAATTAGATGATTTATGTATTTATATTATATAAAATATTAAAATTTATATATATTTATATTATATTTTATATTAAAATTATATGTTATAATTTTCATGAATATAAAATTTTAAAATATATATTTTTAATTTTATTAAACTCATATATATAATAATTATTAAAATTTTAAATTAAATTATATTTATGTTTTTTTATATTATATAGGGATCGTGTATTGTGTTTTACATTGCCGACTCTACATAAAAAGGTTGATGCTTCCCAAGCCAACCGAGACAATTCTTGATCCGTTCAGAATTCTCGACAACAGGGTTTTCATGGATTATTTGACAGAAGATTTGAGCTCAAATAAAAAAATGCTATGGCGATGTTGCCGCTTATAAACAACTGCGAGGATAAGAACCGCGTCATTAACCATCAAGGCAAAGAATTTTCACCTGCAACTGCCTTTGACAACCATGATTGGTGCTTAATCTCTAAACTACTGTGGAGCCTTGAAGGAAAGATGACTGTCGATGGCCTAAAGTACAAATCATGGGTTTTAGGAAATAGGATCATAACCTGCAAATTCTGAAAGTTCAGTCTCAGTGAATTATGGTTGCCATTTGAGGAAGGAACTGAATTGCTTTAATGTCTCATTACAAAACCAGTATTAGGCATGATAGACAACAATGTGAAGTTCTATCTACACTATAGGAAGAAGTTCAGAGCCATTTGATAATTCAGATACCAGTTCCAGCAGCTAGAAAAGTCAGATCAATTTTGAAATAGAAAAACTTTATTCATTACAAAATTTGGAACATGACAATCATAAAGCTTCATAAATGAATTAGCTAGTAACAGATGATTATATAAATGTTCAGGTCAATTCCACTGGGATTCCCTTTCTAATTGTTTTACTGAATCTTCATGCATCATGTGGCAAAAATAAGTACGATCAAACTAGTTTGAGCATGTTTGTTCAATCAGCAGAAGTTGAAAAGTGGAAAGAAATTAAAAATTTTATGTCTGAGGATACTGGCAAATGAAAGATACAAAGAGCATCACAAAATATACTAATAAACCATCAAAAACTAATTTTTAAGGCCTGCAGATGGACGGCTTTTTCTTTTCAAAGTTTCTCATAAACCTCTTAGAACTTTGCAGTCTCATCCTTCAAGCAGTTTTCACACTGCAAACAAAGTTATCACATTAGCATTTCAAACTTTTAAACCATTTGTTAAATCAAGGACCGGTTTCCTTCTTGAGCCCGTAAAGGTGACAACGGTTTGATTTAAATCAGATTTGTTGAATATTGTATAATATTATAAAAATTTAAAATTTAATCAAAATATGAATTGAATTTTTATTTGATTTAAATCGAATTAAATCAAATTATATTTATTTGATTCAGTTTAATTTATCGATTTTTAATTTTTTTAATTTTATTATATTATTTTAATATAAAATTTTAAAATATTTAAATAAATTTTGATATAAAATTATTATTTTATTTTATAAAAATTAAAAAATATGTATAAAAATTAAAATATATATAATTTAATTCAATTTAATTTTTTTTAATTTTTTATCTTTCGATTTGAAATTTGATTCAAATCTAATATATATATATATATATCTATTTAATATTTAAATTTGATTCGAATTAAATAAAAAAATTTTATCCAAATTAAATATTATAATTTAAATCGATTTTGAATTTCTCAAAAAAATTTTTTACCCCTAGCCCCAAGGACCGGTACGAAATCTGCACCTCTGAGCTCTTTGAAATTCCCTCGGCAAAAGTTTGTCTATTTTTTATTTTATAAAACGAAGCAAACAACAATAAATTAGTATATTTACATTGGGAATTAACAATAAATTATTAATTCATTTTCTTCAAATTAAAATTAGTGATGTGAAGAAGAAATCTCAGAGAGTGCTTGCAAACATCAGTTTATAAAATCATTTCATGATGATCTTTACTTACAAGTGATTTATAAAAAGAATAGATAGTTCATAGTAAATAATAACTCGATCAATCGATAATTTAGATCTCAATACAGCACAAATTGAGTATCAGAGATCAAATTAAGAAATTACTTATAAACTCATATTTATGAAAGCTGATCAACCAAAATCAAACCTCAATTCAAAAACACAACTCAGTTGCTTATAGTAAAGGAAAATTGAGAACAACGACTTCATCTTGGAATTTGTGGAGGAGACTGTTGAACTGCACTGTTATAAAATATTGTCCATTTTGAAAATCCAAAAATTACCCATTTTATATTTTGAAAAAAGTTATCTGGATACGAAAAAAATAATCTTTTCTTATAAATCTACAGGAAACCTACACTATAATCCTTGACTATTAGATGTACTATCTTTACTATCTCAACAATAAGTAACTAGTAATTGTGTGGAATAATAGATAGGACTAACTATAACATCAAATCAAGTGAATAAGATATACCAATACATATAATCACTATTATAAATACATGAATTGACCAGCGATTATGTGAGATTGTTACAAGCATCTGTCACAACCACAACCTCCCACTTTCACTTTCTTTGTCGGCGAGGACAAGATTGCCAGAAGCCAGATTTGGCAAAAATATTCACCTCAACATCACGGACCCAACACTGTTTTTCTGCCCGTACAAACAATGAGGAGAAAAAAAGGACCTGACTTGATTACGTATCTCAGGCTCCTTTCTTCTTGTGGTCTTTGGGTGGTTCCTTTTTTAGCATTCTTGGAGCAATTGCCATGGCCATAAGCCCTTGGAAGAGCAGCTTACAGGCGTAAGGAATGTGCACCTGCAGCATAATTATCATGCCCGCAAAAGGACACATTAGAGACAAATATAAGAGCTTTGGCTTCCATTTCTCACTTTCATTTTTGAAAAAAAAAAAAATTAGATAAGACAGAGTAGACTGTGGAGAAGGGCCTAACTTATAAAAGGAAAACCAAAAAAAATAATTACCTGTAAGATATCAGTTTTATTCTTGCATCCTCTGCACTCAAATGAATTCTTCTTTAGATTTGCTATAGCAATCAAACCCACATCGCTCACATACATGGACCCTGTATGCATCACTTTGGTCAAACTATCTCTCCTTTAGAAAATGGGCAGCACCATGTGCGATCATGCAATCTCTTTCCATCTCTCCGAAACGAAGACCACCATCACGGGATCGTCCCTCTGCAGGCTGCCTCGTCAGAATCTGCACAGGACCCCGACCTCGTGAATGGATCTTATCATCAACCATGTGCTTTAGCCTTTGGTAATATGTGGGACCTAGGAATATCATAGAAGTAAGCCGCCTGCCCGTGTGCCCATTATACATGGTCTCAAAACCACGCATTTGATACCCACATTTATGGAGTGCTCTGCTGATATTGTCCACCTAAAACATCAAACAACAATAAAAAAAAGATTAAACTGTATCCATAGTCTCTAAACTGCATCTAGCGCTAGTAGAGCCCGGAGTTACCAATATAGCAGGTATAAGTGTCACGGACTGCGCAGATAGCTAGGCTGAAGCTCTCGGCCCGTGACATATGCATAAGCTTTCTAGTGGTTAACTACTTTTAACATTAGAAAACATCAAATAAACTTAATTCAAGAAAATACCCAATTTTTTCTTTTAAAACAAGAAAGAAAATACTCAATTCTATCAAAATCCAAAAATTAAGAGATTGCAACTTACAGTGACATCAGTAAAAGGACTAGCATCCCCTTCCTTGCCCATGTAAGCTGCAACTTTCCCCATGATACACTCAATAAGCTGACCGATTGTCATTCGCGAAGGAATAGCATGCGGGTTAACAATGACATCAGGTGTGATGCCTTCCACAGTCCAAGGCATGTCTTCCTGTGTGTAAGTCATGCCAACAGTTCCCTTTTGACCATGTCTACTGCTAAACTTGTCTCCAATCTGGGGAATCCGAACAGATCTTACTCTTACTTTCACAAATCTCAACCCATCAGCATTAGTTGTCAATAGAACCTAGCAAAGAGTAAAAATAGTTAGTACAAAGGAAGAAATCACCAAAACAAAAGCACGTACTCCAACTGCACAGATTACTTAAAAGGATAACGAACGTAAATGCAATATCTCTAATTCAAATAATTAGTAATATCAATTTGAAAAGTCTTTACTTGGTCCACTATGCCTGTTTCACTGTGACGTAAGCTTATGCTATGGTCACGTCTCGAATAGCGTGATGCTTGACCTTGAGCTTCCTCCTGAGAAATAGGGGGGGTCTTTCCAATGATTACATCCTCACCTGAAACTCTTGTTCCCTAAGGGACAACAATAATTTAATTTCAGGTAAGAATGGTTAAGTCAACTTTGTATGACCAAGGGATGAACATAGAAACAGCATGCTAAATTTTTCACTTACAGGAGTTGCAAGACCATCATCATCCAATTTATCATAAGAGCCATGCCTCATTCCCTGCAAATCAGATTATGAGTCAAATGCCAACACTGATACGTGGCAAAACAACGAATGGAAATCTATTTCTCCATGCCAATACCCTTTCAATGGAATTACTCAAGCCTAGATTTAATATTAACTCATTTGGTTGTTATTTTAGTCTAAGAAAAAAGTAAAAAAGTGCATTT